CGGATCTTCGCAGAGGGCCCTTTTATAATCAATATCGGCGAGAAGAAACATGTCTTTAAAGAGGTCATGGCGTTTATAAAGTTGTATACCCATTTTTGCCCTACTAAAGCTCATCCGATGCCTCCGGCGAGGCTCCTCGTTTCCGGATCAATATAGACGCCATTTCACGAACATGGGAAGGCCTGGGGGGAAGCCCTCGCTTATCCAAGGAGAGAATCCACTGTTCCAACGTCTCCTCCTCTGCAAGAGTCAATTTACACGAAACGACACGTATATCGCTTCGTGATTTGACTCCTTTAACGCGGTTCCAGAGGGTGGTTTGCGGAACGTTGAAAACGCGCGCTGCTTCTCGCAATGACGGAATTTGATCATTCTTTAAAGCCTCAATGGCTAAGAGGATCCTGCCTTCTTGTTCCTTACGTTCTTTTGACGATATAGCCATTTTGGTGGTTGATTTCGTTGATCAAAAGCCTCATGTTTTGGTGGAATGCGGAAGTCACGAGTTGGGCGTTCCACTCGCTTGCGCGTTCCGCTCGCTTACCGATTACGTTAAAATAACCCGGGTCGTAACAACCCGGACAATATGCGCAGAGATCAATCCTACAACAATCCCCCCCAAGGCTGCAGACTCTGGTACCCTTCTCTGGCAAATTTTCCCTACCCGGACCATTAGGACGAAGCACAGGTAGACGCGAATTGGACTCGAACCACCCGAGATCGATCGGGATCGAGATCGAGAAACAAAGGGAAGACACTCCAAGCGAATATCCGAAATTTCCCCGCGATGGATTCCAGATCTGGATCTCGTGACTGTGACTGATGAGCTGCTAATATAGACACTACACTAGTTACTAGGTAGACAGATTACCTTCACAGCTACTCCGTACTAAGCTATATATAGCTACTTCCACCATTTACACTTTGAAGGTCAAACACCCGTCAAATTTCGTTCAAACATGAAACACCTGGCTCCTAGGCCATCGCTCTCAGTCATTATTGATGCGAGCGAGGCAACAACCATGAGCATAGGTATCAGTAACATGTCCATGCCTGTAAAACGGAGTACAGAATCGAGCATGCGCAGTGCATGGTCAAGGTGCAGATAACCTGCATCTGAGGTAGGATTCCCGTCAGAAAAGCACAGACTCGCCCACGGACCATGCAATCCCCGGAAACCACTCCCTTTTCTAGCGACGTTGGTTGAGGACTAATCGAGTTGTCAAAGTAACCGACCAAAAATTTCACCTTGGATAATCGATCCCTGATGCGCACTCGGAAGAGAAGTACTATGTAAGTACTCCGTATATTAACTTTATTCCATATGAAAAGTAAGAGAGTTCGGAAAATCAGTCGGATCTTGACATCATTACCAGCGGTCAAAATTTCTAGATCCTAGCCTGGTACTGTACTTAGGATTCGGGAGGTTCGGGTTTGTAAAGTTCGTACTGCATGTGTAGGGAACTGTAAGATTTGTAGGAACTGGTGTGGTTCCAGTTGTACTCAGTACTGTACATCCATACGTAGCAAACTGTTCGGTGTTCAGTAAGTCAATTTAGTAGTAGTAGGTAGGCGGGAAGGTCCCACCTTTTCTTTCCCCCCTCCATAACTAACGAAGAGCTACTCGGTCTGGTTTAGCGGGTTGGCGGTAGTCAGAGCCTCAACCAGTAACTAACCAACTAACTCTGCGCAGGTTCACTCACAGTCTCACACCCGCCGACCGGACAATCCGTCACCCACTACCACCCTGTAACTACCTTACTTACTCTTCCTCCGCCCACCCACCACACCTCCAGTCCAAGTCTATCCCGACTTCTGGACCCTCTTCTATTCTATCCATTACCTGCATCTCGTTCCCTTTTTCTTTCCAATCCCGAAACCTCCCCCCCTCCCATGTACCAGAGTACCCTCGTCTGGACTGTGTCATGACGTTTCCTCACTCATCACTGCCGCTCACCCTTTAGAACATGAAGCATGCCTTGTCACCGTCGCGCCCGACGCTAAACCCCCGTGCTACGACAGAACACCTCGTCCACCGTAATTTCCATCTTCAACAGCATATACCAGCAGTCGCCGATGGCGACTGAGGCGCTTGCCTAGACTTCATACAACCTCTCCTTTAAAACACCCACCAAACCGACCAATCTTGCACCCTCACCACCGTACCTCGTTATCCCACCAGCTTTTCTTCGCCTGCACTCTTTCTCCCGGACCAAGCGGCGTATAATTGCACGGCATCCCGGCGAACTTATTACATCCATTTGCGCTTCAGGGCTATATATTCAACACCATTAATGCTATTGCTCTACTCCCCTTAATCCTCCCTCCTCCCCCGTGATCGCCGTTCCTGACAGCCGACCGCCCACTCGCCGCACCCCTCCTCGACCCCTCGGAGACTGTCAAATACTCACTTGGGAAGCATGGCATATCGGGCTGGCGATCGGTCGGAAGGCCGACGCAGCTCGGAAAGCTCGGGTGCACATAGCTGGCTGTCGCAGGAGACTGTCAGAGAAGGTCGAAACCAGCGCCAGCAGCACAATCATGGCTATTCCCATGGGCGCAGTGTTTCCCCGCTCTCTGGAGGTCGAGAGTTGTTAAGGTAGGAACACCTGTACCCCATATTCCCTCCCACGTTTTACCGAGCGCGGCAAAAACGCGGCTTTCTCTCTCCGCATCTCATTACGCCGCGTCCTGCTGCTTGAACGATGTCGATCAAACCCGGTAGTGAGCTTGGCAAACATGTCATGATTGGTCTGGGTAGACAGTGGTAGACAGTCGGCGAATCATCTGCAAAAAGAAGAAGTCTGTCGATGTAGCTCATTCGGCTCATCTCATACCCTTCTTCAGGCCGATTCGGTGGATTAGATCTTCCTCTGACATTGCCGCTCACCGGGGTGGGTATCATAGGCACTGCATCTCCACGGGAATCAAACTATGAGATCAAACGATGCGCAACTGTTCTACCAGATACTGATGCTTTTCAGATCCAACTCACAGGGCCGCAAATCACCACCCCTAGGAGTTCCTGCCGATTTATACAATTCCATATTCTCCTGGGCTTCTCCGGATGTGTCTCCGACAGATCAGCGCAAGCCACCGCAGTTCGGTAGTCACAGAAAAGCAATGAACATGCTAGGCACCGATGAGCGAAATCAGTCTTCTGCATCCAATCCCCGCGGACGGCCGTCCAATTTGAGCATCGGCCCCACCGACACCTCCCAGCCAGAACTCTCCCCCTCACAATCATCCTCGCCTAAGATGCTGGTGGCTGATGCCCCTAATACCTTCTTCCATGACTTCTCGGAACAAGAAGCCTCCCCAGCCTCCGCTACATTCCGCCCTGGAACCGCCCAGACATACGCAAGTGAGCCGCTCGACTTGGATTTCAATGTTGACCATCGGAGACCGTCGGTAGCTAGTGCCATGACCGCTAGTAGCCAAGGATCTAAATCTAGTACTGGTGCGCTCTTCAGAAAGAAGCTGCAAGGCTTCTTCGGCGACGAATACCAAGGCAACGGAGACCCAAAGCACGATTCAGATCACAACACCCAGGCCTCGGTGTCGAAGCCGTCATCGATTGATTACTTCAGAGCTCGAGAACGAGCGAATTCAGACGGATCACGCAACACCACGGACACCTCACACGAGAAAACCCCGCAAAACCACACAAGGCCACGAACTCCTCTTCCTTCCAGCGAGATCACTCCCTGGATGTATCAAAACTACAACGTGAGTCCATGTCCCCGACATCGCCCAATCATGTCAATTCTTGTATTGGTGATCACCATTACTTGTGCTGACGCGGAGACACTGTAGGATATACCTCAATTTGGAGAGGCCCCTGTCCGCCAAGCGCCAACAGCCGAAGGGCAACGTGCTGCGGCAGCCCAAAAAGATCCCAATCGGAGACATTTCAGCGGCCACCGCCACTCTCGGAGCAAAGAAGAAAAACCAACTGCGGCCGGTGATCTTGCCGGCTATCCAGCTCGCCCGGCAACCGGCCGAGATGATCTTTCGCTTGGACTTCACCCATCTCGGGAAGGTAGTCTCAATTACCCCACCCCAATGACATCAACCACAACTCTTGGGCGTGCCACTAGTCCCACGCCCAGCGTCCAGAGCGCCCACGTAAAGGGACAGGGTCAGAACTCCCCGGGTGCTCAGCCGGGGAAGCGTTCTTTCCTCGATAAAATACGTCGCCCAAAGCATGGCCACCTGAAAAATATCGCGACAGTGAAAGGAGTGCAGGATACCACGAAAGCTGCCGCATCAAAATTGACGCGAAGAGAAGCCTCGCCCGCCAGGCGAGGCAGACAGGGAAGTATTGAGAGTGCGACATCTTCCAAGTACAATGATGGAGAAAGTGATCGAAAGAAGGACGGTAAAGGATTGGCCATTGGCCCATCCAAGTTACGTGGACGGCGAGGTGCGGGCAACGAGTATCCGGTTGGCAGAGATTCCAGATTCTCAGACGACTCCAACATGTGGGCTCTCGATACAGACCTCTCGCATATGGAGGGCATTGTGAATCCGCCCTCTCCAGGTGACCGGGGACGGATGCCAGATGGAGCTTTCGCGCAGGTAGAAGAACGGACAAATCGAGATAACTTGCCTGCCGGAAACTGGGATGCGCCGGAGAGTTGGCACGTCAAAAAGCAGAAGGATGATATATCATCCTTACTGCCCGACGAAGGCGTTGAGCAGCCTGGTCCCACAATATCCGAACCCGACGGTGTGGGTTATTTCATACGAGTATTTCGCGCTGATTCGACCTTCGCCACCCTTTCAGCTGGTCTCTATGCGACTGTTGCCGACGTTCTCCTTCTACTCGGACGCAAATCATTTCTTACTGATCATCTGAATAATTATGAGTTAGTGATGCGGAAGAATGATCTTTCCAGACAGCTTGGCCCGAGTGAGATGCCCATTCTCATGCAGAAGCGCATGCTTGAACAGGTAGGTTATACCGAGAAGGACAAGATTGAAGAAATCGGCCGCGAAGATCATAGTTATATCCTTCGTTTCACCTTTCTCCCAGCCCGCATCAGTGGTTACAGCAGTCTGGAGAGCGAGCCTGTCCTCAATAAGAACCAGAAATTTAGCCACGTGGACCTCTCGAATCGGAGTTTAGTCACCATTCCGATCACTCTTTACAAGAAGGCACCTGAGATCATATCTCTGAACCTGTCAAAGAACCTGTCCTTGGATGTGCCCAAAGATTTTATCCAGGGATGTATCAACCTACGAGAGATAAAGTTCATCGGCAACGATGCTCTTCGTTTGCCTGCCAGTTTTGGCCTTGCTAGTCGATTGACATATCTTGATATCTCGAACAATCGTATCGAAGATCTGAGCCATGCCAACCTGGATAGGTTGCACGGCCTTGTCAGCATCAAGATGGCCAACAACAGACTCACGGAACTTCCTGCGTATTTTGGCAATTTTCAATATCTGCGGAGCTTGAATATATCCTCAAATAACTTTCAGGTGTTCCCGGAACTGCTCTGTGATCTTAAGAGCCTCGTGGACTTGGACATCAGTTTCAACAACATTTCTCAGTTACCCAATCTGGGGAGGTTGGCGACACTTGAACGAATTTGGATGACAAATAACATTGTCAGAGGTTCACTCAATGAGGTATTCCGAGGCCCCGATAGTCTGAAGGAAATCGACGCGAGATTCAATGAGATTACCAATATAGACTGCCTGTCTCTCCTCCCGCGATTGGAGCAACTGGTCATTGGCCACAATGCTATCTCGAAGTTCAAAGGATCATTCCCCAAATTGCGGACTTTGATCCTCGACCACTGCCCCATGACACAGTTCGACATTGATGGACCTGTCCCAACGTTGACATCTCTGAATATAGCTTCTGCCAAGCTGGTTCAGTTTCGCGATGCGCTCTTTGAGAATCTGCCGAATCTGCAGAAGCTCATCCTTGACAAGAATCATCTTGTCTCAATGTCGCCACACATCGGCAAACTGCGTAGGCTTGAACATTTCAGCATGATAAAGAATCCTCTGGCTTCGCTGCCCGCTACTATTGGCTGCTTGACAGAGCTCAAATACCTCAACTTGCGGGAATGCAATCTTAGGCGACTCCCACCAGAGATTTGGCACTGCCTTAAGCTGGAAACTCTGAATGTCTCTTCAAATGTGCTGGAGGCGTTTCCAAAGCATGGTAGTCCTCAGCCCCAGCTCCCAGCCGACGCATCTATGACTCCTGCAGTGACCCCAGGGTTGTCGAATAATCCCAACTACGAAGAACTAGGTGCCGTTGATGAACAGGAGGCACGCCGACCCAGCCAAGCTTCAGGAGCTGGTGCACTCAGCACCGGAGGTTCACCCAACGGGACAGCTTACCGGAAGCCCTCTATTGCCTCATCTTTAGGCCAAGGGGGGCGGAAAGTGTCTGCGGCTTCTCGCTCGCTCACCGATGGAAGCCCATCGTCGCGCAAAGACTCCAACTTCTCACAACATGTCGCAACGACATTCGGGGGATCCCTAAGGAATCTCCTCCTGGCAGACAATCGATTGGAGGACGATATTTTCCGAGAGCTGTCCCTGATCCCGGAGTTGCGTGTTGTTAACCTCTCATACAACGAGTTAACGGAGCTTCCTCAGGGTCTGTTGAGACGTTGGCCATTGTTGACTGAGCTGTACCTCTCGGGCAACGAGCTCACGTCCCTTCCGTCCGATGATCTCGAAGAAGGCAGCAACTTGAAGGTACTGCACATCAATGCGAACCGTTTCCAGGTGCTTCCAGCCGAACTCTGCAAAGTCAGCAAGCTCGCAATTCTGGATGTTGGGAGCAATTCTCTCAAGTACAACGTCTCTAACTGGCCTTACGACTGGAACTGGAACTGGAATCGCAATTTGAAGTACCTCAATTTTTCTGGTAACAAGCGGCTGGAAATCAAGCCTCATGCGTCGTCACTGGGAACGCCCACCACACCTGGGACAGATTTGACCGACTTCAATTCTCTGACGCATCTGCGCGTTCTGGGCTTGATGGACGTCACTCTCACAATATCTACGATACCCGAAGAAACAGAAGATCGTCGTGTCAGGACTTCCGCTTCCCTAGCCGGGTCTCTTGCATATGGCATGGCCGACTTTCTTGGCAAAAGCGAACATCTTTCCATCTTCGATATGATCGTTCCTCGACTCAAGCCCGACAAAGTGGAGACAGTGGTAGGAATGTTTGACGGTCAATCCCAGTCAACGGGAGGATCTAGAATTGCCAAATTCCTGCACGAGAACTTTATACACACTTTCTCATCCGAGCTGAAGCGGATTAGGACCGAAGACCTGGAGACTCCGCTAGATGCACTCAGACGAGCATTTTTGACCCTGAATAAGAACATGGCATTTGCGTGCTACAAGTCGATTGACCAAGATGTGCGTCATTACCAGGAAGATCCCGCGGAATCGAAGAAAGTGCGGTTGAACAAGGAGGATGTCCATTCAGGTGGAGTCGCTACCGTGATATACTTGAACAACATGGATCTGTTTGTTGCCAATGTTGGTGACGCGCAGGCTATACTTGTCAAATCCGATGGTTCATTGAAGCACTTGACCCGAAACCATGACCCTGCAGAATCACACGAAAGAGCAAGGATCCGCGCTGCAGGCGGGTTTGTCTCCCGCAATGGCAAGTTAAATGATACCCTTACAGTATCAAGGTCGTTTGGACATTTCCAGATGATGCCCGCCGTTATTGCGGCACCACACACCATGCATCTCAACCTCACGGAACAGGATGAGATGATCATTGTGGCGTCAAGGGAGCTGTGGGATTATGTGACGCCAGATCTTGTCGTTGACGTTGCTAGAGCTGAACGGAGAGATCTTATGATCGCTGCTCAGAAGATCAGAGACCTGGCCATTTCATTCGGAGCCAACAACAAACTCATGGTCATGATACTGGGTGTGAGTGACTTGAAGAAGCGAGAGAAGATAAGGTTGAGGCCTAGTCTTTCTATGGTCGGACCCCCCGAGGATCAGATTATACCGAGCACGAAGCGAACCAAAAAACCGCGTGATACACCGGGCGACTCCAGGCTCGCCCGTTTCGATTATGTGGACGCCCCTGTTGGAGAACTTGCTATAATCTTTACTGATATCAAGAAGTCAACAAGCCTCTGGGAAACCTGCCCAGATGCGATGCGCTCAGCTATTCAGATTCATAACGACATTCTTCGTCGACAGCTGGGTATAATCGGTGGTTATGAGGTGAAAACGGAAGGTGACGCTTTCATGGTTGCGTTCTCCACAACCACGGCCGCTTTGCTTTGGTGCTTCAACTGCCAGACACAGCTTCTGGAAGCAGAATGGCCGACAGAAATTCTGGAGCAACCACAGTGCCAGGTGCAGTACGACATGGAAAACAACGTCATCTTCCGAGGTCTGTCCGTCCGAATGGGAATACATTGGGGTGAGCCTGTCTGCGAAAAGGACCCAGTGACCAATCGTATGGATTATTTCGGGCCAATGGTCAATCGCGCTTCTCGTATCTCTGCCGTCGCCGATGGTGGCCAAATCTTCGTGTCCTCAGATTTCATGAGCGACATCCAACGCAACCTGGAGGTGTTTGCTGATAGCGAGCGCGCTGCCTCGACTGGCTCCGAAGAGAGCTATGCGATTGACAATCTTGGGTATAATATTCGACGCGAGCTCCAACAACTTAATAGCCAAGGTTTTGTGATCAAGGATCAGGGAGAGCGAAAGCTGAAGGGGCTTGAGAATCCGGAACCACTCTATTTGATCTACCCTCATTCTCTCTCTGGGAGACTGACAACCCTGGAGAAGGACGCATCAAATGAGCATGCCCCGACCACCATCAGCAAGCACTCGCAGCTAGAGATCCAGACCGACTTGATTTGGCGGCTGTGGGAACTTACTCTTCGACTCGAGAGGCTTTGTGGCGCCTTGGAGTATCCTGGCGAAGCCCGCCTCAAGGAACCAAACGTTTCCTTGTTCAACGTGGTGAAGAACCATGGCGGCGAACTTGCAGATTCGACCGTGGTCAGCCTGGTGGAGCAACAGGTGACGCGCATCGAGGTGAGTCAAGAATGGCACCATCCAACGATATGTACTAATCGTGGACCAGGTTTGCATCAATACTCTTTCCATCCGGCACATGCTGCGACCATTCAAACCCGGTGATCAACTCAATGACCATGCCGCCCCAATCTCCGAAGTAATGCAAGAACTGCAAAACCGGCTTGAAGAGTACCGTGTTCTCAAGGAACAAGTAGCTGTCAGTGCTGGCACTACCACAAGCTACAGGTGAATTGAATTGCATCAATACTACATGACCGTTCTCTTTCACCCCAGGAGTCTGTTTGTCTGGCGAGATGAACCCTGGCGGATCTCGCCGCTACTTCCCAACCCCGATGAATATAGTAACGAGGGGCTCTTCCTAATCGATCATTTCTGTATTTATTGCCACTTATCATTCTCGTTTTTTTTTCTTTTCTTTTCTATGATTTCCCCATCAACCTTTTGCTACACTTACGCGGGCGTCTCGAGGAAGGGCGGGCGGGGTGTGAAAGGAATTCCGAAGCATGGGTCTAGGAGCCAAAGGTGGCACTGTTGTTTTTGCCCTATGTGTCTAGATTTACTTGGTAATTGTGTACTCAATGGAATCCAATTATCTGAACACATAAAAATGGTCGAATGTTTGGGCATGGCCTCTGGGCCCATCTACCGGTAATACAGTACAATACCTAAGTTAAGTTAGTTAAAATAGTTAACTAACTAGTTGGCTATGCCATAAGTTATTAATCAGCTTGGATGCAGTGCAACAATTATGTCACATGATCCAAGCACACAACAAATAACTTCATCATCAAACCCTTCCTCGTCTCCTTGAAACATGTCCTCTAATGCATCACTGACTGTGATGCCTGCAAATCCTTCATCTACAACGATTCTATTTCCGAGTGTGGGTGCCTCAATTCGATCGAACTGCCTGGTTTGACACCTCACTCAACTGGCCAGTTGGCCTGATTTTTTTGTTTGGCTGTTTCGCTTGCAGGTCGGTCGGGTTTGTTGTTGTTGCCCTGGAGACGATCAGATTTGAAGGACGGCGGCTGCTACTGCTTGTTGCTTGTTGCGTCTCTGACGAAAGGGAGGATCACCGAAAATCCGGATTTTCGCTTGAGTGGAATTCATCCCATCACTCACAGTCACTGCAGTTGTCGACCGCCAACCGGCTGGCAACCTACCTTACTTAGTCTTAGTCCTCTTTCTTTCTAAATTCTCCCCCCGGATTTTTTTTCTGCCGTAACAACCATCATCATCATCTTCAAATTCATTCCTCCTTCCCTACCCCTCCCCTGGTGGCGTTGATCACTGCTAGGATCAATCACTCTTCATCATGGCGGACGGTTTGGATTATTTGGCTCCCGACTTTGACCTGAATTCGCTCACCGTTCCTCGTCTTCGGTCCATCCTTGTTAGCCACGATGTTCCCTATCCAGCCTCAGCCAAGAAGGCTCAACTCATCAGCATTCTTGAGACAGAAGTCCTGCCTCAGGCTAAGAAGCTTCTGCGCGAACGGGAAAGGGTGAGGAGAACCAGTGAAGGGATTACGGATATGGGTAGTCGCGCCTCATCAGTCGTGAGTGATTACAACGATCAACATCATGAATCTGGCAGAGAGTCGATGCCTCCCCCTCCTACCCCGTCCACTGTTTCGACCGCGACGGGCGGTCGGCGCGCACGCTCCAAATTGAGCACGAGAGCATCGACGGTCGACACGGAGGATGCCCACGTATCAGCCACGCCATCCACTAGCTCTCGAAGAACGGTCCCCCGGTCGACCAGCAAACGCTATCGCGCGTCCGATACCGAATCGCACGACGACATGACGGCAACACCGGTCCCGTTTAATACGGCTACTCCCCGAAAGTCGACGACCCGCAAACCACGAAAAAGCGAGATGACTCCTGCTGCCGAGCCACAACCCGAACCCGAGCCTGAGCCGAAGACCCCCTTCTCAGCAATCAAGTTGGAACCCAAGGAAGAGAGTGTCTTCACCGATGACAACCCATTCCAAAGTGGATCGCCAGCCCGGTGGGAGCACCGGAGCCCGAGAACTTCTAGTGTTGGGCGGAAGAGCGCCTCGCGATTCTCACTGAACTCCCCTGCTGCCAGCAACGGTCTACGGCCTAGGAGGTCTATGACGCCAGTGGACATGAATGCTGACTATGGCTTTACCCCGTCAAAGCGATCTTCGTTCGAGTTCCCCGTGCCTAAGCCTAGATCTCCTCAGCAGTACCTGGAGGCGGTGGAGAAGTATGAGGATAGCGACAGCGAGGTCAGTGCTGGTGAAGAATTCACGCCCGAGGAGCAGTTGGCGCTTGAGGAGGACCGGGCGCACTTGATGTATCCGCCAAGCGCCCCCAGCACCCGGCCCCAACAAGCGCGGACAGCAAACCGGGCTGCGCCTTGGATCATTATGTTCGCCATTGTCGCCGGTTTTGGTGCTTGGTGGCGCAAGGAGAAGATCGAGATTGGATTCTGCGGTATAGGCAAGCCCACCTGGTCATTGGCAGACACCCGGGTTCCTGAATGGGCCAATGTTCTCGAGCCGCAGTGCGAACCGTGTCCTCCCCATGCTTTCTGTTACCCCAACTTTGAGGCTCGCTGTGAGCATGACTTCATCCTCAAGGCACACCCTCTGTCGCTAGGTGGACTGGTACCACTTGCTCCGACGTGCGAAGCCGACAGTGAGAAGGCACGCCGAGTCAAAGCTGTTGCCGACAGAGCCCTCGAAACTCTCCGGGACCGTCGGGCCAAGTGGGAGTGTGGCGAAATTGTGCACGGTGACCAAGGAGAAAAGGGTCCCGAGATCAGTGAAACCGAGCTGAAGCAAGAGGTCGGAAAGAAACGCCGCAAGGGGATGAGCGACGCGGAGTTTGATGACTTGTGGAAGGGAGCCCTGGGTGAGGTGGTTGGCAAAGAAGAAGTCGTCACTCGAGTCCAACAGTGAGTAGTTCCTGGTCTCCTCTTTCTGATTCTAGCCTGTTCGCGACACCCTGGCCTTCCCTCTGGCGCCACCCAAGGATTCGGATTCTGACCTGTATTGTGGAACTAACAGAGACACCCACACAATCACAGACCATCTTCTGTCCTCACCCTCACGTCCACCTCCGTCAGCCGGCTCCCCCTCACCTGCGCATTCCGCCGCTACGTCCGACTCTCTCTCCTCGCGTATCGACTTCCTATTTCAGTTCTGACTCTCGCGCTATGCTTGACACTTTATGTCCGCTCCAAAATCCGGGCTCGCCGCTCGGATATGGCCCGGGTCCCTGAACTTGTGGCCACTACGCTCGATCGCCTCGCAACACAGGCGGCTTTACATGCTCGCGGTGCGGCCCGAGAGCCCTACATTCCCATTGGACAGTTGCGGGATGATGTCCTCCGGTCCGAGCTGCGCGGAAGTCGGCGCGAGGGGCTCTGGAAGCGCGTGCGCAGTATCGTTGAAGGCAACGCCAACGTCCGAGCTGCGGTGCGGGAGGGTCGCGGAGGAGATGTTGCCCGTGTGTGGGAATGGATCGGGGGGATTGGCAGCGTCCGCAACGAGATTGAAAGTAGCGGCAACAGCACTGGCCGGGATGTGCACAAAGTGCATTTCTCGCCTTCATCGCCCGAGGACAGTGGCCGTCCCTTGGCTGCTAGTCAGGATGCTACTCCGGTCCCTCGAAAATGGGACGAAGGTCGGCCCATCTACTGAGACTGTCATTTCTTACATGAATGACGTCCAGAGACCGTTGGAAACACTATGAGATCTTCTTCTCCTTAACGTGCGCGGTCCGCTTCCTGTATATTTTTGCAACTTTCTTATCTTTATTTCGGTTAGCTAGCTGGTCAACATTCCGTGATTCCCCAGGTTGATTGTGTTATCCAAGACCAGTCTCTTTTGCTCCTAAAGTGTGTGGTGTGAGTTGTGTGTAGACGAGAGTGCACTAGGACATGGTAATTAGCTTACCGCCTCAACTACCGAGTAGTACGGAGTACCGAGTACGTACGGGGTACCGAGTACGTACGGGGTACGTAGCTTACTGTACACTGTGGATTTTCCACGACAGGAGTTAACTTGATTTAGTCAAGTGAGCTATGCCTTGCCGGGTCTAGCGGAGAAAGGCCGGAAGATTTCCCATCCATTTCTTCCATGAAGGTTCCCATGGGTCCTTACCTACTACACATACGTAGTACTCCGTACGGACGGACGGACAGACTATCTACCTACAGCCTGTATTAATTCGTACTCCCTTCAGGCTTCAGCTCAACACCTTAACGTCTCCACCTCCCAACCCTCCACTCGTTTGCTACCTACATGACCTCTTCTTTTGTATTTTCTTTTCTTTTTTTTTGGACGGGCAGACTCCGAGCTACTGGGTCTCGGATCGTATGCTATGCGGGCCGAAGGTGTGACTTTTGATCCGCTGGGGACAGACAGACTAACGGAGTGCGTACAGGGCAGCCCTCCAGCTGAGACAGACAGGACTCCTGCTGTACGTACCGAGTCAGACAGGCCCTGGTGGACATGTTGGAACTAGCCTGGCTCGGATTCGGACCCAGCAGTCGTTCACATACCTCCTTCTACTGGGCCACAGGGGCTGGTTCCATCCGTTCCCCCTCGCAGTATCTATCCGTTGCTGCTATCCAAGGAAATCATAAGGATACTTTTTCCGGGGTAGCCCTGCACGCAGATTCGCTAAGAGCGTCACAGCATCACGGCGTCACAGCCCGTGATTTTGACGAGTACGGTAGTCCTCTCCCTATCTCAATACCTAAGCATTATATCCCACTGCCCGGAGACAAGATCCGTGCAACCGGTCTGGTTTGCAAAGCAGACAAGCGACGTCATGCACGTTCGTCGTTATGGCGCGAATGCAAATTCAGTCTGGTTCGGTAATTTCTGCACTTTCAGCAAGCGAGTGATCCCTCCAAGTGCAACGCCCTCCCTCGGCCGAGAATTCTGGTGATAGTGCGGTGGACCTGCAATGTCACGGCCCAATCGCAGTCAAACCAGAGCCTGGCCAGATGGCTGCTCGAGTCGAGGAACTGACTCAGGACTGAGATGGCATACACAGTCTGCCTCTCGTGTGGGTTATTGCTAATCGCCCCCCTCCCATGACCGATAGAGCCTTGTTTGTCCTCACTATCGTCGTGGCCTCGTCATCTGCACGTCAAACTCAAATTGCAACTACCCAAAGTTGCAATTACCACCTGCTCACTGGGTTCTCCCATCTTAACTTTAAGCTCAATCCCTTCCTGCCGGTATTTGTCCCTTGCCGAGGACCCTTTGGTACCTGGGAAGTGTCAGAGAGAAGGAGAGGAGAGAATCGATGGCTCACACCGGTTCGTTCATAACAAGCGGTCGAGTGCGGCCCCTCCTCAGCTCAGCGCCACCCCCCCCTCCTACCTACCTACCTTACCTTTCCTCGCTCTGCCCATCAGAGGCCCAACTTAAGGCCTCAGCTGCCACAGAACCAGTCCAAGTATCTGCACGCTTTTGTGGCTTCCAAGTTCCCACTGCTCTTTCGGGTTGTTTTGGAAAGGGTGGGATTAGACCCGGATGATGCGTAGATATCATAAATGCCGCCTTCAAGGCCTGACAATTTCGAGTTTGGCTGCCTTTCCCGTCTAGGTCAAGTTTGACTTTCGGTGCACTCCTGATTGCCCCCATTAGGCCCCCGGGAGGGGCTTTTGGCGTCCGACATTTGCATTTCTGTGTGTTTCCTTTTCTCACTCCCGATGCTGGCTTGGCCGAGTCGACCCCATCCACACACCCGTGCTCATTTCTTTCCCCTAGCTTCTTAATCAAGTGCAGCAGGGCAGCAGGTTGCTGTACTGAGAGGTCTTAGGTCGTCTCGATCGAGCATGATCCTTTCCTCTATACTGTCATAGATGTGTCTCCCTAGGGGAGCATGAATCGGTTGGTCTTCTTTTCTTTCCCACGATTCACCCCGAGTTGTATTTGTCCCTTTTTCTTTCACCCTTCCCTTTTCGCGTCGAGTCCGATCCTCCGTTGTTTGCTTTACCCCGATTTCTGGTCGTATTACACGTCCGGGTTGAAGCATGTCGGAACACGGTGTCACGTCCTATCGTCCTATCGCGCCTAAGGCAGCCAAGGAAGATGAGGCTCGAGACCCTCCCCCGGTTCCCGAGAGTGGAAAGACACGGCGAGCGTCCACCGCGTGCTATGAGTGCCAGCGGCTGCGAACAAGGGTAAGGGTACCTTTTTACTTCGGAAAGAGTATCACTGTTAAAGCCCTTCTTGATGAAACTTCTGATCTCCATCCTGACTCGACCTCACATCTGCATTAGTCTGACCTGAGAAACCCCGTTGCAGTGCACCATAAAAGATACAGGAATACCTTGCACCCAGTGCCGTGTTCACGGTCGTTCTTGCGAGGTCAATGAGTCCAAGGACAAGCGCCGCAAGGCCGAACAAAAGCGTACCGAGGAACTCCTGAGGGTCTATAAGAGCCTGATAAATGGCTTGATGGAGATCATACGAATCGGAGACGGGGAGCTAACCCGGGAAGTCCTGTCTAGGATGAGGCAGCCCACCGGGCTCATCGAGCTTCAAGACCTCCTTAGCGAGTATGTGACGCTCGCTGTACCTGAGGAGGAGGAGGGCGAGGAGGAGGAGGAGGAGGAGGAGGTCGAGGACGAGGTGATATCTGAGCTCGAAAGCGACGAGTCCGATGAAGAGTCAGACACCAACTCTCTCGAGAGCCCGTCGATGAACGAACAAAACCTCTAGAGTGAGCCTAAGCTCGCTAGGAAGTCGCTCGTTTCATGCAGCAACAGTTCTTGACATTGACGACGACGACGACGATGATGATGATGATGATGATGATGACGACGATCGGCCTTCATTTCTGATCTCCACCACCCGACCACGGCCCGTCGCACATGGCTTGCACTCCGGTGCCCTTGTGCAATGGAGACCCGCTATATTTGTTGGGCTTGGGCCTGCGTCAAACAGGCGAAGCAGGAAGCATCGGGGATGAACTTTTCCCGCTGCCTTGTCTTTGTTCGTTGCGGCACGACCTGGAACAGAGAATGGGACACAACCGGGTTGGAAGAGCTGGAAGAGTTGAGCAGAATGGGAGGATACCCGTTGCGAGGCAAGCTGCCTTAAATATATATAGTGGGCGTGCGGCATGTATTTTGAAGCGGGATTTGATGTTCTTATGTTGGTTGCCACCAGCTCCGTGCATTTCGAGCCGATGCCCAATAAGTTGCTTTTGCGCGGATAACCCGTGACGTTGCCACTTCTTTAATTGCGTTCTCCCCTAGAATGGAATCTACATTATTCGGTCGGTAGTTTCTGAATAACCGGATTATAGCTTTGTATCCTCTGCAGGGTCTTCGGATCATCTGGGAAGATCAGTGGACGTGAAGCGTGTCTTGCATGGTACGCAGATAGACTGTACTGTACAGTCCATGTAGATCTATCATAGTCAAGGGTCCTCCCAGCTACATCAAATCACCGATTTGGTCCAACAAGATTCATCAGAGTACGTTTGCTTGCAATGGTCTAGCCCGTACCGCTGCTGGTCGAGGTCTAAGCTCTTTGGTTGATCTACAGTATATCTAGTAGTTATTCAGACTTGCTGTATGCAGCTGATTCGTCATGAGAGGTGACTTCGAATTGACACTGACTTAACAAGATACTCTATCAGCATCTGCATCTGTACAAAACTGATGCCCTGTACTGTATTGTACTGTACGTTCAGGAAGGGGGAATGAGACCAATACATAGGTGGATATCCCCATTTCGATTGCAGCATCTCCGGCAGCATCTCCGCGGAACTGTCCCCGATTCCGGCAGACTGACAGAGTGACCGGTTGACAGCCAGCCAAAGAGATGTTTGTTATGTTTGGGTCGAATTCCTTCGCCTCCCCCGCCTTTGGGATATCCGAGAGTAACTCCACCACTGCTGGCCAGCACCTACTCAGTACTACTACTTCCGGATTAGACTCACGATTTCCCCGCTCTTCTCGCCATCCCCGGAAATTTCTCCCTTCCACAAACTGGCACTGACTGCATCTCTCCATTACTACCTACTACGTATTCTTCTCCCCCTTTCCTGTGGTACCACCTCTCTCGTTAATCCCCCCACCAGCCACCAGCCTCGAAATCCGGGATATGTCCATATGGCTGCCACTGTTGTCGCTGCGGTGGACAGTTTGTCGTCACCGGACGACCCAGTGCCACTAAGAGTCGTCAGTGACAGTCACCGTCGGGCTCGGGCTCGGGCTCGGTTTCGGTCTCGGTCTCGATCTAGTGCCAATGGCCGAGATATACTTTCTGCAAAACGACCGAGAAGGTCCTCCGAGTCCTCCTCATCTATACTCAAATCCAATACTCCCCGGCAAAAGATTACCCGGGCCTGCGACCATTGCAAGGAAAAGAAGACTCGCTGTACGGGAACCATTCCCTGCGTAAGGTGTACCCGGCTGTCGCTGGTATGCGAATACAATGCCGCCTACTCACGGGGTCTTCCCCCCGAGCCCCTGCCTGCTTCATCTGGCGAGCAGCTCGGAGACACTCATGCGGTCCACGGTCCGAGAACACGGCGCTCACCTCCAATTGCACACTCATTGTCACGCATTGGATCAGCCTCTCACCAAGATCTGTATGATCGCAACCGCAGCAACGGTAACAACAACAACAACAACAACATCTCCCAGCGCAACTCACCGGACCCTGCCGTGACCGATCTGGAAGGTAATTATCTAGGACCGGCCTCAGGCTTGTCCTTCCTCAATCGCGTCTGGCGTCGTTTACATCAGGATGAGAAACGAGCCGTTCCCGATGCACTGCAGAATGAATCTCCATCCAAGAATACCTCGGTGTTCAAGTTCGGGGATAAACCATACGCGGCCCATCGCGACGTTGGATTCACACTGCCTCCGTATGAGAAGGCTCGGGAGCTGGTCAATACCTACTTTGACTTGTCCATGGTCACATATCGTTTCTTGCATCGCGGGAGTGTGGACCAATGGCTACAGCAGGTGTATGAATGTCATCATTCGGTATCCAACCCCCCAACGGGGCACATGGTAGCGCGAACAGCCATAATCTTCATGATCTTTGCCGTGGGCACTTTGTACGAGGAACAAGACCCAGATAGTCAGATAGATAGGCAGCATGGAAGGTGAGTGTGCTTTGCCTTCACGGCCTTGGACCATGGTGCAGGCTGATTTAATCGCAGCGAGCAGTGGTATGCGGCCTCCAAATCTATGACCGCCCTGGAGTCTGGAGCTCCGCGTCTGGAATCAGTGCAGGCGCGACTGGGCCAATGTTTCTATCTACTCTCTTCCTCCAGGGCCAACGAGTGCTGGTACTCCTTCGGTACAGCCCTCCAGCTGGTGACGGCGCTGGGTTTGCACCGACGGCACCGAGGCAAAGTCCCCCGCGATGGCAATTCCTATCTCGACCGCGAGCTTCGGAAGCGCCTGTTCTGGAGCACTTATACTCTGGATAAATATCTAAGCGTCATGTTTGGGAGGCCTCGTCTGCTTCATGATGAGGACATTGACCAAGAGCTGCCTGATGAAGTCCACGATGAAGACATGTTGGAAGAATATTCATCGACCAGACCAGGGGTGGGAGACTGTATGATGACCGCCTCCCTTCTCCACTATAGGTATGCTTGGATCTGCTCCTTGGTCCTTGACAGTAAGGATTAACTGCATAGACTGGGTCGGATTCTCGGTGAGATCTCGCGACAGTTGTATACAGTCAGCCCTCTATCGCGAGATGCGTCATTTGAGACGGCTGCACGCCTCATGACGAAGCTTGAAGACTGGAAAGCAGCCACCCCTCCACTTTTCAATAGTGTCCGGGCCACGAGCCTGATCCCTCCACTATGTAGGCAGAGTCAGGTTCTGCAGTTGGCTTACTCACACGCGGTGATTCATACGACCCGGTCGTTTTTGCTGAACGATTTTACGGATCTGAACCGTACGCCACAGATCCCCCATCCTACGGTGACTCACCATGTGCTAAAGTGCATCGAGGCTGCCGAGCAGGCCATGGGGTTAGTGGATAGCTTAGCGAAACAGAGGGTCCTGATACAATCGTTCTGGTTTACCCACTACGTGTGCTTCTGCGCCATCATTGTGGTGTACATATATACAATCCAACAGCATCGATTATCTACTACCTTTGGGATATCCTCCCCCGGGATCGAGGATGTTCACCATCTCTATTCCCTTTTCAGCCTGGCCGAAACCTGCCAGCAGCATCTGGCAGAGGCTACCCGGAAGAACTCACCCAGTCGTCGCTACAGCATCATTCTGGAAGAGCTGAGGCGAGAAGTCCGTAGGCGGATTGGCTCAGCCAGCGACACCTCCGAGGGATTTCGCGCTGTCTTCTTTCAGGGCCAGAATTCGAGCACGCTGGCGGAGCAAGGACAGTTGAGCCTGACTAATATATATCCTTCTGGACCCCTGGAGGCTGGCTCCTATGATTATCCGAGTGGATTACCGCTGACCAATTTCACACCGTCGCCTTTGGAGTCGGAGATAGACCTGAGTTTTCTCGATAGCTTGGACGGCTCACTCCTGTGGACGCAGATTGACTCCTGGGTAAGTGATATCGTTGTGATTGGATTTTGACCCGGAGAGACTGACTGAATGCTTCTTGCTTAGGCATTTACGAATCTGAGTAACGATCCGCCGACATTCCCTATGTAGCGACTCGATCATGATGTCTTGGAAATGCTGCATGCCTGGCCAGGCTTTTTTGACTGATCTAATGATATGAAATGACTACACGACTTAGGATGACATGAATTCTTCCTCCCTGTGTTGTATTGTCCGCTCGTTCGAATTGCCCCGGGCAGTTATTCCGTTGTTGTAGATGCACTAGGCTGATAGATCCACTGCCTTGGCTGGTTATGTTGTCAAGATACATGTGATACGCAGCGCCGCCTTCATCGCTGGTACTGACAGACAGACAGACTAAACTTGGAAATGGCTTCGGAAATGAGTTGTTGGAAACGAATGGGTGCCATGCAAGCATGCAGCCGAGTTCGGAGAAATATCCGGACTGACCGGATATCCATGCCTCGCTCCCACCGAGACCAAGGAGTGCATGACGGAACCCTTCTACCATGCGACTTTTGGCGATCCGGATTATGTGCAAGGAGGATGCATATAAGAGCTAGAGTTCCATTGATTTGTTCAGAGATGAATGCATCCTCATTGAGCGCAAAATCGGTGCTTTCTCGACCAAAATGCTTTCTGCAATACTCCCGCAAGCGCCTACTTTGCGTGCACCTCTCGCAAAGGACGATCCTGTCTCCCTTCAGAGATCCCAGCGACAGCCCTTGACTCTCGACGAGCTTGTCCGCCAACGTGCATCTCTAGGTGATTCACAGCCTGTCATTTCCTACCCGCACAACGGGATCGAGTATGTGGATTATCCCCTTCGCCAACTCGATGTCTACGCCTTCCGCGTCGCGCAAGTATTGGCCAAGAGTATTCCGCCTCGGAAATCCTCCGCGGAGGCTCCCACCGTCATGTCTTTACTAGGTCCTTCGGACCTCAATTATCTTGTCATGCTCCTGGCGCTGGCCAAACTCGGACATTCCGGTCTGCTGCTGTCCACGCGGATATCGATCGACGCCTATGTGTCGTTGCTGGAAAGAACACAGTCGAGGCATATTTTCATCCATTCATCCTTCAGAGATACAGCCGAAGAGATCAGGAAGCGCGTTCCTGACTTGCTCATCGATGAGATACCGACTGAGAAATGCTACGACTTTCCAATCCCGGACGAAGAAATTGACACCAACCTGACGCCATCTCTGGATCCGGTTGCGGAGTCCAAACATATCGCATGGATTATCCACTCCAGTGGCTCGACAGGCCTCCCGAAGCCCATCTTCCACACCCAACAAGCTGCCATGAAGAACTATGCGGGCCATATGAACATGTGCGGGTTTGTGACGCTGCCGCTGTATCACAACCACGGGATTAGCTGCCTGTTCCGCACGATTCATGCCAGCAAGCAGTTGCATCTATACAACGCCAAGTTGCCGCTGACGAGGCAGTATCTTCTTCATATCATGGAGTCTCATGACTTTGAGATCTTCTATGGTGTCCCCTATGCTCTCAAGCTGCTCGCGGAGACCCCCGAGGGTATCGCTGCGCTTGCAAGGTTCAAGGCGGTGATGTTCGGCGGGTCAGCTTGTCCGGATTCACTGGGGAACCTCCTGGTTGAGAATGGGGTACATCTCATCAGTCACTATGGATCGTAAGTACTTCTGTGATTGATCAATGAAAGCGTGCTGACAAAGATTGTAGGACAGAGACCGGCCAGTTGATGATGTCCACCAGACCTCGAGATGACAAAGGGTGGGACTGGCTTCGTCCGTCCGAGACGGTCCAGAAGTATCTGCAATTCGAGGAGCGGTTCCCCGGGGTGTTCGAGCTTATTTGTCTGGACGGCTGGCCCTCGAAGGTCATGTCCAACCGCCCGGATGGCTCGTATGCCACCAAGGATCTGTTTGTGAAGCATCCAACCATGACCGCATATAAGTACTATGCCCGGCTGGACGACACACTCGTCCTTGTAAACGGCGAGAAGGTGAACCCGCTCGACCTCGAGGGACGCGTCCGGCAGAATAGTGCAGTGAGTGAGGCTATTGTCTTCGGGGCGGGCAAGGCCTGCATCGGGCTCGCGGTAGTCCGTGCCCCTGACTCTCAGTCTCTGTCTGACGAAAAGATCGTGGAATCGATCTGGCCTGCCGTCGAGAAAGCCCACGAATCCATGCCTGCGTTCGGTCAGCTATCCAAGAGTATGGTGCGTGTCTTACCCGCGGATGCAAGATATCCTCGCACGGATAAGGGAACCGTTATCAGACAAGGCTTCTACCGGGAATACGGACGTCTGATTGAAGAGGCCTACGAGGCTGAAGACGCCATGACGGGGACCTTGGTACTGTCGGAGGCACAGCTCCGGTCGTTTCTTAAGAAGCAGCTCGCGGATATCCTCCCACTCAAGAGTCAGGGTCTGTTGACTGACGATGCGGACTTCTTTGCTCTGGGAATGGACTCGTTGCAAGCCACGCAGCTGCGCTCGGTGGTTTTGAGAGAGATCGAAACGAATGGACAGAAGCTGGGGCTCAATATCGCCTTTGAGCAGCCGAGCATCCGCTTGCTGGCTCGGTATCTTGCTAATCTTCAGACTGGCGTGACAGATGATGGTGAATCGATTGTTGAGCAGATGCAGGGCATGATTGAGAAGTATAGCCAGTTTGAGGAGCATGCGCCGTGTGCAAACGACTTGGACGGGCAGTACGTTGTAAGTCGTGTCCAATCTCTGGTGGATATGAATTTTTTTGGTTCGCTAACTACCTCCAGCTCGTCACCGGCGCAACTGGGTCTCTGGGAAGCCATGTCGTGGCCCAGCTTGCAGCCCACCCCGAGGTCAAGAAGATCTACTGCCTCATCCGCGCCGCATCCCCCATCGACGCCTACACCCGGCTTCACCAATCCCTCACCACGCGCCTCCTCTACGCCTCTCTGACCCCCGAAGCGCGCAGCAAACTCGTCGCCCTCCCCTCCAACCTCAGCGACGACTCCTCCCTCGGCCTGCCCCGTTCCACCTACACCACCCTCACCAGCGAACTCACCAGCGTCATCCACTGCGCCTGGTCCGTCAACTTCAACCTCACCCTCCGCAGCCTGGAGAAGGACAACCTGGGCGGCCTGAAGAATCTGCTGGCATTATGCCTCAAAGCCCACCGCCCCCACCCGGCCACCTTCAACTTCTGCTCCTCCGTCAGCGCCGTCGTCAACTCGGACGTCAACCCCGTGCCGGAGACCCTGCCGTCCTCGCTCGCCGCCGCGCAGGGCATGGGCTACGCACAATCCAAGCTCGTCGCCGAGCACATCTGCGCCCGCGCCGCCGCCACGGTGCCCGGCTTCGCCGTCCGGGTCCTCCGCATCGGCCAGGTGATCGGCGACACCGTCCACGGCATCTGGAACGCCACCGAGGCCATCCCCCTGATGCTTCAGTCCGCCCGCACCATCGGCGCCCTCCCCACCCTCGACGAGGAACCCCTCTGGCTACCGGTGGACGTCGTCGCCACCGCCGTGAATGACATCGCATTAGCCTCGACTGCAGCCCCTACCGATACCGATACCCCCACCGCCACTGATTCTGATCCAGTGAACGTGAATGTGCCCAGCAAAGCAGAAGGAGAAATCTACAACCTCACCAACCAATCCCCCTTCCACTGGACGCGGGATCTCCTGCCCGCCCTCCGCCGCGCCGGGCTGGACTTCGTCGAGTTACCTCCAAGCCAATGGGTGCAGCGTCTGCGCGACGCGGACCCGGACCCCGTGCGTAACCCCCCCGTGAAGTTGGTGGATTTCTTTGCTGGCAAGTATGAGTTCCCGGAGAGTGTGTTGGCGAAGCGCAGACGGCTGCGGTTCCGGACGGAGAGGGCTAGGGGTGTCAGTCGCGCGTTGGAGGGGGTCGGGACGGTGGTGGATGGGGAGGCGGTGCTGGTTAGGAGGATGGTGGAGTGGTTTTTGAGGGTGGGGTGGGTTGCAGGTGCTTGATTACTTGGTCTACTGTTCCTGTATATTGCGATTGAAGTGGGGGTGAGTAGTTGAGGAACTGGTGTTTATCATGCTGCTTGTACTATGCGTTGTGTGTATGGTGGGGGGGGGGGGTAATATGTGGTGCTGTGTTAAGGTATGGGTGCTTGAATTGCTTGGGTTTAGTGGAGAGGGTATGTATGTGAATATTCTGGGCTTATGCAGACAGGTGTCTGCTTCGAGAATACAAACACTACTGAATTTATACCGTATGTGCTTTGTTTTATGGATTGTTCAGAGAATATGTATGTACTGTACCACTCGTCAAGTTTGTTGAAATGCCCTGCAACACCCCTCTCCAGTAAGTAACCCTAACCAAACCTCAACTAGCTCGACTCGACTCATCAACTAACCCACTATACATACAACACACGTTGACTCCCTAGTCGAGTTGGATTTGAAAAACCCTCATTCGAAATCAACCACCCCCAACCCCCTCTCTCCAACAGCCTCCAAAACACTCTCCTTCACCATCCTCACCGCAACTCCCCACCTCCTCCCGACCCGCTGCTTCCGCTGCTGCTTCCGTTGCTGCTGCTGCTGCCGCCGCATCCGCCGCCGCTGGAACCCATCCAGCCCCTCCGGCCTGGAGATCTTGCCACTCGGACTGGGCGTCTTGAAAGCGTCTTCCTCCTCCTGCCAGCTTCCGAACCCATACCCGAACTCAGACCTTGCACCGCTAGCGCTACTGTGAGCAGAACCTGCCGGGCCATCGCTACCGCTACCGCTACCGCTACCGCCAGTACCTGTACCAGTACGAGTAGTCTCAGCCGTGACCCCCGGGTAATCATTCTCAACCAACCAGCTCAACCACCTTACGACGGCGACCGCTTTATCGAGGTCCCGCTCGTCCAGGACAACCCGTTTCAGGTACCGGGCTAGCGAGAGGATGTCTTCGTCGAAGGGGCCTGTTTCTTCTTCTTCTTCTTCCTCCTCCTCTTCCGGGTCGTCTGCTTCGTCTTCTTCGTTGGATTCAGGGGTGGGGCTGAAAGCGGTGTACCACGCTGTCAGGGCGTTGCGGAGGTCCGGGAGGGAGGTTAGGCGGTTGGCGGTGAAGGTGGGGCGTGCGGGGAGCGGAGGGAGGGGGATTGTTTTCTCGCGGGGAGGTTGTGGAGGGGCATTATTTGTTCCTGTTGTTGTGGATGGTGGTCGTGCGTGGGTTGAAGAGTGGAGGGCTGGGCGTTGCAGGAGACGGGTTCGACGCTGTTCTTCGAGGATCTCTTGGCGGATGTCTTCGGGTAATGCTGCTAGAAAGTCGGCGGAGACTTCTGTTGTTGGGGGGTCGGTGGTGGTGGTTGATGCTGAAGCTGAAGCTGATGGTGGTGGCGGGTTCGGGCGGACGAACTTGGCTTGGGTTAGGGTCGTGGCTAGACTGGATTTGATGATGGGAGGACGGCCGCGACGGCGTTTGGTGGGCGTGGTGGGCTTGCGGAGTTTGAGGGAGCTTGAGGATGAGGAGGTTGGGCGGGGAGGGTTGGTGGTTGCGGTGGTGGTGGTGGTGGTGGTAGGTGCTGATGTCCAGGGTTCGGGGGTTTGGTTGTCCGGGTCGCTGGAGTCGCGGGTGTAATAACCTAGTACTTCGGCCCGGACGTCCTCTGGTAACGCCATAAGCGTCTCTGGGTCGATTTGTGACGGCGGAGGCAGCTCTGCGCCCCCTATGGGTCGGCGCGTGCGAGTGGGCGGACAGGGCGAGGTCGACCGCGTGTCGCGGCGCGCCCGGCCCTGGGCTACCAGTTTCGAGCGAATGTCGTTGGGGAGTTCGGCGACGACCTGCGGGTCAATTTGCGAGGGCAGGATGAACTGTGTTCCTGAGATGTTCAACGGCTTGTGGCCGCTCTCGTGCATCGAGGGGACGGACCGGACGGTCTCGGCCTCGCCCCGTCGAGGACTCTCCACGTCGTCCGGGTCTTCAGGTCGCTCGATGCTCCTGCGGATGGGCGAGGCCTTGAAATTCAGCTGCTGCTGGCTGCCGTCGGGCTTGCGAGGAGACCCGGATTTGAGCGGTTCGAGTTTGGTCATTTGTACCCCCAACCCTCTCAAATCACCTGGTGAGATGCCAAAGCTGCGAAGCATGGCCACAGCCTCCTTTCCCAGAGTCTCAGACGCATTGGTTGCTACGCCGAGCATGACACTTCGGTTGAGTATGTCGCATTTGCCATGTCCCAAATGCTTCACAGCTTCCAGGGGCGCGTCGGCTGCTCTCCGCATCACCTTGAGCGTCAACTGCTTGCCCTTGACGAGGTTCTCGACTAGTCGCTTGTGCAACTCGTCGCACAATGATCGGATAAAATCCTCAGCCTGATTCTGATTGACGAAGCGAATCCCCCAGTTGACTTCGGCAGAGACAGACTTGCGTATCGTCTCGTTGCCGACCTCGGTCCGATCAATGCCTCGCGCATACTCCCAGAGCTTGACACCTGTCTTGGGACCCAAGCAGGATGTGAGCCTTTCACGAGTCAACTCCCGAACATCCTTCACGAACTTGACGCCCAGCTCCTCTAACTTCGCACCCATGCTATGACCGACGCCCGGAAGACTTTGGACCGTCAGACCCCCTATGAAATCAAGTACTTCGTCAGGCTTCAGCTGAAACTGACCCGCCGGTTTCGCTTTGCGCAAGGCTACTTTAGCCTGGAGGATATTGCCACCAATGCCCACGGAGACTGCGCAGCCCGCTTGTTCCTTTATGGTTGTCCGCAATGCTTGCGCAATCTCATCGGCTTTAGCTTGTTCCCGGTAGATAGACCCTTCAGAAACACCTCTCCCATCGGAACCTCCAGCATGCAAGCATTGCATCGTAATGTCCACAAGCGCTTCATCAATGCTCACACTTTGAACAATGCCGTCTACAGCGAGAATGGCATTGTAGAATTTTCGACTCGCCTCCTCGTATGCCGGAAAATCATAAGGTACGACCTGTAGACTAGGACACGCTTCCAACGCGCCTTTCATCCACATTCCGTTCTTAATCCCATGCGCACGCGCCTCGTAGTTGCAGCTTGCGATCTCAGAGCCCGACCCAGCGCCATGTGCCACCGCCACCGGCTTTCCTTCCAGATGAGGGTGTTTCAAGGTCGATACAGCGGCAAAAAAGCAATCGAAATCCACATGCATGATATATCGTCTGGCGCCGGGAACAGGTTTCGCGCGCTTGGACTGGGACTGCGACTTCTCCGTAGCTGCGGATTGGAGTTGGGCTTTGAGATTCGCCTTCCACGTCGAGAGGTGGTGCAAACGTGACTCTTTGTAGTATTGCTGGATGAATTCGGGGTTGACTACACTGGAGTTACGCATGCGGGGATCCGTCAAGAGTTGAGCATTGTATTCTTCAGAAGTCAATCCGGGTTTTGAGGGACTAGCTTGTTGAGCCAATGGGGATCTTTTTTGCGAAATATTTGAACGGGGAGAAATATCATCATTGCCTGGGTCGTCCTTTCTGGGTTCAAGATCCCTAGGGGAAGATAGCACATTGGTTTGTTGCGAGACAGGAAGAGGATTGCCCGTCTCGTCCATTGAAAAACTAGGGAATTCGCCATAGTCCGACTGGGAAGCCAAGTTCGGTTGTGTCTCCGTCGACGCTGAGCCCGCAGGCTGCCCCAAAGGAGACCTCACGGGGCTAGTTGCCTCCGTTGCCTGAAGTCGAGAGGCGTACCAGCTATTCCTGCTCTGCTCCCGATAGCCGGCCTGTGAACTGTTGGTTTGGCTCAGCATACGCCCATTGTCGAACTTCAAGACTTTCTGTGTGTGTCCTTCGTCAACGACGCGAAACTGATCCCAGGGGAGCAGGCGACCCGCCTGGACACTCTCCACCACCCATGCCGGTTTCACGATCCGATATCTTCGGAATTCCTCCCGTTTCTTGGGGGTCAGTGAGCTGGCGATGATGTGAGTGGCATCCGTCTTGCCGCTCAGATACTGGAGAAAACCACCACCATGGCTGACAATCAATTTATGAAGGTCCTGCAGAGACGGTTGGGTGTAACCATTCACGTGCGCTACGACGCCTCGAAAGATGGGAGGATTCTCAGAAGCAGAGGAGCGTATCTCAGCGTCCAGATTCTGCAGCTTGAGCTTCTTCCGGCGCATATAATCGCTGAAACCACCAAAGGTGGAGGCATCGTATTCTTCGCCACCCTCATCTTCGAACTGATCTATACAGTCATGCGATAAGCGATTAGCGATGCGGACGTGCCTGGCAGCGGAATGGGGAGGAGTAAAAAACCACGTACGGTTCTGAATACGCTTGCGCACAGCATTAGAGTTCTGGTCCAACACTGAGCCCATGTTGGGCCAAGAGAAGTAGCATGATCGGGCGAGGACAGTGAGAGTGTGCCTGTGGTTCCCGATAGTAGCGAATGAATGAATGGGTCTGGAAGCGGCAGAGGCAATGAAGGACTCACGGCTTGCGCGGGGAGTGGAGCAGATGGCTGCACGTGATTTGATAAGAGCTCGAATGATAGAGAAGGCGGTGACAGAGTGGATCTTCCGAGGTGATTGGTTGCCCGGGAAATTCTTGATGATGAAGAAAAAAAAAAAAAAGACTCAAAGGCGGTGAAGGACGGTCTCGGTGCAGCCACAGCAATTCCGGGCGTGCTGCGGCGGCGTCAAAACTTTTCCTTTCCTCGACTCTTCCTCCTCTTTCTGTTCCTTTCGTTCTTCCGTGCTTTCTGGTAGACGATCTTTTATCTGCCTTTTCTCTCTTTCTTTTTCGTTGGGCTCTGTTCGTGTCCTTCTTTACCAAAACACATATCCCCTTCATATCACATATCACATTCAAAATGTCTGGTGTTCAGCCTGTTGCCGTCTATGCGCTCAGAGTTCCCGCTGGCGGAGCTCTGATTCCCGCAGTGGTCCCTGAGGCTGCTGCCATGGTGAGTTCAATTGACATTGAGACTAAAGACCATCTCGGAAATGATGCTAATGCGATGTGAAGTTCCGTGTGACCATGGCTGCCATCGACCCCGATGAGGCCCCCGAGTACGAGGATGGCTTCGACTCCAACAAGCGTCCCCGCGCCACCTTGAAGCTCGTTCGCCCTCCTCCTGGCTTGGACCTCGAGGACGAGTCTGATGATGAGGACTACGAGGACGACTCCGAGGAAGACTCCGAGGATGACGAGGAGGTCAACGGCGGCCCCAGCGACAAGGAGAAGGCCCGCAAGCTCAAGCTTGCTGCTGCCCGCAAGGAGCTCGAGGATGCTATGGAAGAGGACTCCGAGGAAGATGACGAGGATGAGGAGTTCGACCTGAAGGCTGCTATCTCCAAGCTGGTCAAGGGCAAGGCACCCGCCACCGATGACGACTCTGATGATGAGTCCGACGAGGGTCTCGAGTTGGATGAGCTGGTCCTCTGTACCCTGGACCCCGAGAAGGTAAGAGCAAAATCCCTGATCATGCCATCTCACAATCCATTGACTCATTCGCCATGTAGAACTGCCAGCAGCCTCTCGACATCACTGTCGGTGAGGAGGAGCGTGTTTTCTTCAAGGTCACCGGTACCCACACCATCTACCTCACCGGTAACTACGTCGTTCCCGCTGATGAGCACGGCCCCTGTGGTTCCGACGACGAGGATGACTACGACGAGGACGACTACGACCTCCCCCCTGGTGAGGAGGAGCTGGATCTCGAGGCTCTGTTGGGCGAAGAGGATGAGAGCGACGACCTCGATGAGCTGGAGGACCCCAGAATCACCGAGGTTGAGAGCGACGAGGAGGCCCCCAAGCTGGTCGAGACCAAGGGCAAGAACAAGCGTGCCGCCGAGGAGGCCAAGCCGGCTGCCAACGAGCCTGCCCTGAGCAAGAAGCAGCAGAAGAAGCTCAAGAAGAACAACGGCGAGGCTGCCCCCGTTGAGGAGAAGAAGGATGCCAAGGAGGGCAAGAAGGTTCAGTTCGCCAAGAACCTGGAGCAGGGCCCCACTCCCTCCGCTCAGAAGCCTGCGGAGAAGCCTGCTGAGAAGACCACCGGCACTCTGGGTGTCAAGGAGGTTAAGGGTGTCAAGGTCGACGACAAGAAGCTTGGCAAGGGTGCTGCTGCCAAGGCCGGCAACACCGTTGCTATGCGTTACATCGGCAAGCTCGAGGATGGCAAGGTCTTCGATGGTAAGTCCAAAATCAGATCTCCTATCAAGCAATCACTCGACTAACATGTGTGACTACAGCCAACAAGAAGGGCAAGCCTTTCACCTTCAAGCTTGGCAAGGGTGAGGTCATCAAGGGCTGGGACATCGGTATCGCCGGTATGGCCGTCGGTGGTGAGCGCCGCATCACCATCCCCGCCCACCTTGCCTATGGCAAGCGTGCTCTTCCCGGAATCCCTGCCAACTCGAAGTTGATCTTCGACGTTAAGCTGCTCGAGATCAAATAAGCAGTTTCCCGGGGATGTTTGTTTCCGCCCTTTTGCTTGTTGACCTAGCACCCAGCATCGCTCTGATTGCGGGAACGCAGTCTCTCATCCTATTGCATTTAATCTTTCTATTGCTATCATGTCTGTTGGATTTAATTTCTTTCCCAAAAGAATCGGTGTTCCGGGGGTTTTCGAATATATGACTCTGATTTCTGTGATATCCGACTTGTTTCTTTGCACAGCCGTCCGCTGCATTTGGCAGGGAGGAGGATAGTAACGGAATCTTCGTGTTCACAATCTCAAAAAGTGATTGCATATCATCCATCATACATCATCTTGTCCTCTCGTCGTAGTCATAGCGCTCCTTCCTCAGTAGACGTATGTACTACTCTCGTGGGGGTTGCCCAATCGGGACTGCATCAATCCACACCTCTCGCTGCGCCAACCTCGCAACTCCCTCATCTCCTCCGTAACTGCATAGGCTTTCAACTCAGAGGCGTTCCATGTCTCAACAGAGTGACGAAGCACATGAGGGTGCCTTTCTTTCTTTCATTCTATACCATAAGCAAGCAGCACATGTACTTCTATGATTAAGGGTAGGTGCATGACGAGTTCTACGCCCCCTCCATAGTATCAATATTGAGTCGGCCCAATCGCCTCCAAGCAGCTCAGGATGGACGAGAGCTCGCAAACTCCGGATGATAACCCAACATCTCTCGATATCATGAGCAGTGAAGGATCTACCATCGAGACAATGATGTCAGGTCCTCGAAGCTCTGATCCTCACCCGAGCCAGCTAAAGAGCAAGGACAGCGTTCGAGAACGTATCCGTCAACGGAGCTCGAGAATACTGTCACTCCTAGGTCTCCGAAACTCTGCTCAAGGTACGTCGCCGCTCGTTCAATTTCAGTGAGTAAGACCCCGAGCTAATTCATGACCATAGTACTGAAAGCAGTGACAGCCCACGACCTAGATGACCTGCGAAGAGTCGAGGGTGACCGCGTCCTACTACAGACCTTCCACTCTTTCCCTGCTCCTGTCGAAAATGGACAGAATGAAGAGCAGTCCAGTCAAATTGCAGTCCTCGATGGATCTCCGGATGCGTCTGAAGGATCTAGCCCAGCTGGTAACATTGATTCCAGTCCCAATCACGTCCAAGAGTCAATCGAAAATGTCCAAGCCCACCCAGAGGCGTCCCAAAACCCCTCAGAAGCACCCGTGCAAGCCCCTCTCCCGATTGTACGACCAAGCCACAAACGATTATCCGAAGTTTTGAAGCGAAGTCAGTCGACACCGGCAGCTCTCACACATATTGTGTCAACCAAGCTATCAACCACTTTTGGAAGTCCTACGGTCATCCGTCGCTCACATCTTCGCTCGCGGCCTAGTTTTCGGCTCCCTCAGTTTCCAGGGCCGTCACTTGCCCCTGCATTGGATAAGCAAGGCGATAGTGCTCAGGATAGCTCCGATCCCCAAACCTCGCCGGAAGACAGTGTGTCTCCGACTAGTACACGTTCCACTCCTCAGACAACTCCTCCCACAACGCCTCCCACATCAGGAGAGCCGTCAGGAGGCTCGAAGCAAGGCATTCTAGATGCCGAGCAGGCGAAACAAACAACGTCACCATCTAGCAGCGACGAGGGTACACATACCCAAGTGATCGAAGGCTCACTCGGTCGGCCGCCCTCGATCATTACAGTGGAGGCTGCTGCCAATGCAAAGGTCTTCTTCGAAACACACTTCAACTCGGTATTTTGTGGGACGGATCTTCGCTCGCAGCGTCAGCATGAGCTTGAACAGTATATCTATGGCCTTCCTTTGGCTCCCGAAGAAAGGGCGAGAATTTGGGAAAACTGGATCATCCAGGAACGGCAATATCTGCGCCAATGTCGTGTTCTCAAAAGTCACTCTCGTTGTGGCCGACAGGACGAGACGGTATCTCTCGCTGGATTTGAAGCAATCAAGGTTCTAGGAAGGGGGAGTTTTGGAGTTGTGAGGCTGGTCAGAGAAAAGAAAGTAGCAGAAAGTGACGGTACCAATGCACATGGGGAGAAGCATTCATTCTGCAGAGGAGAGCTGGCAAAGCTCAAAACCCGGTCTATCTCTGTCATAGATGGGACCACAAGCACACGTCGGAGGATGATGGCAGGGGTAAAGAAGGATGTATTTGCAATGAAAGTGATCCGGAAATCTGCAATGATACGCAACAGCCAAGAAGGTCACCTCCGAGCTGAACGAGACTTTCTTGTTGCATCGGCCAAATCTCGATGGATTGTGCCATTGATTGCAAGCTTCCAGGATCGTGATCATTTGTATCTTATCATGGACTACATGGTCGGTGGTGATTTCCTGGGATTGCTAATGCGCCAGTGCATCTTGCCCGAAGAAATCTCCCGATGGTATGTTGCAGAGATGATCCTGTGTATCGAAGAAGCCCATCGGCTATGTTGGATCCATCGCGATGTCAAGCCCGACAATTTCCTCATATCTGCGTCCGGTCATTTGAAAATATCCGACTTTGGCCTAGCCTTTGACGGACATTGGGCTCATGATCAAGTATATTACAATGAGCAGCGATACTCCCTGCTCAGGAAACTCGGGCTTCAAGTGGCCGGAGATTCTCAGGACAGAAAAGAAGCTCGCAAGCCGGCAAAGGCATCATTCCATGATTTCGGTCCTGGAGCCGAAACTGACTGTACACCACCTACGATGGGTCTGCTTGGATGGCGTGACCGCACTCAGAAGCGGCGTTTGGCCGCAAGCGTGGTGGGAACTAACCAGTACATGGCACCAGAGGTTGTTCGGGGTGAGCTATATGACGGCCGATGCGACTGGTGGAGTATCGGCATCATACTATACGAGGTACGATGGTCGTTGAGATGTATGAACAGTGCTAACTCGAGTGCGACAGTGTCTCTACGGCTTCACGCCCTTTGCTTCGCACGATCGTCAGAAGACCAAGATGAAGATCCATGTACGTGGCTGTACGATACCTGAAACCCCTGATGAAGCTAATCAAGACAAAAGCATCACCACGAGACACTCTGTTTTCCCGCTAGTAGAGCGTCGGACAAGCGGGTTTCGCCTGACGCAATTGACCTTATCAATTATCTGCTTCAAGAAAAGGAGCATCGGCTGTCATCAAGCAAGTACAAGATTAATGACTCTCTGAGCTCCCGATTACCATCCCGACATTTCTTCTATAACATGGACCCTCGCAGTCGAAACTACAAGGGCTTTTACGTCTTCCCAAACGACGCAGCAGATATCAAGATTCATCCTTTCTTCCGCAACATCAAGTGGGATGAGATCCATCAGTCGGTTCCTCCATTCGTCCCCAAAGTGAAAGGCTGGGAGGACACCAGGTACTTTGACGATGCAGGATATGAGGGTGACCACGATGATATCTCCATAATGTCGGATCCTGACCACCCCGAAGACGACAGTGAGATGGAAGAACCGGTTCCAGCTAAAGCCGAAACTCCTTCGCCCCAGGATGCAAATCGACATCCCGCACCTGGTCCAGGTCCAGGGCCAGGAGGTAAAGCCTCTCCGCACAAGGATCGCAAGAGGAAAGAGCGAAAACGCCCGCGGGACAAGCTTCTGCGTGACCGGCAAATGCGGAGAACAGTGCTCGAGATGCGCAAGAAAGGGGCATTCTTGGGTTACACCTATCGACGTCCCAAGTCCGTGGCCGTAGCCTTGACCCCTGATCGGGGTCGTCACCGTCTAGGGCGAGGCCAGCTGTCGGAACTATATGGCTCGTAGCATCGTTGGCTGGGTACCGTTTAACTCATGAACCTCGGCAATCAAGAGCGACGAACGTACACGAAAGGCTCATGATGTATTCTTCATTAGACATTATTATGTGGCAGACATCACTCATCCCTAAGAAGCGAGATATCTTACCGGTATGTGTACATGTACCGGCTGTCAGTCGTTATTGGATATTGATACGATGAAACGATCAATTACTTCCACAGGTTTTGAACATCTACTTCACAGCCCACAGTAGAGAATATTCTTATTACAACAGAGCAAGCTACTAGCTGCAGGGGTCATATGAACTTGTGCAACCTACGTGTAGGAGAAAGGGATTATCATATGTTTATCTCATTGGGATTCAATCTTTGAAATGGTCATGTGCCCAAACGACAGAGCTAGTCATGGCTAGCGGGACCTTCTTTGTGATGTTGCTTAATTCCAGCGCCGCGCCAAGGTAACGCCAATTACATGGTCAAGTCAAACAAAAGCGCGCGAAGTACGAGATGAAATATGCTTATTGCTTATGCTTCTAGTCCCCCAAGCGCCGCCTGGCAATTTGGATTTCACACGCATGTGACATTGCGTTGCGAGCTGATCACTGCAAAATCGATAGTTCTAAAGCAGCCGTGTGTATGGGAAACACGTTAGGGTGGAATACCGGAAAGTAGGGGATACAGACGGATTGTTCCCAAAGCCTGATATCCAGGCAACAGCGATCTGTGATGAAGGTGTAGGAGGGGAAAAAGTAGGAGAGGAGCAAGAGAGCAGAAAAGTTTGAGAGTTGGGGGTATCATTTGGTCAAAAGTAAGAGATATGGGAGGAGTCAGGACGTAGATGCGATTTGGTGAGAAGAGGTGCGGATGTGTCGAGGATTGATATAAACTTGTAGGTGAGCGACGGCTTGCATTCACAGAGCAGGAGGCGCGCCCATTGCAAAGGCGGAGTCGCTGACCCGGTCTTCGGGTTTCATGGTGCCGTTGAGAAGGGGGCAGAGTCTGTTTGGCGGTTGTGGGTTCATGTGTTAGCTTGGATTCCTCAAATGGGCTTTTATGAAGATGGGTCCTTGTCTTCCGATGCGCATCTTGGGGTATGAAGGGGGTGAAAGGATCCCATGCAGTGGGCAGCAGCAATGGGTTGCTGAGCTTGCTTGTTTCCGCTAACTGGGAATCCTGGGGAAGGAGGCTCTAGCGTGGGAGCCAGTGCCAGATGCACATCCAGAGTCAGGTCCAAGGGTGGTGGTGGGCTTTTTTAAAATGCCTTTTATGGGGAGTGCCATGCGCCTTCGTCCATCGCCTCCTGTATTTCCTGCGGCTGTGGGAGCCGGAGGGGAGGTGGACAGAGACGGGCGAGTCGACGGAGAAGCAGTAAAGAATGAGGATTGGCAATCAATTGGGGGGTGAGGACACTCATCCTGGTTGAGAACGCACTTTTTGTTGGTCTTGATATGGCCGACCTGGCCGCAGTTGGCGCATTTGCGTTGTGTGCCAGCGGACTTGCCGGAGCCACCGCCACCGTCGGCGGGTGAATCTCCGGCGGAGGCACGGGCAGCTCCCTTCTGCTTCTCGCGGGCAAAGCGACGCTCCTTGTTGCGGTTGAGACGGCTCAATTCGGCTTCCAGACTGTGGTGGAGTTAAAAAGGTTAGTATGCTCAAGCCCCGACAGGGCGTAAAACGTATGTTTAGGAAAATAGACGAGACATACAGTTTCTTGTTGCGAGCATCGATTTCCGGATCGCCGGTGGGCTGCAGAGAATCCAGTCTGGAACGGTTAGTCAACTTGTCCAAAGCATTGGGAAGGGAAACCTTACTTCGTGCTCAAGGCCTCCACGCGGTGACGGTGTTGAATATAGTGCCGAATAACCTTAGGGTCGAAGACCATCTGTTCCTTCTGATAGAGTTGACCTTTTTCGTCCTTGTATGTCCGCATGATGCGCAGAACTTTGCCTCTCTGGTCCGGCAAGCTCATCCTGCTGAACTGACTGGTCGTCTCGTCGTCGCGCCGATATGGGGCCGGCGTAGGCGCTTCGGATCTGGGTGTCGGCTTGCTGTACTCGGCTTCGTCATCGCGGTCAATGTCGCTCTCCTCATCGGAATGCTCAACGGTCGACGACAGGCTGGCCTTCTGCGCATCCCAGATGCGGCGAATGGACGTTTCGTAGGATTTCTGCTGCCGAGCGACGTTGTAGCTGTGGCCACCCAATTCTTTGAGTCTTTGTGCATCGAGTTTATCCTCCACACTCTCGCCAACAGCCTTGAATCCACCCTTCATGGAGGTCTTGATAAAGCTGAAACCCTCTCCACGCCCAGTAGGGTCACCTTCACCGTGTAATTTGAGCATCGCTTTACCCTGAGAGGCCAGAAGAAAGTTGCGTGTAGCCTTCCAGGGTGCCATTTGCTGTTCAAAGCTCTCGCCTTCTCCATCGTCATCGTCGTCGCCGCCAGTCTCGGCATCGTTGCCAAAACCGGTGTCGTGAAGATGCTGCTGGCCGACCTGCATGGATTCCAGCAGACATACATCCTCCGGTTGTACCCACGACCGAATCACATCCTGCTCCGGAACCGGTTCCATGGGCACCCAGTACTTCGAGTCCTTGTCGTGCTGAAGAAAGTCCTTCACCTTCTGACGGTTCTGCATATCACTGGTGCCGGGAATGTGCGCCGTAACGTCGCTGATGGAGAGTCGGAGGTCGGGGCTCTTCTTCAGCAGACGATAGACCAGCATCTTCATACGATTCTTCGCCACGGTGGTGACCTTCCGCGAGTGGGGTCCAGGTACGTCCACCGAAGGAAACTGCTGCCCAGCCACATACAGATTCTCAATGTTCCGGATGTAGTAGTCGCTACCGCCGGAGCCAGTCGTGCTGCGCACGATCAGGAAATCGTTCGACTTGGCCTGGTGCTGGAATAGCGGTGCGCGATACATGGAGTTGGAGATTGCGGGGGTTATCTCGCCTGGATCGACGTGACCGAAGATTGAGAACGGACTCTTGTCTTGAGGAAGCAGGACAACGGTCTCGCCAATCTCTGCCTTCGGGCGCGTGGGGTCTTCCATGCTCTTCCTGCGGTAGTAATTGATGAAGCGGTTGGACATACCGAAATTGGACAGCATGATAGGCACTTCTTCCGAGTATTCGACCAGCAAGACGTTGGAATTATCAGCCAGGGAGAGGGACTTGGTGGAATCGAAGAGGGCTTTGACGTCTTTGCCCCTTTGGTGCTTGCGCTTGATGTACGCGGTGTTTTTGAACCAACATGTCTGTCCCGGCCTGAAAGCAAGTGCCGGACGGTGGAACGAGCGAGCTTCGGCCTTGGCCAGCTCCGTCTTGTAGTAAGGCCACTGCAGGCGTAGAGCAGGCATACTGTGTTCCAACGTAACATTGCCCAGGGTGCTTCGCACCTTGTTCTGATGGTTTTGTTTGAGCATATCGTAAGCTTGATCATTCGAGATGTTGTACCGTGAAGTGAGACGCTTGGTGACACTGGCGTCCATTTCATCGCGGTTAATGGCTCCCAACGCTTTGGGCTTCTGCGTGGCATTCTCTGGTCCGCGTTCATCGAGGAGGATATGAGGGTCGTTCATGTCGACAACGACCTTCTGTGCGATCCGCGAGGTTGCCTGCTCAGGGTCATCGACAATGGGCACATCGATATGGGCGAGTGCCACCACCTCCAATGGATCCCGACCAATTTTGCGCTTCTTCGTAGGACGATTTGTGTCGAGAAGCCAGTCGTCCTCCATGTCAACATCTTGAGCCTCCGGCTCATCAACTTCCATGATAGAGATATCGTCCTTGACATCCCAGTCTGCGCAAACGATTTGAAGGTCATGCAGGGAGACACCGCCAGGCAAAGTATCATCAACGTCCGTATCGTGCTCGAAATCCTCTCGAATCTCCTCCTCGTCCTCCTGTGCAGCCTCCAGAATCGTCACCAAGCCCGAATGCTCCGCTTCATGCGGGCGTTTGAAGACCTGGCCTGCGGCCTTGAACACTCGCTCCTGGTCCTGCGCCAACTCAATGTTGACTTTACTCGGGATAACCGGTTTCGGAGGCTTCAGCGGCTGCTTGCCCAGAAAGAAGGCCTTCTTATGCGGGATCAGCTCGAGAAACCGGGGTAGAGCATTCCGGTCAAACGTGGGGAATAGCGAATGCAGCAGCTCCTCGACGTTCTCCGGCGGTGCAGGCGGGTTGTCCGGCCCGTACGCCGACATGGCGAACAGCTGCTGCTGTAGTTTCCACGCCCGCAGCGACGCGGGATCCATATCCTCCGCCGTCGGGCTCATCGCCTCATCCTCCTGCAGAAGATCCACCTCGTCTTCATCCATCGGCGCCGCCGCCGCTGGCTCCTGTGACAGAGAAGGCACCGACACCTCCATGACCGGCTCCGGCGCGGCCGCCGCTGTTGCTGCTGCTGCCGCCACCGACCCCTTCATCACCGGTCGTGCTTCATCAGTCGCCGCTGCTGCTGCCGTCGTCTCCTCTTCCTCATCGAAGAACAAATCTCGCGTGGGATCCGCATGATCCACGCCCGGCGAGGACGGACCCTCGCCGAAGAGATCGTCCAGCTCATCGCGGGGACCTTGCTGTGTATCATCCTCACCCTCCTGGCCGGCAGCACCAATATCATCCTCTTCGCCGCCGCCGCCGCCGCCGCCACCACCAAAAAGATCCTCGTCTTCCCCTCCAAAGAGATCCTTGTCCGCGTCTTCATCGCCGAGATCCATCATACCATTGTCATCCTCGTGGTCAGCAGCAGCGGGGGGGCCCGTCCGCTCTTCTTCTTCGGGAAGCTCATCGTCATCGAAATCCTCGTAGTCCACGGCGTCGTCGGCCTTCTCGCCGGGTTCCAGATCGCGCGACAGGAAATCGAAGGACATGGCGCCGTCCCCGAGGGGGCCGTTCATCTGTCGCATCACATTTTCGAAGACTGAATCTTCGGTCTCAGGGACCGGGGGCTCGGTCGCGTGAGGCATTTTGACGGCGAAAGTGTGGTTCTGATCGTAGGTGTTGTAGAGAGAGAGAGAGAGAGAGTTCGGCTGGTGGGGGATGGAGGGATGTCACGCGTTCGGGCGCATCGGGGCTGGCTCTGTCTACCAGAGATGGTGACCGACCTGGGAATGCGTAGAGATATGTGCTGCGAGTGAAGGGAACGTGAAGGAAAAGCGAAGAGATGGTGGTTCAATCCGACTGCAGGAAGATGGCACGGGGAATGCAAAGCGGCGAGAGGAAGAAGAGAGAGTGAGAGCGAGAGCCCGGCGGAGTTACACCGCCCTAACCCCAATCAGGAAAGCAGCTTATAAGTTCTGGGGCCTCGAGTCCAACGACCTATGCTGCAATTCACACAAATTCTAAAGTGCTTAGGGGTATTTGATTACTTATAACCAGACAATAATGTACAGTAAAGTGCAAGCCTGCGAGCATATCCAAACGGGGTGAGCTTCATCTCCGCATCAGCTAGATTCAGCAGGCCCAACAAACAATTCTAGTGAAAACAAGAAAGCAAGAAGCAGCACAAGCCATCATTGCAAATCGAACCCACCATAGTATACACAGAGGGCTTTGCTCGCACCCTCCATGCAGTAATGCATCACCGTTGCATTCTGCCCGTCCTTGACCACCTTGGCCATCTGCTTCACATCCGAGGTCCGCGGAAGATAGAGAACCATGTGCTCGGTGAACAGCGAGTATTCATTGTATAATTTCGCCAACGAGTAAGGCTCCATCGTCCTGAGGTTAAAGACTTTATCCGACCGGTAGCCGGGTCCTACACCAGCTTTCAGTCAGTGACATGTTTTTTCACCTCTCCAAATCGGAAACGAGTATCACCCACCTCCCCAAGGCGGACTAGCGAACAGAACACTGTACGGAGCCAGATCCATCAATTGATTCTTGATAATCTCGAAGCAGTCCCCCTCAAACCAGGTGATCTGGTCCGCGACGCCGTAGATCTTGGCGTTGTGTTTCGCGCACTGCAGGACGGCCGGGTTCTTCTCGATGGCGTAGACACGCTTCCACCGGCCGGAGAGGGCAAAGGCAATGGAGTTGCCGCCAGCCCCGGCGAAAGCATCCACCAGAACCATTTTGTCCGCGGGCGCGGAGCTGGCCATATGCTCTGCAATCTTACTGGAATATTGTCAACTCCGAACGTGCGCATTCGCGGGCACGAGAAATACAATGCGAAACGTACTTGGCCACGGGCTCCGGAGTCACACCGAACCAGGCATCATCGGTCAACCACACCCCCTCGTCATACTTGGAGAAGATCTTGTATCGTTGAGCCCAATAACTGTGCGGAATGGAAATAGTTAATTAGGTCTGAGATGCATGCGAGTTAAGATGATTTGGGGAACTAACTTCTGGATATCCCACGGCACTTCTCCGAGCTCGTAGTAGTGATGCACCTCCGGCGGAGGCACATCTTCCTTTGGATCGCGCGCCATTAAGCAGGGAGCGGAAAATCCCCAAGAAGAATCTCTAACAGGTTCTGCTGCTTGACTCGATCGCAGCGCGGCGGCGCATTATTACCGACGACGGAGAGAGAAGCAAGACCGATAAACCGGGGGCGATAAGCGATAAGTTCCAAACGGGCAGTGTTTGCGTTGTTTGTTTGAAACACATGGCCAGCCAACATAGTTACGGGGCATGATTCCTCCCTCCACGTTGCGCCCATCAACGAACAGCTTCCACTACATTGAGGTTGAGGACGAGACTGTACACCCCCGATCGCATTCAACCTTAGTCTTCTTACAGTCTATATCTCCGCGCGACATGTTCGGCGCCTTCAACCGCTTCATCGGGCTGGAAGCCGAGCCAGCTCAGCAACCCCGATCGTCGACCGCGGACAACTCCTTCGGCTTTCAGGTACTCCGCAACAAGGATCCGGAGGTGCCCCTCGAGCCGTGGTTTGATTTCATCATCGGGATCAATGGACGTTTGATTGTACGTTTGCTAAGTATACCTGGCCGTATATCTAATCTTTTCCCAAACTAACCCCTCCTCCCCTCTAAAACACAGGAAGACCCAGACCCTCACCTCTTCGCAACCGAAGTCCGCAATTGCGCCGGCTCCAGTGTAACCTTTGAAGTCTGGAGCGCGAAAGTAAGTTCCCCCAAGCCATTCCCCCTTCAACCCTCCTCCCTAAACTTTACGCTCTCCAGGGCCAAAAATCGCACAGCGTCTCCCTCCCCGTCCCCGCAACCGCAACAACCCCAACCCTAGGCCTAGCCGTGCAACTGGCCCCGCTCTCCTCGACGCAGAACATCTGGCACGTGCTGTCGATCCCCTCGCCGCTGAGCCCGGCCTACCGGGCGGGCCTCCTGCCGCACTCGGACTACATCATCGGCACGCCGAGCGGCACGCTCCGGGGCGAGTCGGCGCTGGGCGAGCTGGTCGAGGACCACCTGGACCGCACCCTGGTGCTTTGGGTGTACAACAGCGAGTTCGACGTCGTGCGCGAGGTCGAGCTGATCCCCACGCGCGGCTGGGGCGGCGAGGGCGCCCTCGGCGCCGAGCTGGGGTTCGGAGCCCTGCATCGGTTGCCGGTCGGGTTGGGGGAGGAGGTTGAAGGCCCTGGGGAGGTGGTCTTTGAGAATGCTCCGTCGGGTTCCCGGGGGGATGGGTCTGGGGCGCATTTTGGGGGGTATGGTCAGCACCAGCAGCAGGAGCAACAACCCCAAGGGTACGGGTTCGGGTACGGGTATGGGTACGGGGATCAAGAGCAAGGGCACGAGCAACAGCAACAGCAACAGCAACAGCAACAGCAACAGCAAGAGCAGCATCAGTTCCTCGTGCCGGCGAATCTGAGCTCTCCGCCTCCGCCGCCTATAGTGGGGACGCCAACGAATCGCGTGGCGAGTCCGGCGACGACGACGTCGACGGGGGCGGTAGCAGGTCATGGACGTTCGCACCGCAAGGCGAGAGCGGCGCCCAGTCCGTCGGCCTTTGATGAGTATTTCGCCGAGGGGTTGCAGAAGAGTAAAGAGTTGGATTATGCCCCGTCGAGTCGGAAGGGGACTCCCTTGCCGCCGCCCCCGAAGAAGGGTGGTGGTGGTGCGGTGCAGAGCCCCCCTCCGCCGCCTGTAACGAGTGGCTCGCCGAGTCCCGCGGCGGAGTAAGAAGAGTACTAGTAGCAGCAAAGAAATCTTTTATATTTCGTTGTAAAGCATCGTGCGTTGAGTCTTTCGGAGTTGAAGCTGTCAGGGTTCGGTGGGGTCGGTCTGCTGATGAGATCCTCTTTTCTTGCCGTTCATGGCCCCGGATTGTTTACGGAGCTTGCCACAAGTTATGGGAGGAAGCTTGTCTAGTACCGTATTTCTTAAATTCTAACCCTCTTAAAGTACACACATACACACAACCAGACAAAATAGACAGAGAGACGGAAGGAGGATAAGTTATGCCAGCAGTAGATATAAGAGTCCGGTAGGTAGAATCATCCCAGTTCCACGGCCACAAGAAAGTCTTTCAACCAGCGCTTGGAGGTAAGGAAAAGGGAGGAGTAGCAATATATCACGTCCGCTTCGAAGCAGAGAGAGGAGAACACAGGAGAAGGCTAAACACCAAGAATTTAAGGCAGAGAAAGGTAGATTGCATTCTAGCAAGACAAAAGAAGCACCGCTTTAGTGGCCCTTGCTGACAATCTCCTCCAGCTTCTTGCGGGCCTCTCCAATCTTCTCCTCCATCATGGCGCGGCCCATGGCGCTGTGGGCGACACCGGTGTGGTAGAAGTGCTCGGCCTGCGCGCGGAAGCGCAGGTGCGAGTCGGCCACGACGGGGACCTTCTTCTCGTACTCCCAGACGAGGTCGGAGACGTTGCGCATGGTGACGGGCAGCAGGGTCCAGGCGGCCACGGTGCCGAAGGCGAGCGGGGAGGCAGTGCGGAGGATCAGGCCGCGGTTGCGCGAGACAATGGAGCCGGCCATGGCGGCGACGACGACGTAGACGCCCCCGGGGAGGAGGCGCTCGCCCGACTCGGGCGAGGGGGCCAGCGAGGCGACGGTGTTGGTGAAGGCGTTCTCAATGTGCAGGGCCCGCGACAGGAAGTTGTTGAAGCAGGTCTCCACGGCCAGGGAGTTTTGGTACAGGAATAGCCGGGCTTGACGGACCTGGGCCGTCAGGATATCTGTAGGAGTCGGGGAGGAGGTAGCGGAGGAGGTGGTGGGTGTGGCCGGGATAATGGACGACGAGACGGCGGCGGGCGTCGTGGGAGTGGGAATGTTTCTGGTGGTCGGAATCTCGTCCTCGTAGTCATCGTAGATGGGTTTCTTCTGGATGAGAAAGAAGAGAACAAAATATCGTCAGACTACCATTGCTGTGACTGCAGTCAAGTTCCATGACATGAGAAGGGAGGTCGTACCAGGTCCCGGGGCTCTTCTGCAAAGGCCGTCCGCCGGGGATAGAGAGCGACTCCTCCAGCCAAAAGAGAGGCGGCGAGGGGAGCCACAGCCCGCTGTTTTGAGGCGGTTAGTGAAGGGGATTCGAGCTTATGAAGAGTTGCATTTCGCACCTGTTGGAACATTGGCCGAAAAGACATGGTGCAGAGAGGCCAATGGAGGAGGGTGGGGGGAGGAAGAAGGTCGGAGGGAAGTTGGATGGATGAAGTTCAGATCGGGAATGACGGGAGGTGAACCTTTGAACTTCAGGTTCAGAAGGGAAGGAAGTTGCCAAGCGGGTTTTTCGCTCTCCCGTCGCAGCGGCGGCTCGGCCACTCCTCCGTCATCGCCCGTTGATTTCCTTTCCCTTTCCTTTTCCTTTTAGCCTCTCCCCTTCTTTCTCCGCTTCCCTCCTCCTCCTCCTCCTCCTCCTCCTCCTCCTCTTTCTCGGGCTCTTCCTTTCTCCACATACACCTCTTATCTCTCTATCCCCTCCCCCCCCCCTCCTTCCTCTCTCTTTCTCCTCTCCTTCTTTCTATCTCTATTACCGTCCCCTACTCGTGTCTCATTTTGATCATCAACATATTACCTGCTCGTTCTCCATGGTATAAGCCGATCCTGATGTCAGAACACCATCTACAAGCCACCCACTCGCCCTAATCCCCGCGTATCCCATCATGGGGTCGCCTCACATGCTCATGCCACTGCGGCGGCGTCCGTGGACTTGTCGCACGTGTTTGTCCCAGGCCCGACGCTCACTGAAGACTGCTGCCGCACACCGTCCCGCTAGAGACTACACGCCCACCAAGAATGATCACCAGAAGAAAACCGAGGATGAGACTCTCCGACGCATGTTCGATTCGCAGCCCTTCTGGCGGGAGTTCTCTCGGAGCAGTGCTGCCCAGTTGAAACCCACCGGGCTGGTTCAAAACCAATACCTTACCAGCCCAGATGGCTTCCGCGTCTTCGCTACCTCCACCCTGCAGAAATGCCAGGCGATCGTCACCAAAGTGCTCGCCGCCTCGACCTTGAAAGAATACCAGACCATGGCCCGTGATCTCGACCGACTCAGCGACCTGCTGTGTCGGGTGATCGACTTGTCGGACTTTATCCGGGTTATTCACCCGGATCCGCAGGTGCAGGAGGCGGCCACGCAGGCATATGCGCTCATGTTTGAATACATGAACGTTTTAAACACGACCACGGGTCTGAATGATCAGCTGAAGAAGGCAGCTGCCAACCCGTTGGTCACGGCACATTGGTCGGAGGAGGAGAAGATTGTGGCGCAGATCCTTATCAAGGATTTCTCTAACTCAGCCATTCATATGCCTCCAAACGAGCGACAGCGGTTCGTCAACCTATCGACAGAGGTCAGCCAGCTAGGGTCAGCCTTTGTCAATGGCGCCGAACCGGCCCAGGCTAAAGTGTATGTCGAGGCCAATAACCTGCGCGGCTTGGACCCCATGCTGGTGCACAAGATGAAGCGGTGGGGGACTCGCACCATATCCGTGCCGACTATGGGTCTCATCCCGCGAATGGCGCTGCGATCGGTCCACATGGAGGACGTTCGCCGAGAGATCTACCTGGCTACGCGGACGTCGAGTCCGAATCAGATCCAGGTTTTGGAGAAGCTGCTCACGAAACGGGCGGAGCTCGCGCAGCTGTCCGGCTTCGAGAGCTTCGCACATATGACGCTCCATGACAAGATGGCCAAGAGTCCGGAAGCCGTGGCCAAATTTCTGACGGCCCTTGTCGGCAGCAACCGTGAACTCGTCAAGGAGGAGCTCGCGCAGTTGCAACGCATGAAGGGCGCCAGTCCACTGCAACCATGGGATCACGCGTATTATGTGCACGGACGGGTTCAGCAGTATTCAATGGCGCGCCGGTCGCGGGAGCTGAACGCAGTACCCGAATTCTTCTCGCTGGGCACGGTGATGCAAGGCCTGTCTCGCCTATTTGAGCGACTGTATGGAGTACGGTTGGTGCCTCGGGAGACGGCTCCCGGTGAGACGTGGATGTCGGACGTCCGCCGCTTGGACGTGGTCGACGAGTCCGGCCGACACCTTGCGGTCATTTACTGCGATCTATTTTCGCGGCCCAACAAGCATCCGAACCCGGCCCACTTCACCTTGCGGTGTGCGCGGGAGATCTCCGCCGAAGAGGTGGCCGAGTGCGCGACAGTGCTGGACTCGTCGGCGCATCCCAACGATGGCATGGCGACGGCGATTGACTCGGAGAGCAAGACGCTCCGCCAGCTCCCCACAATCGCTCTAGTGTGCGACTTTCCCGAGCCCCCCGCGACGGGAGCGGGACGCCCGGCTCTGCTGACTGAGCACAGTGTGCGCACGCTGTTCCACGAAATGGGTCATGCGTTGCACTCCATTCTCGGACAGACGCGATTGCAGTCCATCTCTGGAACGCGCTGCGCGACCGACTTTGCCGAGCTGCCCTCGGTGCTGATGGAGCATTTTGCCATGGCACCGGAGGTGCTGTCGCTGTACGCCCGCCACTGGGAGACAGACACCCCGCTCTCGGAGAGCATGATGCGGAGCATGGCCAAAGACCGGTCTGCGCACGCCTCCGTCTATGGTGCTGTCGAGAACGAGGCCCAAATCCTCATGGCGCTTGTGGATCAGGCTTACCACACGCTGCCGGCGAATCGGCCGATCGACAGCACGGCACTCTACCATCAAGTGGCGACGACGCATTCCAGCCTGCCCGATCCCACGGACACGCAGCCGCTTACGTCGTGGCAGGGATTCTTCGGCCACTTGTATGGCTACGGGGCCACCTACTACAGCTACATCTTCGATCGGGCGATCGCTAATAAGATCTGGGAGGACGTGTTCCGCGGGGGCCAGGCGGCGGTGGAGCGAGACGCCGGCGAGCGGTACAAGAAGGAGGTGCTCCGCTGGGGTGGTGGACGCAATGGGTGGGAGTGCGTGGCTGGAGTCTTGGGCAGCCAGAACGCGGCCAACGCGGATGGGCGGTTGGTGGAGGGCGGCGACGAGGCGATGCGTGAAGTCGGCCGATGGGGACTGGGGCGCGATGGAGTCTCTGGGTGAAGTATGTATAAATATCAGGTCATCTGTATACTACGCTAGACGGAAATGCATAGAGCTGGTGCTAAGGTTGAAGTCTCACAGGGCTCCTTTTTTTGTCTTTCTTGCTTCCACCCCGGCCAGGCGTAACGGTAGCACGGCAGCACGGCATTTAACGCCACGAGGATGTTGAACGGTCTGGGTCAGCACGGATGCTACTGTAGAAGAGGAGGTCTGCATGGATGGTAGCTTGAGGAGGGAAGAAGATTGGGGGAGGTAAGGAGGGTGAGTTTAATGAGATTCCTGGGATTGAGGGAGAGGGAGAGGGAGAGGGAGAGGGAGAGTTAAAGCTAGGGCTGCATGTCTCAGCATCAGCTGTAGACTAGCTGGAGACTACCAGTCCGGCCATGCATGTACTTTTGGCTCTTATCTTTCCTCCTCATCTCCAACTACTACCTACTACTATATAACCCGATCCAACCCGTCATCCCATCCCACCATTGAAAAGAATGTCCCCTTCTTCATGTACAGCACTGCACCATATCTATTCTACTATAAATTAATGCCTCTCTCTCCGACATGCCTCCCCTCAATCCTACCCTCACAACAACTTCAACTTCAACCTCATCCACCCTCCCCCCTCCCTCCTCCATCACCCTGAACCACAACCACCGCTCCACCTCCACCTCCCATCCCGATAAGCACCTGACCCCAAAGAGGAATCCCACTCTTCTCCGCCGCAAATCCACCATCCACCACCTCCGCCACTGGCTCTCGCAGCACCTTCCCAACCCTTCTTCTCCATCCCCATCCCACCCCCCGAAACTTCTCTCCCGCTCCAAGTCCCTAAGAAAACCAACCTACCATCGCTCCGCACCGCCTCCTCTCCAGCCCCAGAACCACCCCCAAACCCCCCAAGACCTACAACACAGCAAACCCGAAACTGACACCGACACCTTCTCCACGACCATCTCCACCAGCAGCTCAAGGTCATCCTCCCCGACCCCGTCCACCAAACACCTGAATACAGAGTATGAGGCGTACTGCCGGGCGTTTTCGTCGGGGTTGACGGCCGAGAGTTACGCCTACACTAACGGATCTGCCCCGGTGAGGTATGGAGACAATCGAGGGGATCAGGATCAGGATCAGCATTACCTCGATGCAGCAGCAGCTGCTGCTGCACGCGCAGCAAAAGCAAATCCAGGCCTAGAGCCCAACACCACAACCACAACCATCACGGAGAAACAAACCCACCTCCACGCGCAAACAGGGTCACAGGGCAGAAATGCGGACGCAGACACGAACATGGAGACTGCATACGAAAACGCAAACACAAATGCAGGTGCAAACGCAGCCCAGATTCCAATCCCTGCTTACAGCACCAGCGACCACCAACCAAACGGGGAAGTTGCAGCAGCAGCAGCGCAGCCCACCCGCTCCACCACACCAAGAACCACAACCAGAACCAGAAGAGAACGACCATGGCGAATCGACGAGATCCGTCGACCGGAGGATGTGCGGATGTTGTCCGGGGGGTATCAGCACCATCACCATCACCACCACCAAAAACAAGACCAAGACCACCGGGCTCATCACTCGCAGGATCGACACGATCGACAGCACTATGGGGATAGGGATAGCGATGCTGAGCCCGAGGGGAACTCCAAGGGAGTAGATCCTCCCCACGATACCACCACCACCACCCCCGCCACCATCACTGCCACTACAACCACCAACATAACCCCGAAGAACCATAACCACACCGGTACCCACATCAATAATGCCGACAAAAGCAAAGACATAGAAATGTCCTACAACCACAACAACAACAACCACCACAACCCAGGTACTAACCACGAAACCAATACCCTCAGTGCAAACCCTAACCCTCATATCACCACCACAACTACCACCGATACTAATACAAACATCACTAACGAAACCACCACCACCACCACCACCACCACCACAAAACCAACCCCAGAAGAACCCCCAGCACCAGCAGCACCCATCTTCCCCCTCACAACAGTCAACCCAACCAACCCAACCACTCAAACCCAAGAAATCCTGCACTGGCTACGACACCGCTCCTCCCTTGACTCCCTTGACAGACAAGGTCAAGGGTTCGAGCAGCATCGGTACCTCCACGAAGGAGACGATACCGACCCGGACACCGACGCGGACACCAACACGGACCGACAGACAAACACCACAGCATATGCAGATACACATGCTGCCCCTGCCCACTGGCACCTCCAGCCACCCCGCCTCTCCCCGCCGCTCCGCGTCCTCACCCCGGCACGATATGAACAGCTCCGCAAACACACTACACAAAATCAACCACCCCGAAAACATTGGTGGGGGGCGGTGCAGAGCTATTGGGCGCGAATGCGGCCACGAAGCGAGGCGGCCAGGCGGGAGGCGAAGAGGGAAAAGCAGGAGGCCGACTGGTGAGAGACAGGAAAAAACCTACGGTGCAATTTAGGCCTTACAATCTCCGGCGTTGTGTGTCACCCGCCACGGCGAACAAGAAAAAACAAAAGAAAAGTCCAATCCAGTCGGGCATGAAATCGCCGGGTGTGGATGGCTTTTTTGCCTGCTGCTTTTTCCTGTGCAACCACACCAACACGTCCAATGGGATCCCCTGGAGAGGGGCATTGTAGAACACGGAGAGCCACAAGAAAAAAAGCGGAGAACAGGGGTATCCTGAGTATTCTATTACATACAGCCTAGGCCAATACAACAATAATGAAAATTCCTCTTCGGGACATCATACGACAAAGGAAATAGGGTCATCCTCCCCCGAGCCCAGAGTCTTCTTCGAGCCCAGAGTCTTCTCTCCCCGTTCACGAGGATCCTTCCTCAATCCCTTGCTCGTCCGAACTGCTGCTCGAGCCGTTCGCCTTCTCGGGTTGCGGTGTCGTCGACTGACTCGGAGGGTTGGGCGTCGCCCGACGAGACAACTCGGCTAACTCGCCAAGGATTCTGAGACAAGTCTGGTCAGCAGGTGCGTCGGCCAAGTATGGGAAGAAACTCTTACCGTCGGTGCTCGTCATACCAATCATCATTAGTGGTACGGATGTGTTTAAGCTGCTCTTGGATGCTGGCCATCTATACATGTCACAAAAACCAATCAGTCACTCCATGTCGGTACATACGTTGGGAACGGGCGTAGTCATGTGAAAGGGTGGAAATGGGAGGGTGATGGCGATAAACGGGGAGATCCCACCGTTCCCTGAATAGATGAACCAAGGTCCTCACCTTCGACTGCGGTGGAACCACCGTCTTCTCTGGCAAGGGTCTCTCCAGCCCACCGGCTGCCGTCCAGGCCAACCGACGAGCCCTTGGCACTGTCCCTCTCGGCCTTCAGCGCCGCCACTTCCGCCTCCAGTTCCCGCGTGCGCTTGCGGCTGGCCGAGATCATCGAGTCGACCTCTCCCAGCTGGTTGAGGAGCGACATGTTCTTGTCGATCTGGCTGTTCAGGTCTCGTTCACCTTGAAGGACGCGCTCTTCCATGCTCCGGTTCTGCGAGCGGAACTGCTCGAGCTCGCCCGTCAGAGTCTCGTGCTGGCTCTTGAGTTGCGACAGTTCGTAGTTGGATGCGGCGAGCTGTTGCAGGACCGCCTCCAACTCCGTCCTTGCGCTCTGGGAAGCAACCAAGGTCTGCTCGAGCTCTTCGACCCGCGCCGACACAGCTTGGTGCTTCTCTTCCAACTCGTGTTTCTCGGCCTCGACCTTGGAAAGATCGGCGCTGTGCTTGCCAGCGAGCTCACCGCTCACCGCAGCAGACCGCTCGGCTTCCGTCAGTTGGTTCTGAAGGTCGGTAATGGTCAGCTTCAGGCTCTCCAGAAGAGAGGCATCTTGGGCAGCAGCTTGAGCCTCCACGAGCTGAGCGTGAACTTCCGCCAGGGTCGCGTCGTGCGCATTCTGTAGCTCTTCAATCTTAGCCTGGTTCGTGGACTCGAGGTCAGCACGGAGGTTGGAAAGCTTCTCCTCCTGGATCGTCAGGAGCTGCTCAATCGCCTTGCTATGCTCTGCATCCGATTCAGCAGCCTTGGAGGCCTGGCTGGCCTGCAGCTCACTCTGGAGTTGTTTGTGGGTTTCCTCGTGCTGCTTCTGGAGCTCCGCGATTTCCTGGGCGCGAACCTCAGCCTGGGAGGTGATCTCGTTGGCATGGCGCTGAAGGGCCGTGTTGAGCTCGGCCTGGAGAGCTTCCATCTGCTGGGCGTGTCTGAATTCCAGGTCACGCAGAAGAGCCACGGATTCCTCATATTTAGCCTGGAGCTCACTGAGTGCCTGCTCCTGGTTTCCAGAAACGTCCGTCCGAGCCTTTTCAAGTTCGACAGCATGTTCAGCTCGGATAGATTCGAGGGTCTGCGCGTGTTGTTCGGCAACAGCAGCGGCCTCTTTGGCCTTATCTTGCAGCTCCTTGCCGGCAGCGATAGCAGCTTCCTCCAAAGACTTCAATTGGCTCTGCTGCTGGGCATCCTTAGCCTTGGTCTTGTCTTCGAAAGCGTCCAGGCTTTGCTGAAGGGCCTCAGCCTGTCCCTGCTTGGTTTGAATCGCATCCTGGAGGGACTTGATCTCGCCCTGGCCGGTGGACAGCTGTGATTCGAGGGCACCGACCTTCTCCTTGAGAGACTCAATTTCCTGGATGGCTAGGTCCTGAGCCGAGTTCGCACCATCATCCAAAGCCTGTCGGACCTCGGTGAGATTCTGCTCCGTGGCCTCCAACCGTTGCCGGAGGGCATTCAACTCAGCCTGATGCGCAGCATCGAGTTCGGCGAGCAATTCCTCGCGGTCCTCCTGCGCCGCTGCAGTGGAGGCTTCGTAGGCGGCTTCAGAAGCCTGCAGTTTGTCCCGGAGCTCCTGAAGTTCTTGAGCGTGGGTGGTGCCTGCGGACTCGACCGCTTCCTTAGCAGCAGCAAGCTCTTGTGCATGGGCAGCAGCAGCAGAAGCGAGCGCTTCCTCGTGCTTCGCCTTCAGTTCAGCGATGGTGGCAGCATGAGAGGAGATGGTTTCCTCATGTTCAGAGTGAAGATTAGCGACTGCAGCCTGATGAACGGCTTCGAGCTCCTTAGCTTTCTCACCCATGTCGGTCTCCGTGGCGCTGCGCGCCTCAGAAAGCTCGGCCTGCACCTTCTCGAGAGCTTCTTGATGCTCGAGTTGGAGCTTGGCGACTGTAGCCTCGTGAGCAGCAGTGAGCTCTTTCGTTCTCTCGCTCAAGCTAGTCTCGGTGTCGTTGCGCGCCTGCTGAAGCTCAGCCTGGACCTTATCAAGGGTCTCTTGATGCTCAGACTGAAGCTTGGCAATCGCAGTCTCGTGTGCGACCTCGAGCTCCTTAACCTTTTCTCCCAGGCCGGACTCAGTGTCATTGCGTGCTTGATCAAGCTCAGCCTGTACCTTTAAAAGAGTTTCTTGGTGTTCGGATTGGAGCTTAGCGATCGTAGCCTCGTGGGCAGCCTCAAGCTCCTTGGACTTTTCGCCCAAGCCGGCCTCGGCTTCCTCGCGTGCCTTCTGGAGCTCGGCCCGCACCTCTTTGAGAGTTTCTTCATGCTCGAGCTGGAGCTGGTTGATGACGGCCTGGTGTTGAGCTTCAAGCTCTTTAGCCTTCTCCCCCAGGCCAATTTCGGTAGCGTCGCGTGCCTGCTGCAGCTCAACCTGCGTCTTCTCCAGAATCTCCTGATGCTCAGACTGAAGTTTGGCAGTTGCGATCTCGTGGGCAGCTTCAAGCTCCTTGATCTTCTCGGCTAGTGCAATATCCACAGACTCACGGGCTTGTTCAAGTTCACCCTGAGCTTTCGTGAGGGCTTCCTTCAGGTCGGCGATTTCTTGATCCTTCTCAGCAAGACGGGCAACCGTCTCCTCACCACTATGGTCAGTGACAGATCCAGCTTCGGCCAGCTTGGTTTCGAGCGAGGCAACCTTGTCCTCCAGGGCAGCAATGGTTTGCTTGGCAGCCTCCTCAGCCGCCCGAGCCTCTTGTTGCTTGGCATGGTTCAGGCGATCCATCTCCATGTGCAAGGTTTCCACCACTTGGTCACGACCGTTCAATTCTCGCTGAAGATCGTCAAGTTTGGTGGCCTTGGCTTCCAAGGCTTGGATGACCTCCGCGTATTGGCTCTTCTGCAACTCCAGCTCGGCCTTCAAGGTATCGAGTTGCTCGACGTATCCAGCAGCCGCAGCCTTTTGCAATTCCAGCTCCTTCTCAATCGCTTCCAATTGAGCCTGATGAGTCTGCTTCAACTCTTCCAAGGCACCAGCGGTCTCATCGTCTCCGGCGGCGGCAGCTTGCTGGGCCGCCTCCTCTAGATCCTTCAGAGACTTTTCCTCGAGCTCCTTGTGCTTGATCTCTGCTTCTTCGAGCTGGACCCGCAGGGCCTGTAGCTGCTCCTCATGCGTGGCTGTCAACTTCTCGATCTCCGCCGTATGTTGCTCTCGGAGCGCTCGGGTGGCCTCGTCAATATCCTGGGTAGCAGTCTCATTCGGAGCCAAGGATAATTCGGTCAATTTGATGTTGACCGTGTCTAGATCTGCCTTCAGCTTAGACACCGTGGCTTCACTCTCTGACAGCTGGTTTTGCAGGGATTGGATTTTCTCCGCATCCTCTCCGGCGCTCTTGGGAGCGGTGCTCAGACGCTTGGTCACAGTGGATGTGGCGGGTTTCGAGACCAAGGAAGAGGGACGGGTAGTTGGGCGTGCTGCGGCGGATGAGGAGGTGGCCGGGCGAGAGGTCGACGTAGCGGTAGGCGGCCTCGCGAGAGGCTTCACGGTGGACGCTGTACTGGGACGAGAGGTGGAAGTTCTCTTCTCGGCCGTGGTAGAGCCCGCAATGCTGGAGCGTCGATCCAAGGTGGAAGTGGTGGGCTTGACCGGGGCCCTAGTGGCGGGGGTCCCTGCCAGCGACATGCGCTTGGCTGCACTAGAGATGCCTCGCTTCTCGTCTCCGGAACTAGCCACCGACCGGGACTTCTCGTCTGTGGAACTGACGGATGCGCGAGACCGGTGCAGGCTTGTGGTAGTGGAAGTGCCGAGGGGCTTGCGCACAGTAGTTGTACTGGTCGGCCGGGTGGGTGGCTTATTCAGGGTGGTACCATTGGTCGTGGCGGTGCGCGAGGTCGAAGTTGTAGACTTGGGAGGTCCCGAGACCGAGCTGGGCCGTTTCGTAGCGCTAGTCGTCCCCGAGAGCGGACGTCTAGTGGTTGTAGTGCTTGTTGGGCTCTTCTTGACCGGCGATGCCTTGACATTTTCCTTGTCCCTGGAGGCCTCGGGGCTTGTCAGGGGTCCCTCGCTCCCGGAGAGCATGGTTGACTCGACGGGAGTCGCGGGGGGCGCGATGTCGGCCTCAAGCTCGGCGGGAGCGACAGGGGCGACAGGATCCTCAGTGGAAGCCATGATGCGGTGTGGGAGGAGGTCGCGAGTCGTTGGTCAAAAGGGGGTGGGCACCACGAGCTTCTTAAAAGGGGAGGGAGAGAGAAAGTTCTCAAGTGGGGATTCTAGCGAATTGACAGTGTCCACGTTAGCTCGGACAGCGAAGACAAAATAAATTGAGGGGGGAAGTATAGTAAACAATGCTAAAAGGGACAGTGCAGATGATACAGCTCCAGCTGCCAAAACTGGAAAGAACAGCCAAAGTCGCCAGACAGCACCAGGTCACCAAGGAAAATAAAGGCAAGAACGCAAGCCAGTGAGGTTGAATGTTTTCATTTCCCTCAATCCGGCGGAGGGAGCAGCGACGGGTAGCCGAGGCGGATCTCCTTTTTTTTTAGCCCGCCAAACTCCGGGGGGGGGGGGCCAGGACCCAGGCGGAGAACAGGCGAGACAAGCGCAATTTGCGCAACCAACCTAAGCGGGCTTCTCTCAATGGCAAGGAGCTCTGCTCCGACAATTGACCAGAAAGAAATGATATGATAATGGAGGGGGAGGGGGGGGGGCAAGGGAATGGTCGGAGGAGTTTGTGCTTCTGTCCCGGGCATGCAGATCCAGAGGGGAGAATGTATGAGTAGTTGGTACTGTACTTACCGAGAACTGGAAGTGGTGGGAAGTAGTTATCAACCACAAAGGGTACCCAAAGGTGGAACGAAGAGGCGGGTGAAAAGAAAACAAAAAAAGAAATAAATTATAGTATTACAAAAGTAAGTAAGTACAAGAGAAAAATAGACAGAGAGAGATGAAGGTGGAGTGATGAGAGAATTGTCAAAATGGAAGAGAGGGATGAGGAGAGGAAAAGAGAAGAGGGAGGGAGGGAGGAAGAAAAAGAGAAGTAGAAGAATAGGAGAGGAGAGGAGGAGAAGGAGGAGGAGGAGGAGGAGGAGGAGGAGGGAAAGGAAGGAAGCTGTCTACCGCACCACCACCTGTATGTACAATAGGTACTGCCAGTACAGTCAGTAACTTACTCAGTACATTGGAAAGCTCCCCTCCTCAAGCTTTCCCCTCCAGCTCCCCCTCAGCTCCCCCTCCCCCTTCCCCCAGAAAAGGAGCTTCCAGCCAGTCTCCTCCCACCCTGCACTATTTGTTGGCAATGTACTGAGTGTACTGTACTCCGTATACCTCCCAGCCAATCTCAGCTCGTGTCCAGAACAACATCCTGTCATTGAGTTTCTGACAATATCTACATTGAATTGAATCTTTTCACCTCCTCGGGTCAATTGTTTGTTGTTTGTTGTGGATCAATCCCCCCTTTCTCTCCTTTCCCCGCTATTTAAAAACAATGTGATCCATGGTTCCATCCCAAGCCCGTGGTTGGAACTCAACACCACCACCACCACCACCACCACCACCACCACCACCACCACCACCACCACCACCAACAACAACAACAACAACAACAACAACAACAACAACAACACAACAGCACATGAGCTTAAAATTACCGCGAACCTGGGATGTTTGTCACCCACTCCCATTTGTTCCGGCCCTCCTCCGTCGTCAACTCCTCTCCGATCTCCGACATGTACTTTTCATACAGTTCTTGAGCTTTCTTGCGGAGGTCAATGATCCCGCGCTTTGGGAGCCGTCGCCGAAATTCACCCATGATTAACTTATACCGGTTGCTCGATTTTTCTACAAAATCATCGCGTCAGCCCTCAAGCTATAATGTCAATCAGGGTGTGGAAAGCACTTACCGGGATAGTCCTGCAATCCCTGGCGAAGAGCATCCTCTTCGTCCTGCGTCCATGGGTTCAGATTCCCCCGTGGCGGCCCTTTCTTTTTCGCGGGGGGGTTGTGTCGTGACGCTTTCTTCAATAGGCCATAATTCATGGCCTGGATGAGCTTTTCTAGGGCGCGACGAAGGCCCGACTCAACGCAGCTCGGTTCATCGCCCAAATAGCCAGAGATCGAGTCAACCCACTGAGCCCACTCGGAAAGCGTAGTCAGGTGATCACGGAGGTTACCATACGCCTCACTGAAGAGATTCTCGTGTATGTGGTAGATCTCATAGCAGAGAAACACAACCCGCGCCATAGGGCGGATTATCTCTCTGTAGAAGGCCCGCACCAGGGCCACGCCCTGCTTCTTGTCCGCCCGGGTACTACCTGCCTTGCCCAGATTGAAAACCTTCTGGAGCAGCTTTTCGTGCTTCTCGTTGGCCTTCCTCAGGAGTCGACCGCAACGTGAGACTTCATTGTCCGAAGGCCCTTCGCCACCCTCGGAGCGTTCTACGAGGTTGTTGTAGAGCGCGATCATCGACCAGATCGGTTTTCGGACCGAGTCGAGCTCAGTAGTTCTGTATGACTGACTCAGTCGTGTCGATTTCCGACCTTGCCTGATGATAGCCTTCCAACTTTCCTTTTGGCCATCCGCCTCGGACGCTTTCAAGAACCACGGGCTGTCCGCTAGGGAATCCGATTCCTCGTCCGAGCTCTGTCTGGAACTGCTATCTTCATTCGATTCATTCTGCGGATGTTGATCAACGTGAGAATCGGTGCGTCTCGGATGTGGTGATCCAGGAGTCGGCTGCGCTACATCTGCCTGTTGACGGGACGGGACAGCGGTCCGTCTCCGTTTTCTTGGGGTTGCAACCGGGGACGGTTCGGCCTCAGCAGAATGCACGCCAGAGTCGCCCGAGTCATTGCGGCTTTCACTTGAATCGGTGGGGCTGTGTGCATCGTCTGCGGATTCTTCACGGGTTTCATCAGGCATGTCTTGAATTGTTCGAGGTTGATTGCGAGTCCGTAAATGGCGCGATAGATCTGCTCCACCTGGGTTTCCTGTAGTAACCGACTTGCTTGATCGTCCCAGCGGCGGCTCTTGGCGACCTGAGGCTGATACTCCGACAGCAAGGCTTCGCGAGTTGCTGGGAAGTGCTGCTTCTATTGCTCGTGTTCTTCTTCCCTCTTTTTCGCCCCGAAATTTGGGACCGAGGGACTTTTCCACTGGTATCGAAGCCTTTCCTCGTCGCTCGGTACGATTCTCCGCAGCCGTTGAAGTCTGATCCATAGTATATGAGTTGTCATCATGCGATGCTTCAGTTGACAAGCTTTCCATTTCTTCATCATTCTCGCTTCCAGCCTGAGAAAATGGACTTGTGGATTGGCGCTGGCTGCTGTCCGATGCTTCAGAAGAATGCTCTTGCTCATCCCCAGAAGGATCCATGTCTTCGGCTTGATGTGAGTGAGCACTACTCGGCGTCGCCAGTCCTTTCACTGATTGTAGCTGCGACTCATCGTCATCTGCCACGGACGACGAACGGGAAGTATGCTGTGCAGGTCCAAGCTCTTGATCATTGTCAGAGAAAAGATTCAACTGAGGTGGATCGTCTTCCATGGATCTCTCCTCTTGGACATCAATCATCTCGGTGTCATCATCGGACCTATGGGCTTCCTCGTCGCCAATGTCTGCAAGAACATTCGCATCTTCGTCTTCCTCAGCATTGTCGTAAGCATCCTCACTTCCTTCCCCGCTATCGCTTTCCGCAACCCCGCCATTGCGCTGCCCTTTCGTCCCGGACGTAAGCACTTCGCTGCCATATTCAGGCACTTCAGTGCCTCGCAGTCGATTTTTCCACGATGGTTGCGCGGTGGGGAGTTTCGCTGGGAGTCGGCGTCGGGGCTCCGACGCCGGGGCCAATTCAGGAGATCGCGGAATCTCCCACAGGTCCTCACGAGACGGTCGGATCTGTGCTAGAGTGATGCGACGTGAGCGGCGTGTAGGAGTATTCGGAGAGTTGATGTTCGATTCGGAGGGAAAGGTCTTGTGCATCACGGTGTTCAAAAAGTCGACCGACTGCGTGGTGGAGTCACGCTTCCTTCGTCGCGACGCGGCGGAATGCGGAGATCTTGCCATGTTGAACGCCCATAGGGTTTGAACCTCAACGGGACAAGCAGATGCATTTCCTTCATAGCATTATGACATGAAAATGAGGGGGGAAACGATAGTCAGCGTGAACTTTGCGGGGGTTGAACCGGAGGGGGTGACTGACAGCTGAAGCTGCCTGCAACTGCGGCTGCGGCTTGTCGGACCAAAACAATCGATAACACACTAATTTACTACTAGTCCATCCAAGCGTCATCGACCGTTATCGATAAGTCGGCAGAGCAAACAACAGCAACTCCGTTGCCCGTCCCTCCCACCACAACCACGGCTTTCACGAGGGCAACGCAACCTGTTGGCGCAGCCCCAAATTTTGGTCTATCAGATTAGACAATTAAAACCACCTGATCGCTGAGACTCATCCATTAACTTGGACAAAGAAAACAGTTACACCAATTTCCAAGATGGCTGCAAACGGGCTAGTCCGTGTCTTGCCTGTCATTGACCCCTCCGCGGGACACAGCTTCAGGGAGCCCATCAAACGCATCCACGAGCACCAGGATGTGTCGGAGTTCTTGTGCTCCAAAGGCTACGTGGACATTATGACCTTCCTGCTGCAGCTCAACCGGTCCATGTTCCCCGCCAAATTGCCAGATGGGCGTGTCCAGACCTGGCCGGTGGGATCGGATGCGGTCGAGTACTCCGCCCCCGTCCGTCAACTACAACAACTACTATCCAAGCTCGAAGCGATCCTGGAAGAAGCACCACCCGATAGGGGGCCCCGCAGATTCGGGAACATTAGCTTCCGCCGGTGGTATGAGATCGTGGAGAGCCGCGTCTCAAGCCTACTGGAAGAGTGCCTGCCCGCAGACCTTCTGAAGACTAAATCGTCCGACCCCGACGGCCCGACAGCAGAGGTAGAGCTCAAGGCCTATTTTCTGGGTAGCTGGGGAAGTCCCCAACGCCTGGATTACGGCACGGGTCATGAGCTGAGCTTTCTGGCCTTCTTGGGGGCTCTATGGAAACTAAACGGGTTCCCTCGGAACACCCCAGGGGTGGAGGAACGAGCTATCGTTTTGGGCGTGATCCAACCGTGAGTTCGATGTCCAATCAACAATCAATATCCTACTAAACCTGAATGAGTTACCTGGAACTCGTCCGCATCATCATCAGGAGCTACACGCTGGAGCCGGCCGGGTCTCACGGCGTGTGGGGATTAGACGATCATTCGTTCATTCCCTACATCTTCGGCTCGGCGCAGTACGCCCCGGCTCTTTCGCAAACGGACCAAGTCCCTGAGGAGGGCTCCCTTCCTGATGCACCTGACCCCAACGGTGTCGCGAAGGCGGCCGTCGTGGAACGGGAGCGACAAACAAACCTGTATTTCTCTGCTATTGGGTTCATCTACGATGTGAAGAAGGGGCCGTTCTGGGAACATAGTCCGATGCTCTACGATATTTCAGGCATCCGCACCGGCTGGGCCAAGATCAACAAGGTACTTTTGCGTCGGACTGAGCAGAAACTTTGGTTACTGACAACTGCTAGGGTATGATCAAGATGTACAACGCGGAAGTTCTGTCCAAGTTCCCCGTCGTCCAGCATTTCCCCTTTGGGTCCTTGTTTAGCTGGGATCGCGACCCCAACGCGGTGCCCCCTCCGTCTACGGTGCATGCCGCCTCAGGGCCTCAGTCGCGACCCCAGGAACCTTCCACACAGCATCCTGCACCGGGGACCATGGCTCCTTGGGCTGCCGGCTCACAGACAAGCCCCGCGGGTGGTGGCACCGCTGCACCCTGGGCTGGAGGCCCAGCAAGAGCCCCGATTCTGCCTGATACCTCACGGTTACCCCCGGGACCCATGGCGCCTACCCGAGCGCCGTGGGCGAGTGCCCAGCAAAGGCCGGCTCCGGGTGGACCGGCGACCCAGGAGGACATGCTCACGAAGGCCCCTTGGGCCAAGTAAGCTGGCCATCTTCAAGAGTTCTACTGTCTACCATATACCCTTAACATCAAAGATGCTCATATTCTTACATCACAGAACTTCAGAGTAGAAGGAATGCAGCCATGCAGTCATAAAACTCAATATGATATCAACAACCACCCAGGGTATCACGAACCACCAAAGTAACGCCATTGTAGAGAGTGCACCATGTAGAATCAATCAATCAGAATCCGACGCGTAATCCACCAGCCCAGCTGAAGCCAGCGGCGTGGCCTCTGCCGCCCTCGCGGATTCACTATCTGGCGTTGCACTGCTTTCTCTCGCCTCCTCCTCAGCAAGCCGACTACTTGCAACAGTCCTCCGTCTCTTGCTCTCCGGGCGCCATTCACTCGAATCGCTACTCAGGAACGGATCCACAGCCGCGCGCGTATTACCCCTCAACTCATTGCGAAACAGGGCCTTGCGGTTCTCCAACGCATCCCCGACCTTCCCCGTAGATCGAGACGGCTTCCCCGGCGCAAACAACGGCTTCAGCCTGGTGCCAGTAGTACTCCCCCGCTCCGCTCCAAACTCCACCAAGCCGGCCCTAACACGGTCCTCCTCCGTCTCATCAACAACCTCAATCCCCAAACTCAACTTATCCCTCAATAACTGCGTGTCGGCCTCCTTCTTCTCCAACCCCTTCCTCACCTCCCTGAACCCCCTCCTCAACCGCCTCGAATTCTCATACGGATCCTCCCAATCCCTCGCCTGGCGCGCCTGCAACTCCAAGATCCGCTCCCTCTCCCCATCACCCAGTCTCTTATCCTCCACCTTCCCCTCCAACCTCGCAAACGGATCCACCTCTTTACTCTGCCCAGCGCCCAACCCCACGCCCCCTACCAATATCTCCCCCCCATCATGCTCATCAGCACCCCCATAATCCCTCCTCCTCCCCCCTTCCACAACCACATACTCGGTATTCCGCGGATCGGTCCGGATCTCAATCCACCCGCCGCAGGCGGCATGCTTCATCCGGAAACTGTACACGGGGGTGGAGTGGTACCTCCCCACCGGTTTCTTTTCGGCGTTGAACCGCACTCCCTGGCCGATCAGGGTCTCGTGCGGGCGGCAGGTCGTGCACCAGACGGCGAAGGGCATCTCAAAGCGCACGGTGAGCGCGCCGGTCGTCTTGAGGTGGCGGGCGCGCGCCCCGAGCGGGTGTTTCTTGTGGAGCGCGTTGCCGGTCGTTGTGCCTTCTTGGTCCGGGGGGACGTACCTAGCACAGTATATCAGGAGTGAGTAGGGATAGGGGGGAAGTGAGCGGGGGCCCTGGGGGGGGGATGGGGTAAGACGAACCGTCCCATGTCTGTGGTGGGTTGAGGTTAGTGATTGCTGGTGCTGATGATGATGGGCTGGTGTGCGGTGCGGGGGGACTCACTGAAGCCTTGCATTTTGAGGAGAGAGATTTCCCCTTTTGAGGGACTCGGGGTTGGATGGTGAGTTGGAGAGGTGTAGGTTTGATTCTACCGGGCCTGGTAGGCCGGCGCGGTGAGGACGCGGGGAGGAAGGCGTTGATAAGGAAGTATAGAGTGGGAATGGTGTGTCCACTGCTGAGGCGACCTGATTTTCTGCCACCGCCTGGATTGAACAGTCTCGATGCCTGATTTTCTGGACCTGTTCATCGGCCGGGTGCCTGAATTTCTCTCGCGAGGTTGCAGGCGTTCTGCCGGTCATGTGCCGTAGAAAGGCGGTGGGTATTTAACCAGTTTTCCCGCCGAGTTTTGGCCGGCTGTTTTGACCATTATTCTGCTGTTTTGGGGCGGTCAGAGGAAAAAGAACAGTTCTGTGGCCTGATTTTCCGGACCTGGACATGGGCGGATGCCTTATTTCTCCTCGCGAGGTCACGGGCGTTTCTGCCGGTCATGTGCCTAGCCGGGCGGTTGCAGGCGAGCTAAGTTATGCGGGTGTTGCGTAGTCGCCTTTATGTCTTGTAATGAATCTACTCATAGTTCCATCTATCACTATTACGGAGACTCTCACCTCTAAGTGATTGATGCCTGTCCTGTTATCATCTAAGTGTGTTCTTGGTTTGTGATTTGTGATTTGTGAGTTAGTCTGGGATAGCATTGGTATACTTTTCATCTCCCGTAGATGATCTTCCCGAAGCGTGGAAAATGTAGGTCTATCAGGGATATATTCCTCTCGATCCTACGCATTTTCAAGCAACTCCTGCAGTCCAAAACAAGCATTCAGTCTTCCACACACTACTAGATATCCCCATGACAAGATATACACCAAAATACTTTATTCTCTCGCCTGCGATGTGATAGCTAGTACCTGGGATTTGGCCAGCCCTTACATTAGACAGACAGCGTAGCGTGACTGCAGTGTGACGTGCAGGCAGGCTACCTACCAATCACAAAAGGAAGGCGCAACGCAGCTGCGACCACGGGCCGCAAGTGCCCACTGACGATTATTCCCAACTTTAAATCTTAGGAAGATTCATTTCCTCACAAATATTTAGGGATCTTCCAACAAGCAAAAAAGAACGGCGAAAAAGAAGATGTGAGCTCCGATAGGGGGAATCGAACCCCCGGCTGCCGTGTGAGAGACGGCGATGTTAGCCACTACACCATATCGGATCTTATTGTTAATTAATTAATTACAAAATATCTATGAGTCAAGACGTAGCGGTGAATGGCGCAAAGGCCGTGAGAGGTCCGCTGGTGTCGTAGAATTGACGCTCCTTCTATATCACTGCTAGAAGGGTCAATTTCTTATGCGGCTCGCTTTGTACCCTGCCTTCCATTTCTTGTTGCATCATCCGTTATTGGTATAGGTCTGTGCATACCCAACCATACAGGCGAGTTCAGTCAGGCAGGACATGAAACAAAACCAAAAGTCCGGCGCTTCACAATGGCGTGTATAGTTCTCTAGCAATGGGAAGAGCAGGGGTCGAGCTTATGCTCTAGCTATAAGCCGTGCAGGCTTTGCAAAAGTAGTACAGTATCCATTTGCAAAGGGATTCGTCTCACATAACAATGTTATCCATTTAATTCTATACACTACCCTAACCGCTTACTGAGTACTAGATCCCATCTTCACGAAAATCATCGCGCCTCCCTTTGTCCCCCCCATTCAGATCCCACAGACTCCTGACCGTCACATCATGCACCCACTCCCCGTCCGTCTCGTCCGCCTGCACCACAAACCCCACGACCTTCTTCTGACCCGGCACCACCACAAACGAATTCTCCTCGAAATACCCCACCACCCCCTCCGGGTGCTCTAACCAAGTATACAGCGCCACCCCGGCCGTCGCCTCGACCTCGAACTTTCCCGACTCCGCATCATACCCAACCCTCAACCGGGGATCAACCAGATCCAGATCCTTCGGGAACACGGGCGTGAACCACTGCTCATGGGTGAAGGTGACCTCCTCGTCGGTGTTCGGCAAGCACCCGGTGGCGGTCAGCTCCAGCGCCAGGATGGCATCCTCGTGCCGCGGCAGGGGCTGCTGCTTCATGTTCATCCGATATAGACGGGTGGAGTTGAGGGCGCCGACGTGGAAGGGGAGCGGCTTGGTGGGGAGGCCGCCGTTCGAGGCGATGGGCTTGCCCGACAGATCGCGCCAGGTAAGGGTGACGCTCCCCGAGGCCGCCGCCCATAGGTCCGAGGTGACGTAGATGTCCAGGGCGCCGGTGGTATAGTTCCAGAACGGCGAGACGATCACGGGCTTGTAGATGTCGCGCGCCACGTAGTGGAGGACCTTCCAGCGGCCGCCGTACTCGATCCCCGCCCACGAGGGCGCCTGCCAGATGTCCTCGAGCTGCCAGTACAGGGACCCCAGCTGGCGCTCTGGCCGCCCGCTGCCACGCCGGTAGAACTGAATCTGCGATTTGTAGAGGTCCGCCTGGAAGAGCTGGGTCGCGTGGCACCAGGCGCTGAAGTTGGCCAAGGGGTCGGACGGGATGTTTGGCGTCGGGTAGTAGGCCAGCACGCCCTGGGTCATCTCGCCCATGCCGAGCGAGGTGTTGTGGTAGTTGTCGGTCATGAGCCCGCCGGCGGGATAGTGATGGTTGCGGAGCATGACTACGCTGCTGTTGAAGGTCAGGTCGGCCGGGTCCGTGAGCGCTTGCTGCCAGGTTTGCAGGCTGGGCATGCTGTGGAAGCCGAACTCGTTGGCGAACCGGCCCACAGGATAGGTGCCGTAGTCGAACGCGATGCTCGCGTCGTAGTTATAATGGTCCGTGTCGCCGTAGTATTCGCCCTCCGTGGTGTTGCTGTAGCGCTCAGCCATGGGGACGGGTGCGGAGAGGTCGATGTCCAGGTAGCCCTCGGTGGTGCTGCTGGGGGAGTAAGAGATGGACCGCGTGTTCTCGTAGACGAGCGGCAGAAAGAGACTGATGTACAGCTTTTCGTACTCGCCCACGTAGAAAGGGTACGACTCCGGATCGGCCGCCTCGACAAGCAGCAGCATCAGAGATTCGATCTCGTTGCCACCGGCCCATAAGGCCAGAGATGGGTGGTGGTTGACTCGTCGGACGTTGTAAACTACCTCCGCAGCGACGTTCTTCAAGAAAGCGTCATCCGTAGGGTACAGCGCGTCGCTGAACTGGAATTCACTCCACAGAAGGATTCCCTTCTCGTCCGCCAGGTCGTAAATATAGTCGTGAAGGTAAGCTCCGGAGGACCAGACGCGGAGCATATTCTGGTTGCCCGCCACGACTGCATCGAACAACCGAGTCATCGTGTCCTCGGTAACCCGAGTCCAGAAGCAGTCCGGTGGAATCAGGTTCGATCCTTTGGCATAGAACTCATGTCCATTGACTTCAAAGTGCCAGTTCGCCCCGGGAGCGATCCCTTGCGCCAGCTGAGCGTCGGTGATATTGCGCTGATTGAGGAAGATCGTGCGGAAGCCTGTTCGCTTCGTGACTTCAGCGATGGAGTGATTCCCCCCATCGGTAAGCGAAATGGTCACATTATAGAGATCCTGCTCACCCAGGCCTTGCGGCCACCATAATTTCGGATCAACTCCCTCCAGAACCGTGACGCCCGTGACGGAGCCCTCGATGACAGTGATGTTCGTCAGAGGCTGTGAAGCGAGAATCTCCCCGGACTGTAGATCTTTCACCTCAATCGCCATAGACGGGTGCTCTGGCAGAGAGCCCAGGTAGTCCAGACTAGCATTCACCACCCACGGCTGGGTCTGGTCAGGCGGGAGGTAATTGATCTGTCCCAGTCGGTAGATATCCAGATCCGTGTTGCGGACATACACCGGTGCCGCCTGTTTCAATTGAACCACGTAACCAGGCTTCCAGGGTCCAGCCGGCGCAAACGCCGGGCCCCAGTCCCAGCCAAAGTCCGACTGTTCCTTGCGCATGAACCACCGATTAGGATACTCGTAGGTGATCTGGACTCCCTCGGGCCATGCTAAACTATCATTAGCTCTTCATCCCCATATCAAAAACAATCTTCAGGAGAAACAAAAGGCACTAACTCGGCGCACTCGGGTCCTGTGCAATCGCATCCACAATATTCGGCGCACTACCAAACTGAATACTTAAAGTTGGATCCTCAGGGCAGTCTTTGAGAATGGAAGAGACATCGAACATGTACTGTCGGAACTGATTATCCGTCGCCCCGACGAATTGCTCGCAGAACGAAATCGAGGTGAACGTGTCCAGCCCGTCAAACACCAGCCACGTTGAATCATAGTCCTCTCCTCTATAGTAACCAAAGATCAGATTAGCCAGCTCAAATTACTATCCACACAAAACAAAGCCAAATCTCTATCACAAAGGTACTAGAAGGAAATCACTTACAAGCCTTCGATTTTTCCACTGGTATACGTCCAATTGGCATCCGCAATCCACCTCAGATCGAAATCATTCAAATCAATATATCTGTGCAGAATCTGGTTAGAGAAGACCGCTAAACGACGTGCAGTATCCCTCACGAAAAGCAGGGGATCATCAAAGCAGGGTGCAGGGTTAATACTTACGGTTCATCTGTAAATATTGAACACCATCAGCAAATCTCAGCCCAGAAGCCAGTTGGCAAATAAGAAAAACCATGATCTTACCGATTATCCCCTCCCGCAAGAGATCCATATGTACTTGAGATGGAAACTGGGCCGGCACCGTACGATTCAACGCGGCACTGCTGAGCGTCCATTGTTCAGCACCCAGATCACGAACAAATTGGCTTCTGCTCGCTGAGGGCAAGAATAATACGCCCAAAAGCGTGGTAGCTCTTGTGGAAAACGCACGCATGGTTGTTCTTTTGCTTCAGCAGGGAAAAGAGGGAGCTTGCAGATGATGATGGTTGTTTCTTGATCCACGCTCCACTTGCAGGCAAGAAGAGGGGGTTTTATCTCATTTCACGATGACAACCAGGAAGAATCGGATTTCAGCCGAGACAATAATGAGTGACGTCTTGTCATCCTGCAGCAAGGGTCCAAGTCTGAGCGACTAGACTATATAAGTCAAAGTGACGGAGCCAAGGGAGGGGGAAGCTGGTTGTACGGAATGTTCGGACGGCAATCGGACAGGCCACATTTGTGCTCTGGTATGCGGTGCTGGATATTTGGTTACTCGGGTCTCCGCTTGGCGATTTGGAAGCTTCACCAGGTCATTGAAGCATGTCAAAGATGAAGACTAAAGCCAATTGTACGACCGAATCCACGTAGAACCGGATAAATGGGGAGAGGGATGAAGGATGGAGGTTGGCGGGAGAAACAAACCAAACAAGCATTAAATTGACTAGTGGGAGGAGGTGCAGTGCAGATCCCCGCCCAGGAGACAGAATCAGAATCGATGTAACCTTGACTTTACCCACTCGTTCGCTTCAATTATGCAATTATGAGAGTATCAACGTATGATGCATTATGTGTAACCGGCTGTCAACCCAATCCATCCATCCCAGACGCCATGCAATCGAACTTACTCCTGCAACATGGGTAAAAATACAGGCCCTTATAGAAATACAGAGGCAGAAGCCGCGCTCATCATAAACAGAAAAGAGAGAAATGTTGATACAGTTGGAAAGGAGAGACCGTCAGTCCACAACGCCTTAGCCCTCAACGGTCGTGGCCAGAGCCTGCTGCGCGAGCTTACGGTTCCGCTTCACCAGAGCATTGAGTTTCTTGTCAATCGTGTCCAATTCCTTGCGCGACGACTCCAGATCCTTCTGCGATTTGACCGCGAAGGAGCGTAATTCTTCGGTCGTCATGCCCACCACATCGTCCAGATCGGGAATACTACCCATGACAACGCCCGCTGCACCCAACATATGCTTAGCCGTGGCGGCGGCAAAGGAGCGTACCGAAGTGGCCGTTGCGTTCACCAGTTCGGCGGTGTTGGCAACGGCCCAATTGTGGCTTCGGGTGCTGTCCGCTTCCATGGCCGAGAGAACATTGGGCGGGGCAGGGATGCTTGCCGAATCGGTCACCTCGGGCGCACCAGACAGAGATGCTGACGCGGACACAGCAGAAAGGGTAACCGAGTTCTCGTCCGCCCAGCAGATATTGAAATTCTCCGGTGTGGCGAAGAGAGCATCGAGGCCACCAACGCGATTGGTCACATCTGGTTCCGTGATAGGAGCAGACGAGTATTCCTGAAATGATTCAACTGCCCAAGCAATGCTCTTCTCCAGCGCTAGATAGCGGTCTTCCTCTTCCTGCGACAGATGACGAAGGACACAGCCGCGAGGGGTAATCAGACAGCGGTCCTTCAACAAGCCAGGGTCCGAGTGAATACGAATGGGCTCTCCACGGAGCAAAGCCTTTCGGTGTTCCTCGGCAAGTTCAATTGGCTGTTTCAGAATCTCATAGTCGTCCGAGGTGCACTTCATGTCAAACCGCTGGTTGAGATTGGTGGGGTTAAACAAGGGGTGATGATTCAGATTTAGGTGGCCCGATTTGTGGAGTTGGGCGAGCAAAACTTGCAAAGGGGATGTTCGTTCGGCGAACAGGTCCTTGATGGAACCGTTGCTGCTGGACTCTGCATCCTTGATCAACTGTTCGACGGTGTTCTTTGAACGCCAAGCTTCAGCAGGAGTGCTGGGCTCGGGAGTTGCTTTGACCTCGACAGGGGCGGGACTAACTTCCTTCGACGCCTTCTCCTTGGATTTGGCCTTCTTGACAGCTTCAGCTCGCTGTTCTACCTTGTCGTTGCTCTCGGCACTAGCCGGAGTGACGGGCTTTCCAGCTTCCTCGGCGGTTTCTGGCGCTGCAGCCAGAGTGTCGGGAGTGGTCACAGGAGTCTTCTTAGTCTTTCGCTTGCGGCCAATGATGGGAGCTTGGACTGGCTCTTCCGCGATAGTAGAAGTCTCCTGCTTCTTGGCTTCCGCTTCCTTGGCCTTCTGGCGTCGCTCTTTCTTAGCCTGACTCTTGGTGATAGCCCGGACAGGAGCAGAGCCAATTCGCGAGGAAGCGGGAGGGGAGTTGGCACGGGACACGGATGCCGATGTGTAAAGGTCGGCTTCGGATCCGAAATCGCCCGGAGTATCTGGCCTGCTCATGGACGATATGCTAGGACGTCTAGAGCGAGCTTTGTTGGCAGCTGGTAGAGAAGAGACAGACTGCGGGGCGGAAGGAGGGGGCGGAGTCTCTGTCTTAGGCGTGTCAACCACCCGAAGCACCCTTGGCTGCCGTGGAGCAGAAGAATCGGAAACCCGTGAGACACCGGTCAACGGGGTATTGGGACGAGAGCCGATGGCGGAAATTGGGGCTGGCCCGTGCGTGCTAGGAACTGATTGATCTGCTTTAGAGGCATCCTGAGGAGTCCCCAGGGAAAGGTCCAATTTGATAGGCTTCGACTTTACCGGGGTGGAAACAACCTTCTCGATCACAGAGGCAGGCTTGGAAGCGCCAATGGGTTTCTTTTCAGTTGCAACAGCTAGGTCACCCTTGGCTTGCGAGCGAGCTTTGCTTGTGGATTTGGGTACAGGCGAGCCTAGTGAAATCTCCGACACATTCTTGACGCGACTAGAAGCCGGTACATCGTCAGGGGTATCCTTTACCTCAGGCGACGGCTGTCGGGATATGTCTCCCCGAAACGCCTGAGATGGGGTCCCCAGTCGAGAAAATGGTGGGTTCAAGCCAGGCGGCACGGACACCGAAGTCGTTGGACTGGACGGATTCAAAGGACTCTGAAACAAGGCTGATGCGGGGTGCGCGTGTGGAAGAGGAAGGCCGGGGGGCAGCGTTGGGGTCCCAGCACGAGCTGAGCTTTGCGAGTCGCTAGCGAATTGAGAGCGAATAAGATATCCGAAGCTGTCAACAGGACGCTTGTCCTTTGGCGGCGCTCCCAGAGGAGGGAATTCTTCGTCAACTATGAGACCGGCCCGGTTAGCCATCTTCAAGTGAGAGATACATGGGTGGGTGTGGTGTCATGTAGAGGTGACCAGAGCAAGAATGACGAAATCCAAACGGCAAAAGCAGCAAGATAAGAACAGACAGGGCATGCCGACAAGACTCTCCCAAGACAGAACGAGACGACGCGCAGATACGAAAGGGGCAGGCAGGCAATTAATTACATAAAGGTCCCCAACCGATGTGGCCAGGAAGACACACAAGGCATAGTGTCTAAATGAACAGTGGTTGTGAGAAATTGGTTTCGGATAGAGGACCCTGCTTGTGTTTATGAAAAGCCAGGGCAGGGAGGTTAACGTACATGAAAACCATGACCAGACCGATTGGGCCACCAAGTTGCTGATAGGTCAACGCAGCATGGATGCAAGAACAACAGAAGTAAACGATAGCCACCAACTTGCAGTGGACCTGGAAAACACAAGGGGCCCATGGGGTGCAAGGACGCCATATCTGCACGCGCGAATTGAGGACAGCAAAAGCAATAAGCAAGAGGAAGACAGAGATACAATAGGTCAAATAAAAACAACGCAGAATCGAAGAATTCCATGAGAGATAACGCCAAGGGCACGCCCCGCCCGAATTCCTTGTTTTTTCAAGAGCCGTTTGCTTAATGCATCGTTGCAAAGTGGAATATGTCGCAAAGGTTTCAACATCGAATGAGAAAGGGCAACATCGCAATGAGGAATAAGAGAAAGATAAGAGATCATATCCCAGACCCATCTAGATAAGTATGATATCATGTCATCAGGAACAAAAAGAAAACGGGGGAGGAGATAGAAGCGCAAAAGGCATGCGCAAGGTAGCGGAGTTACATGCAGAGAAAAAGGGTAGTCATCATGAGCAACGGGAAGAGAAGGGAGGGGAGGGTGAACGACAAGGCAATTAGGGCATTATGTAGGCGTATGGATAAGATGAAATGGGAAGGGAAACAATCACCAGCGGTTGAACCCGCCGCCATACATCATGGTCTGATTGTACCCACCTTGGCCCTGACTCCCGTACAGTGCTTGCCCAGCAGTAGCAGCAGCATTCTGATGCATCCTCGCCTGTAGGATGCTCGGGTCCGCAAGATCTACTACACCACCTCCACCGGAGGAAGTGTTAGCGTGTCTGTGCTTCTTCCCCTTCTTCTTCTGCTTCTGTGGCCCAGACTCGGAGAAGGTCCCCGGCTGAGAGCCATAGAAAGAGCTGAGAAGGCCATTATTGGCAGGAGTCAGGGGAGGGGGGGTTTGGTGCTGCTGAAGGAAAGGAAGGATGAACTCACGCTTAGCGGCCTCTTGACCCTGCAAACCACTGGCACCGGCACCATTGCGGCCACGCAGCAACTCACGCATCAAGTCGGGGTTCGCTTCCTGCTTGCCGATACTGGCTCCAAGTCCGAGACTAGTGTTGGTGGTGAAACCGTGTCCTTGGGCGAACATACCGCCGCCGCTGATCGGAGGCGTACCAGCCGTCTTCAAGCCAGGGGGTGGACCCTGTACACCACTGGGAAAGTAGCCACCGCTGAGTCCGTGCTGTGGACTGGGCGCTGCGAGCGGATTAGGGGTACCAACAGACTGCATCAACGATGCCTGTTGGCTCAGCATGCGAGCATTAGGGAGATTCTTCGAGTTGACCTCATTGGCGAAAGAGAAACGGGAATTCTGGCGATTTTGAGCCTGTAGCGAATTCAACTGCGCCATCTGACTCTGGAGAAGACCCTGGCGAACCTGGGCAGCTTGATCAAGAGCAGCGGAGCTGAGACCGCCCTGAAGCTGGTCCATGGCAGCACGGTCGTTGGCGGACTTCAGAATGAGTAGCTGCTGTTGTTGTTGGGGTGTCAAGCTGCGGCCGGCTAGGTTGAGTTGCTGGTTGAGTTGTTGGAACTGGTGGCTTGTGGCAGACACAGGAGAGCCCACGGTGGAATTCTCGGTTGTGCCTTGCTGGGAGGGAGGTTGAATAGCACCGTGAGACTCGCGGCCGCTGCGACCCCGAGGGGGAACAACATCATCGGGCTCACCACCTAACTGCAGACTTCCGCTCTCCCGACTCTCTTCCTCAGCAGCCGCTGACTGGAGCAATTCTTGTTCCCGTCTGGCGCGCTCTTGTTCGGCTTTTTCGCGCATGGCGCGACGTTTGACGCCACCATACGGGTCGATGAAAGAGGGATGGTTCTCAATCAAGGCAATCTCTTCCGCAGGCAGACCAGCCGCCGAGAAAATGAACTTGAAGTCGGGTGAGTTTACGGCCTTAACAAGGTTGTCCAGCAATGGAGTCTCAGGTTGTGGGGGCGTCTGCAAAGGCTCAAGCGAACGCGGAGTCGAGGATCTACGCTCCAGAGGAGAGGGCGATTGTTCAACGGGCTCCTGCTGCGTAGAGGGCGGCGACTTTTCCACGGGTTTCGGTTCTTCCAGAACAGGCGCGACCGTAGCAGTGGCAGGCCGAGGGCTCTGTGACGCTTGACTGCCTGTGAGACTAGCCCGTCTAGCACGACTTAGAACAGCGTCCTTGTTTGCCCAACTAGCCGACGAGGGAAGAGCGGGGCCATCGGGGACCCGACTGCCGGCTGCATCGTCCCGACTAGGTTGACGACGCATCGGTTGCGACAAAGGTTGAGCAGAGGTTCGAGTAACGTGCGGAGGGATGGCGTAGGCGGGAGCAGTAGGAGCACCGTTAGGCCGTTGGCTTGACAGGGTATTCATGGACGAGAGATCCTGGCGGCTGTAACTATCGCTGTCCTCCCCAGTTTCGTGCAGGAAGGTACAGTTTCGGTTGTGGCATTGTTCGTTGCGTAGGAAGGACGAGCAATATTTCGTGGTTCCGTATTGCGCCCTACTACTGTTAGTTTCCCGAGTGCCGATCGCAACGCGCCCGGTCAGAAGCGCGGAGAATCCACCTACCGTAACACCCTGTCACCATTAGCCGACCCATCAACCGCCGCTATGCAAGTTGCGGCATCCTGCTTTCTCGCGTACGTCACATAAACGCCGATACCCTGGTTCGGATTGCCACCAGGCTTTGCCTTGCTGACGACGATCTTCTCGATATCACCATATTGACCGAAATAGTCTCTGCCGCGCAGCGTCTGCAGAAGTTGACTCTCGTCCCGTATTGTGGGGTTGAGACCGATCACGTAGACGAGATTCTTCTGCACAACTCTGACGCCGGCCAGGTTCTTCCGACTGGAGGCTTCAATCTCGCGTTTCTCGGCCTCCTTCTTTTTCGCAGCGGCGGCTTTGCGATGTTTGAGGGCGAGATCTGCCTTGAATCTAGAAAATTGCGGAACAAACCGGTTAATGCCAAGACCGGTCCGAGGGTTGGTGCAAATCAACTTGCGGCGGGAGCGACTTACTCGTCGGCATCAGGGACCTTGTATTGGATGGTACTTTCATCGTAGACACGTCTGCAGTTGGGACAACGTCCTTCCTCACTGTGGGTCTTGATGTTGTTGTAACAGAATTGACAGATCTGCGAATATATACGAATTAGATTTGAGACGGGGTGTTCGGTGGAGCCAGACGCGAAGAAAGCTGGTTGACTCGGCAAGGGCGGACACGTAAGAGAGCGAAAGACGTACCTGATATCCACAGGGACAAGGTTTGAAGTTCTTATCCGACAGATCGAACTCTTCGATACAGAGAGGGCTAGAAGAAGTCAAGGTTGTAAGCCTGAGAATTCGAGCACCCAACGGCGCAAGGCCACACGTACCAGAACTCGTCATCATCGTCGATGACGGAATCAATCTGTTGACGACTTGACATGATGTAGTGTCGAAGGGAGACTGTGAGATGTACAAGTGAAATCGGGGACGACGATCACAAGTAAAGACTAACACCCATCAACCGAACCGGGGCGGAAGGGGAGGGAGGAGGGGGGAAAGAGAGAGGATATGAGAGTCAAAGAGAAAAGGGAGCAGAAGAGGCAAGTAAATGAGCGCCCAAGAGGAAAGAGAGGTTTTAAGAAAAGGCAGGACCGAGTCCGGAAAAGTGATTATAGAAACGTGGGGTAATTGGGGCGGGTTGTAGGGAGGGAAGGAGAAGCAAGCGAAGCAGCAGCAGCAGGAGGAGGAGGAGGGACGCACGACGCAAGAGCGAAAGAGGAGAGTTGGAGGCGAACAGAGAATAGCGAGAAGTGAAGCTTTGCTTGATCGGGTTTGCACGTGTTTGCCGTGTTTGCACCTATAATGTGCCTGAGGCTATCAGGAAATTCCTCGGGATCGGCCGCTTATGTCAATGCTCGATGCACGTGACCGTGAACATCTTGGGGCAAAAGCTCCAATTGCAAGGGAACCTCCGCCGCCGTTGCTGTTGCTGCTGCTTGACCCCCCCCCTCGTCTCCGCCCCCTTCTCATCCTCCAACTCATCACCTCTCAGCCATTGTTCCTTGTCGTCATGGCTGCTACTCGCTCCCTGATGCGGTTGAGCACCGGTCGTGCCTTGTCCTCCGCCACCCGGTCGTCCGCCCGTGCTTTCTCCTCGACTGTGTTGAAGGCCTCGTCGACCCCGGTCACCGATCATGTCCCCAACATGCGCCACGCCCAGCGCTCTCGTATGTCCATCAATTGCACCCCTGGCCCTTCCATCCGCGACCACCGCGCCTGTCACAACGGGCAATATCATGTTACCACACCCTCAAACTAACCCGTGAATCTACTCAAACCAGCTGAGGGAGCTCTGCGCGCCCCCGTCGTCAACCCGGCCGACAAGCACCAGGACAAGGCGGAGGGCCTGCACAAGTACGGGCAGTACATCATGTCATGCCTGCCGAAGCACGTGCAGCAGTTCTCAGTGTGGAAGGACGAGCTGTGCATCTACGTGCCGCCCTCCGGCCTGATCCCGACGATGACCTTCCTGAAATACCACACGGCGGCCGAGTACACCCAGATCTCGGACATCACGGCCGTCGACTTCCCGACCCGCGATCAGCGTTTCGAGGTTGTCTACAACATGCTCAGCGTGCGCTACAACTCGCGCATCCGCGTCAAGACCTACGCCGACGAGGCCAGCCCCGTGCCCAGCGTGACGGGCCTGTTCGAGGGCGCCCTCTGGTACGAGCGCGAGGTGTACGACATGTTCGGCGTCTTCTTCACCGGGCACCCGGATCTCCGCCGCATCATGACCGACTACGGCTTCGACGGCCACCCGCTGCGCAAGGACTTCCCCTTGACCGGATACACGGAGCTGCGGTGGGACGAGGAGAAGAAGCGGATCGTCATCGAGCCGCTCGAGTTGACACAGGCCTTCCGGAACTTCGAGGGTGGCACCACCGCCTGGGAGCCTGTTGGTCCGGGTACCAACCGGACCCCTGAGTCGGTACGTTTTCCAGGTGATGAAGCAATACAAATAGGGAACCCACTAACATGCTAATAGTTCAAACTCCCTACTCCCAAGCCGGAGCCCCCCAAGGAGGAGGAGAAGAAATAGGAGGTTTAGCTTAGATGGTTTTTCTTTTCTTTTTTTTTCCCTTAATCTGTTCTGTATGTACATATCGCGTCTATGTCTGAATTATTTGTGACGTTGATGTTCGACCACCGTTTGATGTAGTTCGAATAACCGCCTTTCCTTTAGATACTGCCATTGTAATCTGTCTCCCCCAGTCTCCGACCTGGCTTTTATGAGGCGAACGCAGCTACACCCAATGAATCATACATACAACGACACAAGTCCAATGTCAACGCAATTCCAAACTACGTCAACCCCAAGAAAGCCGTCTCCGGGCAGGTCCATGCGTGATGGATGGCATCGAAAACCTCAAAAAAGCCCACCAATAACCGCCCCGCTAAAGTCATCGCCCGATCAACCAATCCCATCCCCTAAAACCCCGCTCCGCCTTCTTCACGGGCACCGTTCCAAAAATCCCTCCTCCGCCTTGGCAGAAATGTAAATTAGCAGTTACAATTATTCCAGCCGCAATCCCGCATCCCCCAAAAAACTTTCCTTATCTTGAACCAAACACCAACATACAACCCTTGCTCTTTCTGGCAAACGATATACACAACCCAAAAAAATGCCCAAACGCAAACTCTCCGATCTAACGGACAACAATGTCCCAACCCAAGCCACCGATAAATCCGACGCCCGCTCCCTGCACATCCAGACCGTGCGGCTAAAGCAGAAATTCTCCCAGGGCGTCGAGTCGCTGGCCAAGGCGCTGAAGCTGGCGCGCGGGTTCGAGCGCCAGAAGTGGAAGCGGCGGGAGAAGAAGGTCAAGGAGGAGGGGAAGGAGGGTGCTGTGGAGAGGATGGCTGAGGAGGCGGGGATTTTGAGGGTATGTACTACTCCTCTAGTACTGTCGTTCCATTTCTCCATGCTGGGCGGGGGATTTCTGGTCTTTGTCGTGGAGTCTTTTCCGGGACGGTATCTTCTTGGTCTGCAATGCTAATGTTTGAACTTCTTACAAATAGGACTTGGACCCGATTAAAACCGCGCAGAAATACCTCTACAAGCAGCTCCTCAAAACGAAACGGATCGCCGAGTCGCCGACTTTCAAGGAATTTCAGGAACACATGGGCAGCAAGTTGTCGGCGGAGGGACCGAAGAGTAATTTCGAGGCGAATGTGACGGCACGCTTGTACAAGTCGACACCAGTCAAGAATGTATTCCCGGGGATTATGGACGGGATCCGGTCGTTATTAAAGATCGATGAGGCGAAGCCTGCGCCGGCGAAGGCGACGGCTGAAAAGAAGGGGACAAAGAAGGATGAGAAGCCGAGGAAAACGATTGCGGCGGACGAGGTTTCGGACAGCGAGGCTGAGGACGGCCGGTCACGAGCGCAGCGCGCGAGTGGGGAGGGTGACGGAGATGTCAGTATGGACGATTCGGAGAGTGTTGACTACGCTATGTACGATGGGTTACTCGCGTCAGGCTCTGAAGATGAAGACGCGGACGACGCGGACGATACCCGGCGGCAGATGCTTGGCGACGGTGACGATCACGATGAGGACGATGAGGAAGACGAGGACGAGGACGACATTGATACTCGCATGTTACAGCGGAGACCCCCCTCTGATATGTCAATCTCGCGCTCTCCCTCCCCGGAGGTAGACGAGGAAGAAGAATCTGATTCGCCCCCCTCCAAGAAGGCCAAGCCAGTCCAGAAAGGCACCGCAAAGCCCGCGACCAGCACTACCTTCTTGCCCTCCCTCATGATGGGCGGATACTGGTCGGGGTCGGAGTCTGAAGCCGAGGATGTCGACAAAGAAGCCGCTGAGCCACCCCGACGCAAGAACCGGATGGGCCAACAGGCGCGTCGGGCGCTGTGGGAGAAGAAGTACGGTGCGGGAGCAAACCATGTCAAGCAACAACAACAGAAAGGCAGGAAAGGGAGGGATGGTGGTTGGGATCCGCGAAAGGGAGCGACAGACGGCAATTCTACCCCCATTGGCAGAGGGAGGTTCGGTCATGGTGCAGGTTCCACGTCCAGCCGGCCGCCGCACGATGGTGGTCGGCCTCAGCGAGGACCCCCGAAGAAGCCACAGGATGATAAGCCCTTGCACCCATCCTGGGAGGCAGCAAAGAAGGCCAAGGAACAGAAGGCTACGGCTTCGTTTGCGGGTAAGAAGGTTGTGTTCGATTAGATATCCCAGTCTTAGCATGTATATATTTCAGCTTGAATTCTAGCCTTTTACAACCATTTAGGATGGACCTTCTGATATATGTTATGTAGACGAAGTGTCTAGACGGACTAATGAATATACACGATCTAGGTATCTTAAAACAGATCCATGGCAGTACAACCGCCAAGCAAGGACCCCAATAATGCAGCGCTGTCAAAATCACAAAAGACCGGCCAGTTGTCGGTAACACTATTCATTCATAAAATTCATCCACCGCGTGTCGGAAGACCCGGGTTTCAACTCCCCGGTCAAGCTGGACTGATTGTCGGTCTCGAAGCACGGAATCGCGGTGAATTCGCCCAATTCCTGTGGCAAGTTTGCAACAAAATGATCAAGCCCGAAGTGCGGCATCTCCGACAGCGGATGAGACACAGAGAACTCAGTCGAGTCAGGGATACTGGGGTTGGCAAGCTCCCCTTCTGCCGGTTCATTAGTTGTTGATGGACCTGTCATAGGCGTCATCACAGGCGGCAGTCCACCAGCACCGGATGGGTACTGCTCAGGGAACGATATTGGGTCGGGAGAGATTGGTCCCGTCTTCCAAAGCATTTCCCAGTTCTTGAAGCGGTCATAGGCCGACTCCATCATGCCAGCAGTGCCTTGGGGTTGCGTCTGACTATACTCTTCAAAGCGACGAATTGCCCGCTCAAGTGTTTCAATGACACTCACAGCGGATCGGGCAGATCCGACACCCATCGACATAATCTTGATGAGGGCCATGCCTTTATCGAGGGCCTCGCGCAACCGCTCTGTGCGTTTGGTCAAGCTCTGGGCAAGAATGACAAGAAGAGCAGCACGGCAGGAACTGAACTCGGTGAATGAAGCACGGGCGAGACCAGGCTCATCCCGCAGCAAACGGCATAGGTCGATGATCTCAAGAGCTGCTTCCACACAGTCAGTGACTAGTGTGGAGCGATTCTTCGATAGACCCGAAGGCGTCTTGACCGGGGCGCCCGGGACCGTAATGGCTTTCATGCTGCTGAACAGGAAGGGCCGTCCAAGGAAGATCCGAGTCAGACAATAATCCAGCTTGAGATGCACATTGGAGCGAAAGAGAGGACCAGACGGATTGAGATCCCGGCAATTAGTTTCTTCCGGCAACGTTGACCACCAATCAACCAAGCATTTCCGAAGGTTCAGTAATCGTTCGAGACAATCCGATTGTTGGTTCTTTCGCGATTTGCGGAGAATAGATCTGGCTCTATGTTAGCTATATGCGAGATCCTAGGAGACATCGCCACGTACATCTCGTTGGCAACTTGGCCAAGTTTCAAGGTCAACTTGATGAGGGTCACCATGTTTATGTCATTGGCTAAATGTCCAGAAGGAGTCAAGCCCGGAAAGTCAGTTGGAAAGGGAGCATCTACGTCCGCATCGGATAGCGATACCGGTCGCCCATGGAGAATGCTGACGCGCCTAAAGAGTGTCAGTAGCTATCAAGCAGCTGAAACGTTGGATTGACCACCCACTTCTCGATCGTGTATGCTGTCCAGAAGACACGATTGCGGATCTCCACCATGCGAGGTGACATTCCCTCTCCCGAATACTTTCGGTGCATGCCATTTTGAATGGCCATCTTCAGGGCTAGACCAAAATACGTATAGCATAGACCCGACGTATCTAGCGGCAGAAGATAGGTACCGATCAGAAGACAAGCCTGGACGCTTCGAACGGAAGCTGTGGCAATGATATCGGGAAGCAGTTTCGATGCAAATTGATAAAAGGTAAGACCAACATCATCTTCGGAGAAGTGGTGGTCGTCGGCAAAAGCAGAATTAGAGGACAGGCGGTTGACAGGTGTGGCCGATTCCATGTGTGCGAACTGAGTGCCCACCGCTAATACCATCAGGATAGCACATACCGTGCCTGCATCCTTAGAAGAGAGGCTCGATGGGTCCGTGTAGCATATGTTTAGCTTATCCTTCAACCAGTCTTCTTCGACGTAGAAATTATTCGTCTGCGCATACTTGAAGAAGATCTGCACCAGAAAGTCTGCCACAAACCGAGGTGGAAGACAGGTCACTGAGGTTGATACTAGGGTCGATCCGGACTGTAATTGGGTTGCCCGCCAGCGCTCTTCAAATGGCTCTGTCTCTGTGGATGCCTGGGAAGAAGTGAGCGAGTAATTCGCCGAGAGGCGACCACTAGTTTGCATACCTCTGGTCCAGCATGTTTCATCCATTCGTCAATCTTCTGTCGAATCTTCATAGAGAAGTTGAGATACGAAAATTCTCCGGAGTATTCTAAAAACGAGTCAGCGCCACCCAAGTACATTCCGAAATAATCCCAGAGCACCCACGTGTAGTATTATCCGGCAGAGCCTTGATGGTGAAATCCTCATCGTCAATTGCCAGGTCCTCCAGGTCCTCGCCGTCGAGCTGCGTTGAAGATGCCTCTGTGCCAGATCCTCGATGTTTGTGTTTCAACTCTTCGGCCATCTTTCGCAGAGTATGGACATCGAAGGAAATATTGGGGACATAATGCTGGAGGATGCGCTCCATGCATCGGACACGCTCCGACTCGGCGATATCATGTCCTCTGAGAGCTGTGCTTCGTTCGAGTAGCCTAGATTAGTAGCTGTATTAGTCTCTGCCATTATTGAATTCAGACTTTCGAAAATTTGAGACTCAAGATGAGGAGGGTTGGTGGCCTTACGAGATGGAGGAGGACCGGGCGATCTTCTCCGCATGGTCGGGATGAGTAAAGACGCATTGTCGCTGATAGCGGAGACATCGGCGACACGGAACGCCTCCTTCGCATTTTTCCTTCACTCGGCGACAACCATCACAGCTGGAAATTGAGTATAGTGAGTAAGGAGACAAAGACCCTGACAGGAGAATATATCGTCTTACGCTCGCACGGCTCGTTTGCGATTCTCCTCGGAAACGCGGGGTCGTTTCTGCGGGCCCATACCAGCAGGGGTGGTTGAGCCCTCATCCATGGCTGTTCGAAATCAAGGAGGGCGATGCAGCGACAGGCGCATGGTAGGGATTAGAGCATGGACATGTGGGGTGCGTAAAAGCGACAGCCCGGAGGAATGGGGGGGGTTAAGAGGTAAGTATGTATGCAGGAAGAGTAGGAAAGTAGGAGATGATCCCGAAGGAAGAGAAGGCGGTGTTGACGGAATATAGGAAAAAATGGCCCGGAGTTTAATCCATCCTCTCCAAAGGGGGAGGAACCAGAAGGCGAACTGATAAGCAGCGAGTGCGGGTTTGACTCCGCCCCAGCGGTAGTCAGTCAGCCAGCCAGCAGTCACCACCAGCCATGATCAACACAAGCATCTTGTACTGACATAGCTATAAGTACAATTTCACACCATTTTACACCAAGCAGTACTTTTGTCCAGGCTAGATAATTCATTTATATTTAGCTGACCCACTGACTACTAAGTCATCAGATAGATCACAATATCTAATGCCACCGTCAACAAGCCATCGCTTCAAAAGCCATCTACTTCCATGCCAATTCCTCTCTCCCGTCCAACATCCAACAGCTTGTTTCCGATGACCAGATCCATTATCCCCATGCCCACACATTTAAATACCACATTGCACCCCTGGGGTACCTCCACCGGCACTTCTCTACCCAACTCCCCATACAACGCACCAACTTCAATCAACTGCTCTTCCTTCATCTCGGCTAGAATCAACTCGCCCGACTCCTCCAAACACGCCTCCTTCAAGTCCACGTAGACTTTCCCACCGCCAGAGAGCAATGTCTCCGTATCAATCTCCCGCATATGCGGCTTATACGAGCCGATCAGCGAGATGAACCGTTGCCGGAACGGTTGTAGATATGAAGCCGGGAAATTCGGCTCTGTGGCAGGCGTACAACTGAACAAGACATCGCACGTCTGCAGTGCCGCCCGCAGCTTTTCCTCCCAGACGTCGTCGCCTACATGATCTTTTGCGACCGTTGAGATTGCAACATCCGGATACGTAGCTCGCAATTGCCCCAAAACCTCCGTCTCCAACTCTTCCAGTCGTTTGCGACCACGGTTGAGGATGGTTATCGAACGTACTTGTCCTGGGAACAAGAGGAGAACTAAGCGAGCATGCCATTCCGCCTGGCGACCAGAGCCGAGAATGACTACATTCTCCTTACTCATGGCTTGGCAGCGAACGAGGAGGGACATGATGGTCAGGGCTGTGCGGAAAGCGGTGATTTTGGCGGCGCTCAAGAGACCCTGTAGACTACCTTCGGGCGAGAAGATGTTGATGACTCCGATGAGGCCATGAGACTGAGAGGCAGTAACGATCTTGATACCCGTGCTGGCGGTGTTGGAGACGGGCATGAAGAGAGAGAGGTTTTGTCTCTTCGTGAGGATGGTGCTACGGAGGGGCTGGTGGATGAGGCGTTCCGTCTCTTGGGCGGTCGATTCATTGGAGACTGCTGTGAGAGAGTCGCAAAGAGCATTGAGAAAGTCGTGGCATTGCGACTGAGTTAACTCGCGCAGGATTTGAGAAACATTGGGCTCAGCCAGGATACGCATTGTGAATTGGACTGATGACGGCTAATATGTTGGTGTTGGGAGGAGATTCAAGGAAGTATGAATGCAAGGTATGTTGTCGAGTAACCAGACTCAGACTCAGACTCAGACTGAATTAAAGAATATACCAATTCTGCGGCAGATACAGGTTTTGAGCTTTTCCTGGCTATTCACCTGTCTAAAGAACTAGAGATCAGCCAGCATAGGTGAGCGATGTCGGAGGCGCTGCTCAGTTGAGGAGGGGCGGTTGGGAGTTGATGATGCACCGGAGGTGCCTTCCGATCTTGGTGACATCCCAGATAACGCGGGGTAAGTTGACGCCGACACCAACCACATAGTAGTTCAATCTCAATCCGCTAGATTGTTTTAACTTCAAGGCTCATTTTAGTCTTTCCTCCATGTATATACTAGCAGATGCGTCGTGAGGGAAGGAGCTATCTTTAGGTTCCACCCACTGGCAATATGCCTCGCATTAGCTACTGTACTTTCTAGAGTCTAAATCATCTATACGTTGTCTTGCGACTCCCCGCAAAACCCCCTTCTATATTGGTCGTATACATCTCTAAATCCGGTCGATACCAACATCTTAGCTTTCTGGGGTAGATCGGCTACAACAATTGCCACCGGGGAAAACCCCCGAGCAAGTCAAATTGTGGCAGAAAGCGACGAGGGAGGCGAATCTCTGAGGGATTCGGAAATCTACCAGGCTTTTCCCTGCTCAACCAAACTTAAGATAGCTAGGAACCTAAAAACCCAGGATCCAACGACTAACATTCTTATCTTTGAAACACACAGACACATTGCTGACTGGCCCCTTTGTGAGGCTCTATAGTCAACACAAGCACCATTCAGGACACTGCAGCATCAAGTATCAGTATCCAGGCTATTGCCCGGTCGACGGGCCGGTGGTCGGAAGCCCCACCTGCGCAGCAACAGCAGGTTGACCGGGCCGGTCAAGCGAGAGATGACACTCGTTGGTATGCCAGCATCTCTTTCAGAGAGAGAGAGAGTGTGTGTGTGTGTGTGCGTGAAAAGGTCTGCTGTATAATAACAAAAACCCATGCCCCCTGTGTCTCCCAGTTCATATAGAGATATATACAGCTCTCAAGAGAGAAGGGGTAGTGCTCTGTAGGATGTAAGAACCGGCTTGCCACAGCCGGTTCTCCTGAAATCTCAGGCAACGAGATGTGAGAGTTCGACCATCGGCCCGGAGGGCTTCAATCTAGGCCCGATCCAGTCTAGCGGGATATGAACAATGGGTCAAGCTTTGGCAGGCCAGGGACTGTTTCTCTAAACCATTAGGTAACATAAACTCCTCGTTGACAATAAACTATTTCACTACCATACCATGAGGTGGATTCAATAATGCGGAGTTTCGACCCCAGATTTCCATAGTGGAATGCCACGAGGTTGATCTGACATCAATTGATCGCTGCCGCGAAGATGCAGCCTTCGTAAAAATCTTATACATGCACAATATCTCCTGCCTTGTTATAGACTTCAGTACTCCGTATAGATCAGATAAATCAGCCCGAGCATAGTGGCTGATTATCGCGCGCCATGATTGCATCAGCCCGTCTCCGCCCCGAGAGAGATAAGCAGGAACTGGGTTTGATCCCTCCCACCCAAACTCTTTTGCCTTCTCATTCGTATAGCAACAGAGCAACCCAGGGAGATAAGGTGCCTATCCCCACACAAACCGCTCACCCCGACCACATCTAGGCCAATCGCCACTTCCCTAGGGGCGTCATGCAGGCGATTTCTGGCTTAAACTTTGAGGTAAAATTATCATAGATGATAGTTGATACTGATAAGCGCGGCCAGAATTGCCTTCCGGGGATGTCGTGCCCCGCCCCCCCCCCGCCCGCTTCAGCAGCCATCTTATAAAATGGCCCTAGTCACCAGGCATTTGGTCTTCAAGGCATTCAAGTCGATCTTCCTGTCTTCCTGGCTAGCACATCATGGCCTCCGCTCCTACCTCCAAGTTCTCTGAGGTGGTCAAATATGAAGACAAATCTCCCAACGTCGACAACTATGAAGATCCAGAGGCACTCAAGGGAGAGGTCCACCTGGGTCCCAACACGGAGACCCATCGGGGACTCTCGTCCCGCCAGCTGCAACTGATCGCCATCGGTGGATGTATTGGAACCGGTCTCTTCGTCGGGTCAGGCTCGACTCTTTCTACGGTCGGTCCAGCACCGCTTTTCATGGGATACTTGGCCATGTCGTCAGTTGTTTGGTTCGTGATGAACATGCTGGGTGAAATGACCACCTATCTTCCCATCAAGGGGATCTCCGTGCCATATATCATTGGCCGCTATACTGAGCCTAGTCTCGGCTTTGCTGCTGGTATGTTCTCCTTCCCCCCAAACTGCCAGACTAGTTGGGTGAGCGACTGCTAACTGATTTCAGGCTATAACTATTGGTAAGATCGATTATCATCTTTGTTTCTTCGTACATGGTAACTCATGGTTAATTGCAGGTATTCATTTGCTATGTTACTGGCAAGTGAGGTAACGGCGGCGGGAATCATCATAGAATACTGGACCACTTCAGTCAACGTGGGCGTATGGATTGCAATCGTTCTCATTGGTATAGTCCTCGCCCTCACTATTAGAGTTGACTTCCTCGTCTAACAGTTGCTCAGTCATTTTGCTCCTCAATATTGTTGCTGTCTCTTGGTATGGAGAAGCCGAGTTCTGGTTTGCCGCTCTCAAAATCATCGCCATCATTGGGCTCATTATTTTGGGGATTGTCCTTTTCTTTGGAGGGGGTCCCAACCATGATCGGTTGGGCTTCCGCTACTGGCAGCACCCAGGCGCTTTCAAGCCGTACTTGGTCGACGGAAACACCGGTCGCTTCTTGGCTTTCTGGACTGCGTTCATCAAGTCTGGCTTCTCATTCATCTTCTCTCCCGAGTTGATCACCACGGCTGCGGGCGAGGTTGAAGCCCCCCGTCGCAACATCCCCAAGGCCACCAATCGTTTCATCTATCGGATCTTTACCTTTTATGTCCTGGGCTCCTTGGTCATTGGTGTTACTGTGGCCTACAATGATCCAGATCTCCTGTCAGCGGTGGCCAGCGGCAGCTCCACTGCCAGTGCAAGTCCGTTTGTGATTGCCATTCAAAATGCAGGAATCTCGGGCTTGAATCATGTCATCAACGCAGCCATCCTGACTTCTGCCTGGTCATCGGGCAACGCCTGGGTTTTCGCTGGGTCCAGAACGCTATACTCGCTCGCTTGCGGGGGGCAGGCACCCCAAGTGTTTACCCGCTGCAATAAGAACGGAGTACCATGGGTGGCTGTCCTAGCTACTTGGGCTGTGGGGCTGTTGTCGTTCCTCAATCTATCTAACTCAGGTGCAAATGTCTTCTACTGGTTCACCAACCTTACCACTGTCGGTGGCTTCATCAGCTGGATCTTGGTTGGCATTGCGTACTTGGTAAGCTCTTTGCAATCGCGACGAACATTCAACCGTGTGCTAACGTGAATGCAGCGTTTTCGCAAGGCAATGGACTTCCATGGCATGCTTGATTCACTGCCGTTCAAGACTACCCTTCAGCCTTACGGTACATACTATGTGATCTTCATGGTGACCTTGCTGACCCTCACCAATGGTTATGCTGTCTTCTTCCCTGGTAATTTCTCAGCGGCGGATTTCCTGGTCTCTTACATTGGCATTGTCTTCTTCCTGGTCTTCTACGTAGGTCACAAGCTGTGGTATCGGACTCCGTGGATGACAAAGGTGTCGGAGGTTGATGTGTTCACTGGCAAGGACGAGATAGATCAACTCTGTGAGAACGACTTTGAGCGCAAGCCGCGCAACTGGCTGGAGCGGGTCTGGTGGTGGATTGCCTGAGGAACATGTCGGAATGCTGGAGTGAAACTGCTAAGTGATTCTTCTGCGGGCAGAATGAGTTACTGTGAATCTGAGCTTGTATATAATGTTGAGAATTAGAGATACCTGTTCTTTGAAACGTTGAGACAAAAGGACATTGATGATGGCTATTCCAGTTGGAGCCAACCGGCATACATTCACCAAACGCTGTGTCTGCCCCCTCTTTCCTGTTTTGTTATGCCAACGCTTCCCATCTCGCGTTTTCCTACCACGCGTCTTACACCTTTTTTCTTCTCATCCACAACTTTTCCGTTTTGACACTCTATCAACTGAAGAGACACCGCTGCTCGTCCTAATTTTTCGTGCTGAAGCTCTGTCTCGACGCATGCCACATATCACCAGCCACCTCGGCTCTTCGCGGTCTGACTCCAAGTCCATCAGCCAAGGTAGCTCAATTGACAAGTTGATTGTAATTATAGGATCTGCTCGTGGCTCTAGCTCTACACCAACTTTCGCCACACGTTCTCAAAGCACGAATTTACCAGGCCTTGCTTTACTTTAACCTCAAACGAAAGAAGACTGCGACGCCATGGTCGAAATCAACGAGCCTGTTCTCCCCCGACGTCTTGACCACCAAGCCTTGTACAACAATGGCGTCAGTCGCATCGAATACAAGTCCGGACGCTGGGTGCATATCGCTAGCCCCGGTGGTCCACGTACTGGCCGCGCCCCGGACCGCACCACCCTGGTGGTCGCCATCAGCGGCGACTGCTTGAGAAACCATGCGACCGGCCGCGCGTCGGTGGGTGTCTTTTGGGGATATGGCAATCCGAACAACGTCTCGACTGCATTAGACTCGTACCCGGGCCCACGCACCAGAATTATGTCCGAGCTCAGCGCCTGTTGTCGGGCCTTGCGTGACGGTCTACGTATCCGCCAGGAACGTCCCAGCTGCACCTCGGTGCAACGGTTGGTGGTGAAATCGGACTCGGAGCGAGTGGTGAGTGGGATCACAGAGTATATGCCTCACTGGATCACAAATGGGTGGCGGACCAACAATGGAGGAGATGTGCCTTATGCCGGGTTCTACCTTGAGATCGGAGAGTTGATCGCGCAGCTTGAGAACGAGGGGACGGCGGTGGATTTCTGGTTTGTGTCACGGCGACTTAATCCGGATGCCCGACGAATGGCGAGGAACGGCCTTCGTCGCGATCCTTGAGTTGGGTTCTCGTTTCGTGGCGTCCGTCTGTATGGTACGGGATGGTTGACTGTTTTCAGGAGGGACTTGTAGTCATGCTGAGTGACACTGTGGGATATGAGATGACTGGTTCATGCTTTCGCTACTTTACTACTACTACGAGAAGGACCTGCCGTGTTGATTGGTGGCGTGAGTGCAGGGTTCTGATGCTGTGGTCTTATCGGGCTCGAAGGGGTTGTCTTATCGCTTTATGCGGGGGAAGACCCACTGACGATCTGGGGAAATGAACTTAAGCAATTCAAAGACGTTTTCAAAACTCTAAGATACAAACTACGTATCGATGTCATGAACCAACGCAATTTCTGTTAGTCAAGTGACAGTTCATCTTAATTGCTTTCATCGCTATGTGAAAATGCATGTTGGGAATGATATTTGGGGCGGTTCTGGAAGGCGAGTGACCGGGCCGGTGACTTTGACCCACCCGGCATGTGCCGGTGTTCCTGATAGCTTGCGGTGGCACTGGGTCTGATAACGTATCAATCTCTTACGCACACAGACAATCTGAACCCAATTCACCACGCACTTCCGACTGTTGATATTGATTATCGACTCCCCGGGCAGGAATCAGTCTCGTTCCGGTCGAAAAACCCCCTTGCATCGGCTGCATTTCCCATTGGCTGGTGCTGAGTCAGCCCACCGGCAGTAACCGCTTGTCCTCGCCTGCTCGCTTTCAATTAAAGCTTCGTGTTTCCCCGCGTCACCACTACTGTTGTTCTCCTCTTTCTCTCCTCTCTCTTTTTCTTTTGTGTTGTGCCGTCGTCTTGCTTTATTGCGAAAGAGAGCTTGTCATCATGCAGTCTTCGTTGCTCCTTCGCGCCCGGGGTCTCCCCAAATGCGCTTCCCTCTCCGCCAGCATGGCTCGCCAGAGCTCTCGCGCCATGGGCTCCTACGCCACCTTCAAGGTTCCTCGCATTGACAACGAGCCTAACGTGAGTATTGGCGGCAACTGGTCGGTGTTGCTTTGGCTGATCTTCCATGAACTAGAAACACTATGCCCCTGGATCCCCCGATCGCAAGGCTCTCGAGGAAGCTCTCGCCCGCACCAAGCAGAACGGCCCTCTCAACGTGCCCTTGGTCATTGCCGGCAAGGAGATCCAGAGCTCCGAGACTTTGACCCAGAGCAACCCTGCCTCCCACGCCCCCGTGGCCACTTACGCCAATGCCTCCGTGGCCGATGTCCAGGCCGCTATTGACGCCGCCCTCGAGGCCCGCAAGACCTGGTCCACCACTTCCTTCGCCGACCGTGCCAGCATCTTCCTCAAGGCTGCTGACTTGATCTCTACCAAATACCGCTACGACATCATGGCTTTGACTATGCACGGTCAGGGCAAGAATGCTTGGCAGGCCGAGATTGACGCCGCTGCCGAGCTGTGCGATTTCTTCCGTTTCGGTGTCAAGTACGCCGAGGAGCTCTACGCCACCCAGCCCGTCCACCACTCCCCTGGTGTCTGGAAGTGAGTCAATCGTCTGAATCTGTTGAGGGTCAAACTAATCAGTTGTTGCAGCCGCGTTGAGTACCGCCCTCTTGAGGGTTTCGTCTATGCTATCAGCCCCTTCAACTTCACTGCCATTGGCGGTAACCTTGCTGGCGCCCCCGCCCTGATGGGTAACGTCGTTGTCTGGAAGCCGTCTCCTTCGGCCATCGCCTCCAACTGGCTCGTCCACCAGATCCTCCTTGAGGCTGGTCTGCCCAAGAACGTCATCCAGTTCGTTCCGGGCGACGCCGCCGAGGTGACCAACACTGTCCTCAACCACCGCGAGTTCTCTGCTCTTCACTTCACCGGTAGCACCTCGGTCTTCCGCAGCCTGTACGGCCAGATCGCCAACGGTGTCGCCGAGGGCAAGTACCGCAGCTACCCCCGCATTGTTGGTGAGACCGGTGGTAAGAACTTCCACCTGGTCCACAAGTCAGCCGACGTGCGCAACGCCGCTGTGCAGACCGTCCGTGGTGCTTTCGAGTTCCAGGGCCAGAAGTGCAGTGCCACTTCCCGTGCCTACGTCGCCGAGTCCGTCGCCGATGAGTTCCTCTCGATCGTGGCTGCCGAGACCAAGGCTTTGACCATGGGCGAGCCCACCACTTTCACCAACTTCTGCGGTCCGGTCATCCACGAAGCGTCGTTCAACAAGCTGGCGCAGGTGATCGACGAGGCCAAGAACGACCCCGAGCTGGAGCTGCTGGCCGGTGGCACCTACGACTCGTCCAAGGGCTGGTACATCCAACCCACCGTCTACCGCACCTCCAACCCCGACCACCCTCTGCTGTCTCGCGAGCTGTTCGGACCCGTGCTCGTGATCCACACCTACGCCGACAAGACCGAGGCGGACTTCACCCGCATGTGCGAGAAGATCGACCAGACCGGCGAGTACGCGCTGACCGGATCCATCTTCGCCCAGGACCGCGAGGTCCTGCGTGCGGCCGACGATGCTCTGCGCAACACCGCTGGTAACTTCTACATCAACTGCAAGAGCACTGGTGCTGTTGTGGGCCAGCAGCCCTTCGGTGGTGCGCGTGCCAGTGGTACCAACGACAAGGCGGGCAGCGGCAACCTGTTGTCGCGGTTCGTGAGTCTGCGGTCGATCAAGGAGGAGTTCGTCCCCACCTACAAGGTTGCCTACCCCAGCAACGCTTAATGATGCCACGATGATTGTTGTATATGTTCCATGTTCGGTATAGGTTGCATAGTTCAGGCGTTCGGTAAAATATATCCATGTTCCACCTTATTATGTGTGCAAGTAAACCTCGCGTAGTTGTCTTCTCTGCACAATCCCGTTTACTATACATACAGATTTATACCAGGGAATCCTCCCCGAAGTCCCCATCTTGATATCCAGAATCCAAAGTCCCTCAAGAAGAACACCTCTCCACAAACCGCGTCATACTCTCCATCCCCTCCCTCGCATACCCTTTTAGGTCAACATCCCTCCTCTTCCCATCAAAAACCTCCATCGAGAACCACCCCCTAAACCCCGTCCCCAACACCGCCCTCCCCACCTCCTCGATCGGCAAATACCCGCCCTCCGTATACGGCAACGGCCGATAGTCATGACTCCAGCGCGCGCGGGGCCGCATCCCCTCCACCACCTTATCCTCCAAGGGTGGATCTGCCCGGTACGCGTCCGACACCTGCAGCAGGTAAATCTTGTCGGCGGGGATGGTCTTGGTGAGGCGCGCCAAACTCGCCGAGAACTTTTGGGACGTGGAGAGATTGGCCTTGCCGTCGGTGGTGGGGACCAGGCCGTCCGGCGCGGTGGGGTCGGCGTATTCGGCCCCCGCGGTCTGGAAGGTGTCGAGGCAGAGGCCGATGTTCGGTCGGTCGACGGCCTTGATGAGGTGGTAGACGGAGGCCCAGTCCGGGCTGTGGCTGGACCAGCACCAGTTTTCGTAGGCGAGGCGCATGTTGTGGGTGGAGAGGAGGTCGCTGAGTTGTTGGAGGTCGTAGATTATGTGCTCGTGCAGGCTGGGGGTTTTGGAGAGGGAGGAGAGGGGGGTGTCTGTCGATCCGACCTAGGGGGATTTTGGTTAGTGGTAGTGTTTTTGTTGTTGTTGTTGTTGTGTAAATGGGGGAGTTGGCGGGGATGGGTTGGTGTAGGAGTTGTGTATGTGTCGATGTATGGGGATGAGGGAAGGAGCTCTGTGTACAGTTTGTGTGCAGTGCAATGGCAGCATACCTGTAACATGTCACACCCCAGCACCTCCATCAAACTAATCCACCCTTTCGCCCGCTTGAACGCATCTTCTCTCTCCTTCGACCCCTCGGGCCATCCCTCGAAATTGGCAAAGGGCTGCAACATCATCACCTTCACGTCCAACCGATCACAGACTCCTCGAATCTCCTTGGCCACCTCCCGCAGTGCCTCATAGTCATCCTCAGCTACCTCTTCCCCTCGAAGCTCCTTTGCATAGGACAGAATATCCGGAAAGGCGAGCTCCACCGCATGGAAGCCCGCTTCGGACAGTGCCTCTAGCTTAGCCGGGAGGCTGTCGGTGGGCTTGCCGATCGAACAGGTTGCAAATGAGAATGGGATATTGTGTGCCATATTTTCTTATGCTAATGCTAAATTCAGTCAAGCTCAGTAAGCAATATTGAAGTCAGGATCAGATAATCGGGGGTGGTTAAATATATCTACATGTTCATACAATCAGGATGATGTCAGTTATAGTAATTAGGGCTGATAAGATCCGGATGTCGGAATGATGTAACCTCTGCGTCGACCCCATCTTCTCACCACTTAAAACACCAGCATCGCAGTCATGTAGAGTCCAACAAAAAGTACAATTAATTCATTACTATCGCCATCATGTTCTCCAAAATCGGCATCGTCGGGGCCGGCAACATGGGCTCCATGATGGCCTTCGCCTTCAACGAGCTCGGTCTGGACGTCTCCATCTGGGACGTCAGCCGCGACAACGTCGACGGCATCCGCCAATGGATCGACCAAGGAAAATTCACCGGGAAAGGCAAGATCCAAGCTTTTGACGAGGTCGATCAATTCACCAAAAGTCTTGGCCAAGACCAAAAGCTTTTCATCTTTTCCATCACCCACGGCGACCCGGCCGACTCCGTCCTCGACAAGATCCAGGACAGCCTGCAGGAAGGCGACATCATCCTCGACGGTGGCAACGAGCACTATCGCCGGACTGAGCAGCGTCAGAAGCGCTGCGCTGAGCGCGGAATCCACTGGATCGGCATGGGCGTCTCTGGGGGATACCAGTCTGCCCGCCATGGCCCGAGTTTATCCCCCGGCGGCGACCCGGACGCCATCAACCTCGTGCTCCCGCTCCTTGAGAAATACGCCGCCAAAGACCCCAAGACCAAGAAGCCCTGTGTCACCAACGTGGGACCAGCCGGGTCGGGTCATTTTGTCAAGATGGTCCACAACGGGATCGAAGGCGGCATGCTGTCCACCGTTGCCGAGGCCTGGTCGCTGCTGCACTACGGACTCGGCCTCCAGTACGAGGAGATTGCGGACATCTTCGAGCACTGGAACTCCGAAGGGGAGCTACGAAATAACTTCCTGCTGGACATTGGCGTCCAGATTCTCCGCACGAAGAAGACTCCTCAAGGGGACAAGCAAGGTGAAGGCGCAAGCAAAGACGGCGGATTCGTCCTCGACGATGTCCTTGACAAGGTGGTCCAGGATGACGATGACACTGAAGGCACTCCCTACTGGTCGGTCATGGAGTCGGCCGCCCGCCACGTTTCGGCCCCAACGCTGGCTACGGCGCATTTCCTACGGATTGCCAGTGGAAACCGCGCAGAGCGCTTGGAGGTCGCCAAGAAGCTGAACCTTCCCCAGCCCAAACCCCTCGAGGGCATCAAAGACAAGAAGGCGTGCATTGAGAAGATCCGCAGAGCGGTATACAGTGCCTTCCTGGCTTCGTTCTGTCAGGGTCTGGAGCTGATCGCTCGTGCCTCCTTGGACGAAGGCTGGAAGGTGGATCTGAGCAAGTGTCTCCAGATCTGGCGCAACGGCTGTATCATCCAGTCTGAAGCGATTGCCGACCTTCTGCAGCCAGCCATGACCGAGTCTCTCACCAATGTCAAGTGCGTGGACGCAGTGGCGCGAGAGTTGCACAAGCATTTCGACGCCTTGAAAGACACGGTGCTCGCGGCCACAGTAGCCGACCACTATACGCCGGCTCTCTCGGCGACGTTGGAATACCTCAAATATGAGGCAGGAGCCATGCTGCCAACGAAGTTCATGGAGGCCCAGATGGACCTCTTTGGTGCGCATGGATACAACAAGCCGGGAGTAAAGGGCGAGGATCCAGGCCCAGTTTCCAAGGGAGCCCACCACTATGAGTGGCGTCCTGCTTGAGTAATGAGCATTTTAATGATCTTGATGATAATGATAGCGCGTAATGCATGTACGGAGCACAACTGATAATGTACCATATCACCGACCACCCCTCCTCAGTAAGCTACGTAAAGTCCAACTACCGTACAATGACGTGATAGTCCATCGGTTTCTGCCCCAGGCACCACTCAGGTACTCACAGACTCCGGGACGGGTTCAGGCACTCAGGCACCGACCGATAAGATCACGGTTTCCCGATTGGGAGTAATACCCCGCCGAGAATTTCAGGCCTCTCAGTCCCTCTGCCCTCTTCCTCTTCCCCTCCTCCTCCTCTTTCTCTTGTACAACCATTCTCTCCCTTGTATGCGGTCTACTTTCTGGCGCCATTTCTCTTCCATTTCCAAACCTCGCATTCGCATCGAATCTCCCAGACAACTAGCCCGCAGAATGACCGCCCTTCCCACCACCTACGACGGTAATTCCCCTCCTCTGACCATCACACCTGCAAGCAGTTCCTGACAACCTCTAGAGCCCGTCCGCATTGCCGTCATCGGCGGTACCGGCTTGCGCGAACTTCCTGGCTTCACCCAGGTCGCCTCCCTCAACGTCAGCACTCCCTGGGGCAACCCCTCCTCCCCCATCACCATCCTGCACCACAAGTGCTCCCACAACAACAAGACCGTTGCCATTGCCTTCCTCAGCCGCCACGGTGCCCACCACCAGATTGCTCCCCATGAGGTGCCCGCTCGCGCCAACATCGCCGCCCTGCGCTCCATCGGTGTCCGCACCATCATTGCCTTCTCCGCCGTCGGCAGCTTGCAAGAGGCCATCAAGCCCCGCGATTTCGTCATCCCCGACCAGGTCATTGACCGCACCAAGGGCATCCGTCCCTTCACTTTCTTCGAGGGCGGCGTTGTCGCCCACGTGCCTTTCGGCGACCCCTTCGATGAGGGTGTCGCCAAGGTTGTGAGAGCCTGCGGACACAGCTTGGAGGGTGATGGAGTCGTTCTTCACGACCGTGGTACCCTGATCTGCATGGGTATGTATGCATCCCCGAAAGTTCAGTTGCAGAAGCTAATCGTCTGCAGAGGGTCCTCAATTCTCGACCCGCGCCGAGAGCAACATGTACCGCTCCTTCGGTGGCAGCGTCATCAACATGTCCGCCCTGCCTGAGGCCAAGCTGGCCCGTGAGGCCGAGATCGCCTACCAGATGATCTGCATGTCCACCGACTATGACTGCTGGCATGAGTCGACCGCGGACGTGACCGTGGAGATGGTCATGGGCCACATGAAGGCCAACGCTGAGAACGCCAAGCGCTTTGTCACAGCTGTGCTGGACGCCTTGGCTTCCGATGAGCACTCCGAGCTGGTGCAGGCCAAGCACGTTGAGGGCTCCATCAAGTTCGGGCTCAGCACTGCTCAGCCCAACTGGAGCCCGGAGGCTCGTGAGCGCATGAACTGGCTCTTCCCCGGTTATTTCAACTAGATTTTGATGAGTGATAGATAGATATTTATAGGAATGAATTTATGATGATAGACCCCAAGATGCTTTTAATATCAGACGTTTCTTGGCTACTGACGAAGATGACATGCTAACAGATTAGATGTATGCTCGTGGTGAGGGACCCATTCACTGTGAACAGTAAAGGGGAGGGGAAGTTTGCTAAGGAATCACGCACCACAAACAGCAGTTTGTTTACTATAAATTTGAATCATCTCCTGTCTACTTTTCATCCCTTGCCAACAATCATGTCAAACTACTTTGCCACTATGAGCGACACTATACAGATCCCAATCGAGTTTCCTTTCAAGTCATCGATCCTAATGGGGATGTACTGCTTGTGCTGCGGGAACAGGCAGGCCGGATCTATGCAAACCTAGTCAGAAATGGTGGAAACCTCCTCTTCCTTCTGCTGCTCACAACTAACATATCTTTCATTCTAGACGGACTGCCTCTAGATCATTCAATTGAAACGTCCGATCTTACGCCGGAGCCTCAGCAAACTGTCGCCTCTCAATTCGGCTCCTCGACATCAACACTTGTCAACGAATCCATTCACACAGTCTCGAGTGTAAGATCTTCCAAAACCCAACAATGACGGGCCTACAGACCAGACCCACCACTGCATTCAGATCCTTGTCTCGTCAAAACACCTTTGCTTCGCCTCGCGTCGCTTTCAGGAAGAGCTCTCACAGCTAGACACCAGAGCAGAACCGGCCGACCTGCTGCCTTGCAACCTTACAAACCTAGACGCCCTTTACATCCTCCTCAACATCTTGCATTGCCGCAGTCGTCAAGTGCCCCGCCAAATCAACCTCAGCCTCCTTTGCATGGTAGCAGAGTTGACCCAGCACTACGATTGCCTCGAAGCCGTAGAGGCCTTTGCCAGGACTTGGCTTAAGAATCTCCACGACAGCTTTCCAACATCTTTCTCGCATGACCCATCCCAGTGGATGTTCATTGTATGGGCCTTTCGTCATCATGGCTTGTTTCGCCTGGTTACGGAAATTGCACTAAGGGAGTCTACAGAGCCGATGAGGACGAAAGGTCTAGAAATCCCCGCGGGCCTGAAAAGTTAGTTTGGAATGATTCATTGCCCTTCATGGGGACTAACAGGCTGGCTAACCTATGCAATCCATCAGACCTCATCAACAAAACCCGTCAACGTCGCATCGAAGAGATCGTCTTCTCTTTGTACGAGCGCATGGCATACCTTCTCGATCATGAGTCGTGTTGTTCCAACTGCAATCAACTGATGGTCGGGACACTCATCCACCAGCTGAAGCCGCGCAAGTTGTTCCCTCCCCCCCTGGCTTTGGACGTGGGAATTAGTCTGAATGCGGTGCTCAAGACAGTCAATGAGTTGAAAGAGCCCCGGTGCAAAGAATTGGTTCAGCAAGATAGGATGCTCAGGGATAAAGTGTTTGCTGATTCCGGAGACGCGGACCTTGCTAAAAAGGATCGATGCAGAGATCGTGGGCTTGCGATTGGGAGACTACTTGGTTGACTAACTGGCAGCTACTGGCTTGGTGGTGAAGGCCACTGATAAGCGTTGGATGGAGTAAGAATAGCCGGCCGATTTCGGTGATTGATCCAGGCACGCTGCCTGTTGTTCGTTCCCCTGTCGATCCTCCGCTTTCCCAACCATCGCCTGCCTTCCTCTGTCGGCTATCCGAGATAAGGATCATCATCCAGCGTTGGACTAACTTGGTCACTCTGCAGGTCCGTTGAATCATAGGCCGCTTGTGCCCTTCACAAACGTTGCTTTGTCCCTACACTTTCTACATACTTTGTCGACAATACAGTCTTCATCCGTAATCCAATGTATCTCTAGATCACAAGCAGTGCAACTTCATATATTTCCGGGCTGTCATGCATGCGCAGGTATTATCTGTTTAATTGTCAATTCATCTATTTCTCTCTTGATAAAGGTACATCAGCTGAACGCCCCCGCATTCTGGTCACCTCAAAAAAAGCCCGTTGATTAGCCACCGGACCCCATCCCTTGTCTGGCGCGGACTGGCGCTATTTTCAACAATGAACCCTCATTACCTCGGTCGACTCACGCCGTTTCTAGTGATATGAGTGCAGGTCCCTGCTCGGTGGCCTCGAACCATTTATTTATCCAGCAATGATCAGCTGAATCGCGAGCCAACGACAGCGATGCTCTACATCTGATTGGTGTGGGCTGTTGTCTGTCATATGTCATGATGTGTAGCGGCTGCATATGTCCTTCATAGCCATGTCCTTGTGATCGGGGGCCCCCCTGACTGAACTTCGGTCTAGAAAGGACTGGGAGCTATATCTTCAACTGACTGCATGGCTCGTCAACGGATGTAGTAAGGTTTTCCTGGTTCTGTCTCTGTCTCTCTCGTTCGAAGACACCGACAATGACCCCCATCTGGCATTACCTCGCTGTTTTAACCCTTCTCCTTCCAGGATACCTTGCGGCCGAGCGTCACCGCCGCGATGATGATGCCGATGCCTACTCACCCCCCTATTACCCAGCCCCTCCTGGAGGCTGGATCTCGGACTGGAGCGCGGCATACGCAAAGGCTCAAGCCGTGGTGAGCAACATGACTCTTGCTGAGAAAGTTAACCTCACTACCGGCACGGGAATGTACATGGGCCCTTGTGTCGGCCAAACAGGAAGCGCACTGCGTTTTGGCATTCCAAATCTCTGTCTTCAGGACTCGCCTCTCGGCATCCGGAACTCGGATCACAACACTGCCTTCCCTCCTGGAGTGACTGTCGGGGCCACCTGGGATAAGGACCTGATGTACCAGCGTGGTGTGGAGCTGGGACAGGAAGCTCGTGGAAAGGGTGTGAATGTTCTCCTAGGTCCGGTGGTTGGGCCCATGTTCAGGAAGCCGCTTGGTGGGCGCGGGTGGGAGGGCTTCGGAGCGGACCCCACGCTGCAGGCGGTTGGAGGCGCGTTGACGATCCAGGGCATGCAAAGCACTGGTGCCATTGCTTGCTTGAAGCATTACATTGGCAATGAGCAGGAGATGTATCGCGAGACCTCGGTGCTGACCACGGGTTATTCGTCGAACATTGATGATCGTACTTTGCATGAGCTGTATCTCTGGCCCTTTGCTGAGGGTGTTAGAGCTGGAGTTGGGTCGGTGATGACTGCATACAATAATGTGAGTGTGGGTATAGAGGTGATTTGGGCCTTCTGGGCTGACAAGCGCAGGTGAATCGTTCGGCGTGCAGCCAAAACAGCATGCTCATCAATGGCATCCTCAAGGATGAGTTGGGCTTTCAAGGATTTGTCATGACCGACTGGCTGGCTCAGCAGGGGGGTGTCTCATCTGCCTTAGCTGGACTTGACATGGCTATGCCTGGCGACGGCGCGATTCCTTTGCTAGGGACTGCCTTCTGGGGATCGGAGCTGTCAACCGCAATTCTCAACGGAACAGTACCGCTGGACCGACTCAATGATATGGTGGGATATCTTCCATCCTGCTGCTGGAATCATGCTAAGCCCTCTCAAGGTCACTCGGATTGTAGCGACCTGGTATCAAATGGGTCAAGACCAGGATTACCCTCTACCCAACTTTTCGAGCAACACCCTCGACAAAACGGGTCCTCTCTACCCCGGTGCCTTATTCTCCCCAACAGGAGTTGTCAACCAATTTGTCGACGTGCAAGGCAACCATAATGTCACGGCCCATGCGATTGCTCGGGACGCGATCACCCTCCTAAAAAATGACAACGATACCTTGCCCCTCAAACGCAATGCTTCTCTCAAAGTGTTTGGTACCGATGCTGGGCCGAACAAATCAGGTCTCAACTCCTGTAGTGACATGGGCTGCGACCAGGGCGTTCTGACCATGGGCTGGGGAAGTGGCACCTCACGCCTGCCCTCTCTCGTGACGCCGCAAGAAGCAATTGCCAATGTTTCCACATCGAACACAACCACCTTCTATATCACAGACACCTTCCCTTCCAACCTCCCCACGCCATCGTCATCCGACATCGCTGTCGTCTTCATCAACGCCGACTCCGGAGAGAACTACATCACCGTTGAGTCCAACCCAGGGGACCGCACCAACGCCGGCCTCTACGCGTGGCACAACGGCGACGCGCTCGTCCAAGCTGCAGCATCCAAGTTCACCACAGTGGTTGTGGTCATCCATACCGTCGGCCCGATCCTCCTCGAGTCATTCATCGACCTTCCCAGCGTGAAAGCCGTGCTCGTTGCGCATCTCCCCGGCCAAGCCGCCGGCTATTCGCTCACCGACGTTCTCTACGGCGATACCAGCCCCAGCAGCCACCTGCCCTACACCATCCCCGCGTCTGCGTCCGACTACCCATCCTCCACGGACATCATCACCTCGCAACCTCTGTTCTCCCAGATCCAGGACTGGTTTGACGAGGGGCTCTACATCGACTACCGCTACTTCCTGAAAGCAAACATCACCCCCCGCTATCCCTTCGGCCACGGCTTGTCGTATACAACCTTCCAGTACTCCGCCCCCGCACTGACGACCGTGACCGCCCTGAGCAGCGCATATCCCGCCGCACGCGCCAGCAAGGCCTCCGTCCCCACCTACCCCACAACCATCCCTGATCCGTCCGAGGTCGCATGGCCCAGCACGTTGAACCGGATCTGGCGTTACCTATACCCGTACCTTGATGACCCCGAGAGCGTTACTAACTCCACGAGTACCTACGCGTACCCGTCTGGCTACTCCACGACGGCGCACCCGGCCCCGCGCGCCGGGGGCGGGCAGGGCGGGAACCCGGCGCTGTTTGAGACGGCCTTCGAGATCGACGTGACCGTCACAAACACGGGCGAACGGAGTGGGAGGGCGGTGGCGCAGCTGTATGTACAGTTACCGGGGCAGGCGGTTTTGGGCGTCGATACGCCGCAGAGACAGCTCCGGGCGTTTGCGAAGACCGCGACCTTGGCCCCCAGGGCGAGTGAGGTGGTCAAGTTGACTGTGACGAGGAAGGATCTGAGTGTCTGGGATGTTACG